CCCCAGCACCACTTTGTCCACCACAAATCCCACTTGACCAGACCGGGAATCAAACCTGGGCCACAATGGTGGGAAGCTAGCGACTAACCGCTTGAGCTATGGCATGGCCTACTTCCTATTGTAGCCATTGCACAGCGATGACTGTAAGATAGCACGTTACAGTATGCATTATATTTCTTCAGTCATTTTTAACATGGCCATATTCTGTTCATTGTTGAAATTGAAAACAAGTATGTTTCACAATCATGACAGATGAGGAAAATTCACAATATGCAGAAATTAATCCTGAAAACCATGCCTAGAATAAAAGAATATTAATTTAATTTGGAGGAAATGCAGAATTCTAAACAGCCTCTATGAGGACTGCAAATATATCTTGCCTCATTACTTGTATCTATAGAATTTCAGTTGTACTTAGTCAAGACATACCTAAAATGTAACAATTCCTTCAGAACTGTTCAGCTGACTTCACAGAGTCAAATGATACTTTAAAAATTATATTCTAGAAAATGGTAGACAAATTTCTTAATTTTGAATATCAGAAAGTACTTTTGCAGCCAGGTATATCAAACAGTTGCCTCATTTTGAAAGAAGGGACTGTGTAGTGTGTTTTCTGTCCATTTCTAGTAATTCCTCCTTCATTTGAAGTTCAGTGTTATACCATTCCTTGGAGAATTTACTTCATCCTATCCAACACAGTCTTAAATAAGTTATAGCTGTTGTACGTAAGTGTGCATCATTCAGAAAACCCTGTTTATCATATTAACAAACTCCATGAACGGAGAGAACACTTCTTCATGAACGAACAGTTGTTCCCCTACTGAAGAAATTCCTTGCCTTTTACAGAGCTTGAAAGTTTACAGCTGTGTTCATATGAAGCAGATGTTCACCAGGCTATATTTCACTTTATATCTACCCCAGTTTCACAACATACTTATATAAGCACATATGAAACAACTTTGATTAATCTGTATGTTACTTGACAGATTAACAGCTACAGTTATGTTACGTCAAACAAATGTAAGGATGATAAGTGTAATGCAGAAGAAAGGCATTATCCTGGCATTTTGCTAGAAAAATGCAAGAAACTCAAGAAAAAAGTCAAGACAATTCCCAAGATTTAAACAGGGTATTTCCCATTTACAAGTCAGCCAAGTTACCATATGTGATGTATTCAATTTCTGGGAAATAAATGGATCTAAGTCCATAAGGAAATATTTTATTGAAAAAAAAAAACACTCATTAGAAGTGTTCATTTATTAGGAGTTGATACTCCAACAGATCGTAATATTATGCACTTAAAACAGATACATATCACTTAATTGCATCTCAGTCAAGGAATTAAAATGCAGTGGAATATTAACAGTGAAAACTATTAAAATGTCAAATAAAGTGGAATAGTTACAGAACTGTCACAGTAACACGATTACTAATCAGACTTGCTGTTCCGTCTGATTTTAAATAATTTTCTGTGCCTGAATGCTGTGTAACGACGATGTGGCTCCATGGAAATTGACTGACGCAAACGTTCACATTTCACCAGCTCTCGCTGCTCCTGGTTAGTCATTGGTGTCATCGCATTATGGCGGCTGTAGAAATATGTATATATAAAAATTTGTCATTTCAGAAGATGAGTATAAAATGAAGATATAAACACTGACATATTATTACACTTCCAAACTGTGCATGCTAAACACAAAACCACCCAGGAATCAATGTGTACACAACACAGAAAAAAGTAATGCATCTGTCCTTCCACTGATTTGCACTGAAGCAGACACCATCCATATAGTAAAATTCAAGGGCCACATAGAGCTTATACAGCAGACACAGCCTGCAGAAAGAAATCATATTGTATGGTATCTCACTCAGACCAAGAGTTTGTTTCTATATGGAGGTCTTCATTTATCCATCTTTTCCCCAAGGAGTTACAAAACTAGATGTTTCTTACTTAGATCATTTGTTGGATTTTCCTTAACAGCTGTTTTGGCAATATCTCCCCCATACTGTGCATAGGGATTATACCTGTATATGCAGCTTAACTAGAAAAGCTGTCTTTGCAATATTGTGAGTGAACACCATTAACGTAATTAAATCAAGGCCAAGATGGGCATGGCATATAGCATCAACAAGAAATGCACATAAAATATTGGTCAGAAAACCTCAAACAGCAACACCACATGTGAGACCTAAGTGTCAATATTAGGTCAATTTTTAAAAGGACGTTAGATAAATAGGATGTGAAGGGATATACTGGACTAAATCAGTTTAGGATAAGACCTTTTGTCAACATGGCAATGAATATTCAGATTCTATAAAAGCACCAAGCCATGAAGATATATGGGGGAGTGGAGGTATAGATCCATGTGTTCTTAACCTCAGCACTAAGTGGAGATTGGTGGTCATTTCACACCTCAGCTACTTGAGCTGAGTTCAGTGGAGCTGGAGGGGGGGTGTTATCAGCTTATGTCAGCATGGTTACCACCAGTTTGGAAATGTAGCATCTTGGAGTGTGGTCAGGTGTATAGTACATTGTCTTGCTTGTTAGTTGGTCTCCGTAGGCAATGTTTTCCGCTCAGTGAGTAGCTCTGAACGTCACCATAGCAAGGGTACAGCTTTGCATGCAGCATAACAGCATTTACCTTTCAACATGGCTAAAGGTACGAGGCACTAACTATGCATGATGCACAGGCCTGACATATTGAGTACACTGGATGGCACTTAAGGGTTTGTCTATCCTCAATTCAGTGCAAGCAGTTCAAAAATCAGTGACACCAGCTTCGTAGCAGCACAATGTATGTCATACTTTTGTATATTGTTCACTTCATTACCAACAGAATGTAGTTCATTCTAGAGTCAGAAATATGATGAGTCCTATCTTTTGAAATATAATGCTGTACAGCCCACTAAAAGTCAACTGATGTTCTGGAGGAACATGTCACCTCGATCTTGGCTTTCAATGGACTATTGCATTATATCCCAAAAGACAGACCTCTTCATTGCCAGAACCCTACCACAAATATATTTACTCCAAAATTTCTCCCTTTTCTCCTGATTTCTACCAAGTGAATAAGTATTTTTATACATATACTTGGGTATGTTCTACACAACTTCCATGTGTTTCATTCAAATCTCAGGAACTATTCATTATCACAATTTAATTTTTTTTTGTTCCACATGGTATTTGTGTTTGATGTTACTATAAGCATGAGATACAATGTCTTCAGGAACAAATTATGCAAAACTAAAATATAAAACTCCACGGACTTTAGTCTGCAAGTGAACTATACCAACCAAGCAACTGCTGCTTGTCAGCGAAGTTAGTGCCAACTTTTGAAGACAGAGGGTGTCACGTGGTCAGCGCAACAGATCCCCACAGCTGTTAATCTTGGTTTTCTAGACTGGAGCCACTACTTTTTCCATTCAAATAGCTCCTCAATTATCCTCATGAGGCTGAGTGGACCCACTACAGAAAACATGGTAGCCCCGGGAATCAAACCCAGGAACTCTCACCACTAGACCACAGACATACTGCTGTTAATATAAGTGCACAGCAATGCTATAAACATGAAGAGGCTAAGATCATGTGAAAAACCTACACTACAGAAATAAAAAGCAATAAAATTAGTTTTAATGATGACCAAACAACTCTAGACCTATATAAAAATTGTGATGCCTTTTGAAGAAACTGCTTCTGCAATTTCAGTGTTAACCTCTTCATACAAATGCATACATTACTAAGTACATCCAACATGAAAGGGGGATGAGTTTGCACATTAGCATAAATTCATAAACTCTGTCCATTTATGTGAGACCAGATCATAAAATTCTGTCACATATCTTTACTGGATGACCAAAGGGCCTCAATAACCAATTATATTACAATTTTCTTTTTATTTATTTCATTAATGAATCTATACTTCTACTTATCTATACAAAATAACAACAGAACTGAACAGTATTTACTAAAGAAGCTCAAATGTACTTGAAACAAAATTTTATCCAGCACTGATCTCTCCAGTCTGTTTCCATATATACAGAGAACTGTATGAGATTAACATGGAAACTTACATAACAGATTATCATATATTCTGAGTCATCTGATACTGGAGTAAAAATGGGAATATAAAAAGGATGAATGTACAAGGGGTGGGCCCTCTTGGCCCTTGCACTGCGACCACAGTGATCTACTGTGCTTATATAGAAAGGATAGTATATCGGCCACTTACAGACTTCAATAAAGCAGCAAATTATTGTGGAGTATTCTCAATCAATCTGGTTTATCCACAAAACAAGTTAAAAATTATTTAAGTAAAACCTACAGCAAAGTCCATATAGGTAAACATCTACTGAACTTCCTATTCAGAAAAATCTGAAACTGGAGATCATTATCTCTGTTGTTTCCAACTTTGTTTTAGAATTTTCCCATCAGCAAGATATAAAAACTCAGAAGGGTCTAGAACTGAATGGAACCCAAGCTTCAGTCTGTGTTCACATTTTCTTCCTTGGGGTGGGGTGAAACTGAGTCCACTTGGTATGTCAGCCACTAACCGGCCCATTGTGCCAGTCCTGGATGATACATGATGATGAGTGTGGAGCAGTTTGTGGAATGAGAATTGGCAGGGGAGACTGAACTACCCAGAGAAAACCTGCCCTAGTGCCTCTCTGTCCACCACAAACCCCACATGACCTGACATGGGCTCAAACCTGGGCCACTGTGGTGGGAAGCTGGAGACTAACCACCTGAGCTATGGCATTGCCCTGTGTTCACTTTAATTTCTTGGTGAAAATACAAATACCATGAAAAAAGAACGTTAAAATTATATTAGACCTTAGTAAAGACTCTAGTTTTGAAATGAACTAGTAGTATATGTTCATAGCACAGTGAACTCCCCGTTTTCTGACATGTAAGGGGAATGGGGTGGCCTGTTACATGAATCTGGGGATGCAGATTCTTAAAGAAACCATACAAAGTCAAAACGTTTTCACCTTAGTTCTTGCATGGGAGTCTTCCTAGGAAACACAGTGCGCTGATGGCTGAAAGAGGTTGGATATACACTGTAATGTGACAAATTCAACTAGCCTCTAATGTAATGGCTGTCTGCATAAGGAAGGATGAGGGTAGTATTGCTAGTGGCAGCTGGCACAACTGCCACGTGGTTGGTGAATATATGTGCGTTGCAAATTTGTTTTTAAATAGCTTTATAAAAATAGAAAATAGTCTTTGAAATTTTTGCCACTTGGATAAGAATTCTGCCTGTTTGGGTACTGGATAACTGGCAGTTCATTGTACGATAACTAATAAATCCTTTGAAAGAGAACAATGTTCTATAGAGGATCTGTGGGTGTAAAAAAGAGAACTTGAAGAAAACTACATGACGAATTATAGAATACGCTTTTAACAGTTATTACAGTAGGACGAGGAGGACATGCAGTACACAGGAGAAATACAAAACTTTCATTGAACACCGTGAAGAGAAGATCGACCACTGGACTGGATTCATTGCCTCAGAACAGCACCCAGCAGTGGACTACAATGAACATGGTATTGAACTTTCAGGTGACATAAATGGTGAGGGAGTTTCTTGATCAGCTGAGTAATTACCAGCTTCTCAAGACAGACTCTGCTGCATGGAATATGTTATTTTACTTCTAATATTATGACTTTAGAGGATTATTTTATTTTAGATTCCTTTATATTTGGGTAAACATAGAAATTATTATGAACTCTTCATATTAGGTAATCAGAAAATGATGGAGGTTTTATTATGTCATTAATTTCAAGTCAAAAAGCAAGCCACACTTCAGGAATCATAAATATCCCAGTACTCATTCAGTAAGCAAATCTCAGTACACTTCAGTACCTGCTAGTGTGAGGTGTTTTAGAAGATGGAGTGGGTTTAAACTTTTTGGATTTCTTCACAGCAATAGGGGTGGTCTCCCTTTCGGAAGCCTGCAATGGACTAGTGTTGGTAGGAGTGGATGGAGGGATGGACTCCTCTGTGATGGTGTGCAGGCCTCTCAGTGCCATCGTGTGGGCTCGTGACTGCTGGCTTGGAGCATTCTGACGATGTAATTTTGGAACAGGCTGCTGTTTTTGGGGTGGTGAGAAAACGAACGCTGGCACAGGTGAAGGTGAAGCAGCAGCCAGTGATTCTGGAACACAGCATAAGAGATTATGCAAATATTATACAGTACCAGAATGCCAACAAATTATGGTAAGAACTGTGGTAGGATGTAATGCTAATCTAACTTAATGGTGCATGCAAAATCTTTCTTGAAAAGCGTATGATTATTCAACGTGTGAAGATACTTTCTGCTTCCATGGAACATGAGGGTTCATCATGGTGCTCACTAGGAAGCCCACCAGTTGAATGCAGCCAAAACTTTCACACCCTGATAATAATGAAATCCTACTTGATGTCTGTCTTGCAAATGCTCAATGAAGAATCTCTCACTAATCTCAGACTGATCTCTACTACTCCTTGAATTAAGGAATCCACTGCCTTTTATAATTTTCATGTGGCTGGGATTTTTTTTATTGCTAGTGGGGTGGGACTAGGTCCCTTGTACAGAAGCCACTTCTGGCCTATTGTACCAGCCCCAGATGATAGGTGAGGGTGATTGAGGAGCAATTGGTGGAATGAAGATTGGCAAGGGGAACCGAAGTACTCAGAGAAAACCTGCCCCAGCACCACTTTGTCCACCATAAATCCCACTTGACCAGACCCAGGATTGAACCCAGGCTGCAGCGGTGGGAAGCCAGCGACTAACCACTTGAGCTATGGCGCGACCATGTGGCTGAAATAGAAGTCACCATGTCCAAGGGTTCCACTACTGCTTTTCATGAATATGTTCTCTCGGAAATATGTATGAACAGTTGCCTAGCAAAACTGATAACTCCTCAACTGGCTCCACAATTCTTGCTTTTATGAGCGCTGCTCAGCAATGGACTGTTCCGGTTTGTTGTCCCAGAAACGTGTTTTAACAAGCCGTTGTCTAGCAATGGATTATTCCATCACACTGCTCCCTCCTTATGGTTGTTTGTCCCAAAAAGCCTATTGGTCTATCACCATTCCTTCTTTTCCAAGGTTTCTACTTGTGGCGCCATTTTCCTGCGGCTTGGTCTTTCACGCAGTGATCACTCTCCAACTGCGACCACCACTCCCTCCTTAAAGGTGCTCATCACGACCGACTCCCTTTTGAGTTTCCAGTCAATCCAGGTGAATCATAATTATCCAAAGTCTTTCTTTTCCAACAGAGGGGCCAAAACTATCCCAAAACGCTGGTGTTCCCACTTTTTCAGCTCATCTTATGCTAACAGTGCCAGTAGGTTCTACCATTTCAGAGTGGGCTGAACCCTCCACAATGTCCAGTTCCTGATTGTGCGCAACCCAACTGTAGAGCTGGCAATTCGCTTCACAATCTCCAGTACAGCAGTTTTCCTGTAGATCTTGGTGAATTCCTTCTTGCTTTGTAGCTGCTGTCTCACGCATCTGTTCCTTATCCCATATTTGCATTCCAGTTTCAGCTGACACCTCCTCCTGAACTTCTGTCCTTTCAAGGTTCTTTGTACCATGTTGTCCCTGGTCCAGATTTTCTTGATGACATTTCTCTTGCACCATGCCACTTTTGCACGGTAAGCCATCCTCATACCAGTGGCAGCCAATTTCTTCCAGGACCCACCATTTCCTTGGGTCCATTCCCGTGACTGACTACAGCACTCTGTGGCCAGATTCTGGCCCCTACACCGCTTCTATGGTGCTCTGCCAGTTTCCACTGCGGCCTGTTCCTTAGGGACCTCCCAATACACTGCCTCGGACTGCATTTCCTCTGGATCTGCCTTCAAATCTGTGGCCTCCATCCTTCCTAGACATGTCATCATCTTTTCATGATGCTGGGTATCCATCCAGGAAACGAAGGAAGCCATCTGAGCTTTCATCTTCTCTTTCAGGTGTTCTTGGCCGGCTCTTATTCCTTGTTTCATTTCTTCTTGGTCGCATCCATCTTTTCTTGCATGGTGTCCATTTTTTCTTGGTCGGCATCTGCTTTTACTTGGTTGGCTTTCATGTGTCCTTTCATGGCTTTCATGATGGCAGCCAGTGAACCTACCTGTGTTTCCATCATTTCTTTAATGGCTTTCAGGAGTTCCTTGTTGTCCATTTTTGTATGGCACTAACTATACAATGCAATTTTACATCCAATTATTCAGTCCAACTGATCAAATCCAACCAATTCTGACACCAAAATGTCATGTGTATGGGGTTTGCATGACTAATAATAATGGGTTTTGGATTTAATGATTGGGATTATTGGCACTTCTTTACAATTACAGTCAATTATAACAGCTCACACACTGAACTGCTTCTGAACATCTGTCTTGCAAACCACTATGAAGAATCTCTGATTGCTCTCTCACGAATCTCTCGAATGTCGCCAGAGCGTTGCAGAGGCCAAAGGGAATGATGGTAAACTGTCATAACCCTTGACCCATCAGGAATGCAGTTTTCACCTTGTCGTCTGGGTGTACATCCACTTGCCAACACCTGCTCTTCAGATCGAGAGTGGAGAACCATTCTACTCCATCCAGCATGTCTAGAGTGTCATCAATTCAGGGCAGTGGAAAACAGTCTTTCTTTGCGACATCATACAATCTCCTGCAGTCCACAGAGAAGTGGAGTTCCCCATTCTTCTTCCTGACCAGAACAATGGTGGACGACCAGGGACTGTCTTATTCCTTGATAATCCCACGGTGTTGCATGTCACTGAGCATCTCATTTACCTCCGCTTGTTTTGCTAAGGGCAACCTCCTCGGGGATTGGCGAATTGGTCAGGTGTCTCCCTTAGCTATGTGGTGATACATTTTGTTGGTCCATCCACAGCAAAGATGTCTTCATACTAAGCGAGGAGTGCGTCCAACTCCTAGAATTCTCTGTTGCTTAGGTGTGGCCTGGCCGCTGCAATTATGTTCTGTAATTTTAAGCTTGAGTCTTGGGCCTGGGGCTGTTCCACATCGGGTGGTCACCAGAATGACTGGCTCACAGTATTATAGAGGGGATCCACTTGTGAGCTTTCGGTCCTGACAGGTAACATTCAAGACCCTTACTGGTACTTCCCAGCAGTCTTGGACCAAGGTCCTGGCTATGTAGATTCTTTCAGGCAGATGGGCCTGTGGATTTGGTCGTACTAATCTTGCCATTACTATTCCCTTGTACTGTGCAGGTATCACTTGATCCTTCGACACTATCAGGCTGGAAGGCCAGGGTCCTACTCCGGGGCTCCATAGCAATACCACTTCCTCTGCCAGAGAGTGTTTGGTGCGCAAGGTCCACAGATGCATCACAGGCTCACAGTATGTCCAGTCCCAACATAAACTCATTGGTGATATCAGCAATGAAAATCCAAATTTCTGGTGGGTGCCATGTGAGGAAAACTGCTTTCAAGATGGGGAAGATTTCCCCAGTTACTGTCTGCAGTGTGAAACACTGGTTCAGCTGTCTTTCAGGCCATCCGGCAGGGATGTCTGGCCTTGCCACAGTAACGTACGCTCTAGTGTCCATGGTCACGAGGCACAGTTTGTCACGGGCTCAGCCCTGAGTGACCAGACTAGCACTGGCATTTTCTGTAATGACAGTCAATGCGTGATGTGGGGGCCTTAATGTATGTGGTGGCATTTGCCCTTTTCCACTGGCCCTCGCTCATTTCCCAAAGGCTGGCCATCCGTCCTGTTCACTTCTCTGCTGTTACTTGGTTGCCATTCAGAATTTCTTGGTGATTCCTGTTTGTCTCTTAGTGACCTACCTTCTTGCTTCTGGCACCAGTCATTTTCTGTCTTTCTTCCATAGGGGCAGTTACCCTCGAAGTATCTTGGCTCTCCACAGATACAGTATCCTGATTGTTTTGCATTTCTTTGTTGGTTGGGGGGCAATCAGCTCTCCCAGCACGTCTTTGTGCTATTTTTGTGGGGCTTGGCAGCTAGGAATACAGCGTGTAGTTCAAGTGCCTGTCTGCGAGCCTCATTTACTGTCTTCTCTCCTTCTAGCTGCAGCTGAATTTTTATGTTATGTGAACACTTTCCCTGCTTCTCTCCTTACCTGATCCTCAGGCAAAGCAGGGTAGGCACAATGAGCAAGCTGTGCAACAGCTGTGGCAAAGTCTTCCAGGGATTCCCCAGCCCTCTGGGTTCTCGTTAATTGAGACCAGTAAGTGGCGGTAAAGTGTTGGTCTCCAAAACGGTCCTCTAGGGCCTGTAGGAAGTTGGGCTTCTCAGAATGTCATACAGTATGTTGGCGGCCAGGCCTTTCTAGGCTGTGATCAAGTAGGTCAATTTTTCCTGGTGCAACCAATGGTTGTGTTTCCCTATGGTCTCGAACTGGTACCAGAACATGGCCCAAAATGCAGTACCATTGAATGTTAGTGGCTTTGCCATGCTTGTGCAGGCTCCTGGTCCACTTCCCTGCTCTATTCCCATCTGTGCCATGTCTACCATATGGTCCTTCTCTTGAGGTCTTCAAACCTAATACTCTGAATATATTTTTAATTTTATTGACACATGTTAAATGTCCAGCCAACATGCATAAGCAGGTTGGTAGTTTGTAGTTTGGGAAAATATGATATCTTTAATGAGCATTTTGAGCCAGATCAAAATGTGTAAACAGTTTGAATTTGAAACTGCTGCACTATAAATATAAGTCATGGTCACAGAGACAGGGAGGGATGAACAAAAAATTTTACAGATGACACAAGAGAGGGAGGGAGAAAACTGTACTCACCTTCCTTCTTGATAGTACCACCCACCAGGGTGGGTGGGGAGAAGCGAAATGAAGTGCTTGATGATGCAGAGCAATGCTCTTCCTCCTGAAGCCTGGCAAGACGTGGTGAGCATCGTATTTCTCCTTCAGAACGACTTCGTCCCATGCGCAGGGCCACAGATCGTGTGATATGACTTCCTGCTGAAGTCAAAGACGTATGACTGCTGCCAGCGTCACTGCTCACATTGCTGTCGCTATCACCTGGACTGGTTGCCTGTAGACAAAGAATACAGTACTAGAGTGGAAACAGCTTAATATGTAGGAAGATAGCTAACTTGAAAAGAAAATGTGTGCTCATTTCAGACTTCCATAAACTGCATTAGTAAATATACAGGGTGTCTGGATGAAAGGTATCCAAGATATGTAAGCAATGTCCGTCTTTTAGTGCACACTGTAGTGCCGAAACATGTTGTGAAGTAACATGTAAAATTGAGTGCACTAAAAGACGGACATTGCTTACATATCATGGACGAAGATCAGTGCAACAGGACGCTAAAATACAACATTATGAAAGGTATCCAAAATAAAAAAATTATATTTCAGAAACTAATTTTCATACATGTATTCAGTTTATGTCATCAGAAAGGAAAATTCTGAAAGCTTTTTTCACACCCGGCTTACGCACATGCACCAGTTGGTGACATTTGGCAAGCTCAGTAACGATGTCAACACCACAGGAACAGGTTCATTGCATGTTGTGGATAGCAGAATTGCAATCTTTTATGGCTGTCCAGCACTGTTTTAGAACACAATATGGAGATCAATGTCCTATATAGAAAAGCATTCGGTTCTGGGACAACAAACTGTGGACTAGTCCGCTGTGCATAAAATCTCCTGGAAAGACACACATTTCTAAGGAAAATGTCAATCTCATTTGAGAGCCATTCCAGTAAAGTCTGCACAAATCAATTCATGCTGCTAGCTTGCAGTTACATACAAATTCCATGTTCAAAATGTGCACAATGTGGTATACAAAAGGTTCCGCCTAAGAGTGTACAAGATTCAAATGATTCATGCACTAAAACTGAGTGACCAAGTAGCATGCACAAACTTTGCTGTGGACATGCTAGAAAGCGCTGACGCATCACTTGATTTCCTCCGCCAAGTGTGCTTCTTGGATGAGGTGACGTTCCATATCAATGGAGTTGTAAACAGGTACAACTGCAGGATTTGGGGCTGTCAAAATCCACATGTCACATGTGAGCCGGAGAGAGGGAGCCCCAAGGTGAACATGTGGGCTAGCTTAATGCGTAACAAGTTGATTGGACCATTTTTCTTTTCAAGCTGCCCCAATTACAACCTCAAACTATTCTCCATCAAGATGGGGCGCCACCACATTTCTGTCACATTAGGAATCACCTGCACAGAGAGATGGCTGGGAGATGAATTGACAGAGGCGGACCAATCGCTTGGCCTACTAGGTCACCAGATTTAACCCAACTGGATTTGTTCTTGTGGGGTTATGTGAAGAACATGGTCTACCAGATTAAGATCAATGACCTGCAACACCCTGAAAGCCCGCATAAAGGACACTGTGGCCACAGTAACACCAAACATGCTTCACGCAACCTGGAACAAGGTTGAGTATTGTCTGGATATTTGTCACGTCACCAAGGGAGCCCACAATAAAATTTATTGAGAAAGTTGTATACTCAGAAAAAACTCTGATAGCTTCCCTTTGTAATGGTGCAACCCATAAATGTGTATCACAAATGTTTTCTGAGATGTAATTATTTTATTTTGAATACCTTTCATCCTCTATACCCTCTATAAGGAGATGCATAAGACTTAAAAAAGGTAAAACTTACCTCTCTCTGTCAGAATAGGTGCAATTGTTTAAAAAATTTCTTACTGTTACGGAACTAGACAGTTCAACAATACCACCACCAACACAGTTACCATCACGACTGCTACTGTCATGATGACCACACCTACCACCACCAAATGACCATGATCACCACAACCACCACAACCAAACAAGCCCCATATGAGCCCTGTAGCTTGTACAGAAAAGTTGTGATAATTTTTAATGGAGGTGGATGTAGCATATGAAATGTTTTATGATTTTTGTACGATTGCTCCACAAAAACTGCATGACATGGAGTGCCGAATTTTCATACGAATATATATTTTTTGTGGAGTCTACAACCTCACCAACTGTGAAATTAGATAAGCCTGGGTTGTGGACTCCTGATGATTTGGCATGGAATGTATCCATCACAAAAGAAGGGATCATGTCCTGGATCCAATAAAAGCAGTTCACATCTTCACAAGCAATTTCCCTTAGCTACATTTTAATTCCATTCTCCCATTTCCATGTGCTTATTTTCCAGATACTAAAATATTGTAACCTATATGTTGTATACAATTCCTGCTCCAATACATGAACAATATTTGTTTGACGTAGGGGGAAGCTGTTTATTATCCCTGCACAGGGTTCTAACATTAATGCTTACATACACGCATTTCTTACACTTCTTCACATCTAACTATCTGCCGCTAAGCAATAATAATATTACCCACTGTTTCATATAAGAAGTCAGGTTATCAATTAAAAGAAAACATTATTTGCCTGGAGTAAGGCAAGGAGTGTTATTGTAAAATTCAGCATAAGCACTCTTACCCTAGGCTTGGTCCCTGAAGGTAGACCAGACACAGAACCTTGATCAGACATAGACCTAAGGGCAAGCTGAGCTTGCCGAAATGATCTACGTCTCACTCTTCCAAGAGTGACATCTTCTGAGTGGGTTGATGACGGAGAAGCACCAAGATGAATGGGAAGACTTGCTGCTGAATATGCATAAGATGATGCTGAAACAGATAACAGCTGACATAAGAATCCAACCTATCTAACAGGGACAATATATACATATTCTACAGAACAAAGGCAGTAATAGCCTGGTCATGGCTGTCAACATTTCAAATCTCATGTAAAATGGACATATTCAGCAGCATTTACAAAATTATGGTGCAAAAGGTATAATCACTTACCTTCAGACTTGGTGGGGCTGGGGCTATCTGAACGTGTCTCTTCTTGAAGTTTCAAAAGAGTCTTTCGACTGGATCTAGTCTCCATGCCAGCCCTACGTAACGGACTCTGAAAATTCAAGGAAGTATGCTGAACCCATTATACAGTAATTTATGCATGTATGTGACTGTACCATTCTCTAGCCTGAAGCAATGCAGTAAAAATTGTTACAGAACTTAAGCCTGTCTTCTGTGATATAACATCATGTAGTCTGGTGAAAGTCAACTGACATTTCAGAAGAGCAGACTACCTGTCTTTTAAGGTTGAAAAGGGTAAGCCACACAAAAAACCAGCATAAAGCTCGTACCTAGCAGGTTATGTGGGATTTCTTACTGTGATGATGAACATCAGAACTGGTAACAGCAGGGAGAAGCCACAGAAGTACGATCCCAGGCCTAGCGGCCTCCGTAGTCTAGGGGTAATGTTCCCACCTCATGACTCAAGGTACGCGGGTTCAAATCTGGTGGTCGTGGAATTTTTAAGGGCGGAAAAATTCAGGGAACAAGTCCTCCAGGAGGGACTTTAAGCCGTGGGTCCCGTGTTGTAGATTTATGGCACGTAGAAGATCCTCATGACTCTAGAAGACCTCTGAGCAAAATTAGGCAACAATTTCCCGCCCAAGTAGTTTCCAATGCCTCTGGTAGATGGGGGAAATATCAGGTACCAATGGCCGACCTCGTTGGCTGAACGGGGCTGATAGCATGCACCAGTACCGGTAGGGTATGGCGACAGTAGAAATTAAAGGGGGATGCACAATGGACCAATAACTGGTCTAAGTGCATGGGGAAACCCACCCCCTCTAATAATAATAATAATGATCCCAGGCCTAAAAATAATCCTTCAAAGAACGGGACCTTGCCTATGAGTGTATTAAAGTTTTACAAAGCAGCCAGAAAATGTATAAAATTTCACTGTTCAGTGAGATACCTACTGACCTGAGTGCCAAAAAATATCTGCACACTCACAGAGTAGATAATATTTGTAAAATGGTATAAAATCCTTTGAAGCCACAAAGATAGGCTTCTGAGAATGAGCTCATTTGTTTCTGAATGAATTATACAAATTTCAGAACGTCAACCATATTACTGAACCAAGTGAGTGTGTGTAGTAGGCTCAAGGCCTACCAGGGCATATCAACTGCATGCAATTCATGATAGGCATGTGTAACACTCAAATTTTTTTAAGATTGAATCAACAAAAAATATCCCAGTATTCATCTAAAAACTGAATTTTCAGTCTCAAATTCCGAGTTTTAAAATGACTGGTTTTCCTTTTCACAGTAGCATTAAAATTATCTGATCCATCAGAATCATAACTGTTGGCAACACTAGCATGGACAAACTTGTCAACAAAATCATTTTCTCCCTCCACCTTTCTTTCTATCCATGGCCTTGAACCTTGCACTTGTGTCTTACATACAATGGTTTATACAAGCTTTTGACTGGAAAGGCATAAGCAATACACTTTAGTGCACTGTAAAAAGCTCTCCAGTGCTGTAAATTGTGATTACAGTGAAAAACTGGCTTGGCAGAGAAAATTCTTGTTCTCAGCTTGATTCTAGAAATGTTTCCAAATTTTTGTCTCAAATTGAGAAAGGCACTCTCACACATGACATTAATGTCACAGGATCGCAGCGCCATGAAAAAATTTTATTTCTAAGACTTCCTGCCTCTTATCTTCAACAGAAATGATTTCTTCACACAATACAACTGCTAGAAACAGCATAACAATTCTTGCTTAGCCTAGGGCAATAAGTTTATATAGCAACTACCTTAAAGAATAAAACAGGCAGTGTGTCAGCTGCACCATTACAAACATGCGGATTAAAATCTAATTTGTTTGACACTATTAAGTTTATATCAACTTTCCAAAATTTCATCAGAATCAGATTACTGATTGAGATTTGAGAACAGGAATACCAAATTTATTTTTGTATGCTGATTAAATATTATTAAATCCTAAATTGTTTCAATCATGAATGACTATCTTCAGGGGGATGATGCCATATATTAAAGGAAACTTTACAGTTTACAAAAGATATAAAATATTTAAGTCATAAAACTTTTATAACAAGTTAAAACTATTATTACATTGAAATTCATCAACATCAACCATTGTTAAATGCATTTTCTTCATAACTGATGTGTCACACATCAGTATTGCTGTATTGTTTATTGCCATCTCATGCTCTTTTGTGTGGTGTCAATACAGTGACGATATGTGGCACTGCTGTGTTCTTCTTGAGAGATGAAGCACTCAACTATACTTAATCAGCATGGAAACAAAAACTGGATATATTTAGACAGTGTCCACACAGCTCATTGTAACCCATAAAGTATATTGGCAAAACGAAGCAAACCAAAGCAATGCCAAAACATTACACCAGTGTCGATGATAACTATATGTGCTTGAAATGTTCTACCATGTACATCAAATACCATGCAAATCAAAATCCATGTGGTCCAAATTAAGTCACCTTGTGTAGAGAGACATGCTGAACATAACAGCCATCATGCAAGTATTTGTCAAAAACCACCCACACTTAAAAACCATGTAAAACTGAATTCATGTTGATAGTACACATGTCAGGGACTTGAATGTACAAATACCTAAATACTCACATATTGTTCTTTTTTTATTGCTAGTGGGGTGGGACTAAGTCCCTTGTACTGCAGCCACTTATGGTCAATTGTACCAGCCCTATATGATAGGTGACGGTGATTGTGGAGCAATTGGTGGAATGAAGAGTGGCAGGGGAAACCAAAGTACTTGGAGAAAACCTGCCCCAGCACCACTTTGTCCACTACAAATCCCACTTGACCAGACTCGGGCTTGAACCCGGGCCACCGTGGTGGGAAGCCAGCGACTAACCGCTTGAGCTATGGTGCGGTCCTTACTCACATATTAGGTACATGTTTTGCCACTGGTGTCAGCCAAGTTCAAAACTCTATTTTTACTCATGTTCTTATATTAACATATGCATTTTGGTGTGTGTGTTGGGGGGGGGGAAGCAAGAGTTATTGTTACTCACCTCTGTTGGGGGAAGGTGAACAGTGGATGCCTGTGATATTGAAGATGGACTCTCACACAGGGCACGAGACCTAAGACGAGAAGATGACCGTGTGCCTGCACTCGAAATTTGTGAAGATGACTTGTCTTCTTCTCCAGAATCAACATCATCTGAATTCTCTGGCAGTGATGGAAGTTTCCTATGCCTGTTGCACAGTACACAGAAACCCCTCCCATCAGATCAATGGTTACAATGAACACTGAGCAATATCACTCCCACATATCTGGAATATTTAAATGTAAGAAAGAGGAAAGAATGGGAGAATGGAGAATTTTTAATGGACAGTTTTGCAAGGGTAAATATTGACTACTGTTATAACCACACACTAAATGATGCACAAAGTCTGGAAGGACACAAATTTCTTACTCCAAATGTGGGTTATTTGCTAAATCAAAATTAATGAAATTGAAGAAAATAATGTACTGTTTATAATGGGTTCCACTGAGAAGAAAAAATACTCACTAAATCCAGAAACATTAAATCAGGATTTCATTTTATCATTATCTTTCCTAGAATTCTGCCTAGTTGGCCAGTTACATGCTTTATTAATGAAATAGAAAACTATTTTGGGGTGGGATGATATATCAGATAGAACATAATTTCACTACCCTCTCCTACTTGAATGTCGTTCTCAACCTTCTTGTCAAGAGGAAGAGGCTCTGGTGACTAGGTTACACCAACATGAAGTACTGATATACACAAAACATATCCAATGGTACTAACCCTACTGATGGATACGCCACATGCTAGTAAGGAAATGGGGAACATTTTCTTACGTTCTAGGGTCTAAGAAACAGAATCACACTGATCACTGCCCACGAAAGACACTTCACAGTAGTTCATGCTCTTGTATCTCTGCAACTGAAATGTCAACATATACACCAGAGTATCACTTAAATTTACACGGCTGCAAAATCAACATGGTATGGTACCTTGAAGAGGTTGCCTGGTTGCCTCCCATACAAACACAGATTTATTGAAATTTCTCACCTAAGCTGAGCTAATGGCAACTTGGTGAGCTCAAGACTGCGCTCCAACACTAAGCGCTGATGTCGAGTTAGCCGCCGGTTTGTGGTATATTCCTCAATCACCTGCCGAGTTCTCAAACTGTCTCCTCTGGTTGGAGAGCATGCTTTTCTTTTCCATTGTACACTTGACCCTGAAGACCTCTCACTACATGAACTATCACCCATTCTTTGTGACCCAATATCTGATCTCCGAGACTTCTTAGTGGATGTACTGTTGTCAGTTATGGACCCAGTATCAGCAGTTGTGGTCCTAGCAGAAATTCCTAATGTTGATCTTGTGAACCTCCTGCTTTCTATATTAGGCACAACTGGATATTCACACTCAGATTGTGCTTTCCTGTATGGCTGACTGGGTATATTACTCTTGAACCTAAACAATTCATTTGGTGGTACAGAGGGACCAGAAATGCCTTGGTCATCCAGTGCGGACACAGAAATAGCTCCACAAATTGCCTTAGATGTCTTTTCTTTCTTGCAATCTGTTTCTGCTGCCAGGTCATCATGATGCATACCACTTGGGGGTGTTAAATCCAACTTGACACTTCCAGCATCATGTACATTGCCACTTGAATGGCTCTTCTTAATTTTACCCCTTACATCCTTGCTCTCTCTCAAGATTTTGTTAATGGAGCTACCTTCAATTTTTGCATTAGAGTCTTCTAAATCAGAATACTTAACCTCCATAGTACTTCCAGTATTTGTGTCAAAATTACTATGTGATGGTCCTGCTTCGCTATATTTCTTCTTTGCTTTCCTTCCAAAATTGTCAACTTTTTCACTTGAGTTATTTGTACGTGGTCCTTCAGTACTTACTCCTACAATATTACCATCCACAGGGACACCTCTACTGGAACTTTCTGTTTCTTTAGTATTTTCAATCATTTCTTCTGATGCTTCATGAACAGCACCTAAGATGACATTTTGCTGAATCAAACCTGCGCGACTGGGCCTGTTTGCGTGCATTTTGTTGTCTTTAACATCTGTTCCTTCATCACCTTGTGCAGAACTACATCTGCTACTAGCAGATGAGTGTCTGCTTCTAGCGCTACTCTTTCTTGTACGCCTTGCCCAGTGAGCACTCTCCTCCCGAACCACAGTACTGGCATCACTGTTCACAGACGAAGATGTAGGCGATCTGTTTTCATTACATACAAAATCAGCTGCCAAAGTAACATCTCTGCTGTCAACACTACTGGCTCTACTGATGGGTCTGTAATGAGAATCCTCCTCAGTAATATCAATGCACTTAACAGAATCTGCCGCCTCAGGCTCATCAACTTTGCATTTATCAGAATCTGCCTTTTCTGATGGTATATCCACATAGTGAGCAGAATTTACACCACTGTCTGGCTTTCCAGCTCCAGTATTCTGAGACTCTTCCTCAATTACCTCAAGATTTCTGTGGACAGATCCGGCTCTACGGTTAGGTTTGCGAACTCTTTTTTTAACAGACTCTGCCTCACTAGTTGGAACAACTTGCTGCTGAGCAGAACCTCCTCTGTTGCTAAATTTGTGGGCTTCTTTTTTGTTATCATCTGCCTCATCAATTGGAACATCCTCATGTTGAATGGAACTTACTCTACTGACAAGTTTCTGGACTTTTCTGTCAGAAAGTCCTACCTCATCTGATGAAACATCCTCACATTGAATGGAACTTGACCTACTCTTATGCTTACGAACTGCTCCTTCCTCACACTCTGTTTCACCAGCTGAAACTTCACGTTGAACAGAACTTGCTCTGCTGCTAGGTCTGCGGACTTTTTTCCCACGTGCCTCAATTTCATCTGAGTGAACATCCTCACGCTGAACAGAACCTGCTCTGCTGCTAGGTCTGAGAACTTTTCTTTCATATGTCTCAGTTTCATCTGAGTGAATATCCTCACGCTGAACAGAACCTGCTCTGCTGCTAGGTTTGCGAACTTTTCTTTCACATGTCTCAATTTCATCTGAGTGAATATCCTCACGCTGAACAGAACCTGCTCTGCTGCTAGGTTTGCGAACTTCTCTTTCACATGTCTCAGTTTCATCTGAGTGAATATCCTCACGCTGAACAGAACCTGCTCTGCTGCTAGGTCTGAGAACTTTTCTCTCATATGTCTCAGTTTCATCTGAGTGAATATCCTCACGCTGAATAGAACCTGCTCTGCCGCTAGGTTTGCGAACTTTCCTTTCACATGTCTCAATTTCATCTGAGTGAATATCCTCACGCTGAACAGAACCTGCTCTACTGCTAGGTTTGCGAACTTTCCTTTCACAAGTCTCCATTTGATCTGAATGAATATCCTCATGTTGAACAGAACCTGCTCTGCTGCTAGGTCTGAGAACTTTTCTCTCATATGTCTCAGTTTCATCTGAGTGAATATCCTCACGCTGAATAGAACCTGCTCTGCCGCTAGGTTTGCGAACTTTCCTTTCACATGTCTCAATTTCATCTGAGTGAATATCCTCACGCTGAACAGAACCTGCTCTACTGCTAGGTTTGCGAACTTTCCTTTCACAAGTCTCCATTTGATCTGAATGAATATCCTCATGTTGAACAGAACCTGCTCTGCTGCTAGGTCTGAGAACTTTTCTCTCATATGTCTCAGTTTCATCTGAGTGAATATCCTCACGCTGAATAGAACCTGCTCTGCCGCTAGGTTTGCGAACTTTCCTTTCACACGTCACAATATCATCTGAGTGAATATCCTCACGCTGAACAGAACCTGCTCTACTGCTAGGTTTGCGAACTTTTCTTTCACAAGTCTCCATTTGATCTGAATGAATATCCTCATGTTGAACAGAACCTGCTCTGCTGCTAGGTCTGAGAACTTTTCTTTCATATGTCTCAGTTTCATCTGAGTGAATATCCTCACGCTGAACAGAACCTGCTCTGCTGCTAGGTTTGCGAACTCTTCTTTCACATGTCTCAATTTCATCTGAGTGAATATCCTCACGCTGAACAGAGCCTGCTCTACTGCTAGGTCTGAGAACTTTTCTTTCACATGTCTCAATTTCATCTGAGTGAACATCCTCAAGCTGAACAGAATTTGCTTTGCTACTAGGCCTGTGGACCTTCTTATCATGACTATTTATAGCAGATGGAATATCCTCACATACAACAGAACTAGCTCTGCTGGCAGGTTTACATACTTTTCCTTCATCAATCATACCTTCAACAAAGCGAACATCCTGATATTGTGAAGAACTTGCTCTAGGTTTGCAGACTTCTGTTTCACATTCCTCAGTTTCATCAGAGAGAATACTGTCACGTTCAACAGATCTTCCTTTACTGCTAGGTTCACAGGCTTTTCTTTCATATGTCCCAATTTCATGAGATGGAACATCGTCATGTTGAACAGACCTTGCTCTCTTGCCAGATTTGCAGACTCTTCTTTCACATGTCTCAACTTCATCCAAAGGAACATCCTCATGTTGAACAGGACTAGCCCTACTGGATGGTTTATCCAATTCTATTTCACAAGTCACACTATCAACATCTTCACGCTGAACAGAACAAGCTCTGCTTCTAGGTTTGCAGATCACATTACCAGACATAATATGATGTTCACTGGAAACCGCAGTGCTGCTTGATTCATCAGCTTTGCTTCCATAAACCTCTTCATCAATCACTTCAACATCTCTCTGCACAGCTCCTTCTCTGTCACTTTGTTTGGAGATCCCCGTTTCATGGGAATCCACATCAACAGCTGGAATATCATGTTGAAATGAACCCTCTTTGCTATTCAGTTTGCTGCCTGTTGTTTTATTAGAATCTACCACACCTACTGAAACTGCTGTACTTGTTAACCTATCAACTTCCACTTCACTTGACTCTGTCTTTTGAGATTTCTCTCTTGGAACAGAGCATTCTTCAACAACAGCTCTATGAATTCTCCCCTCTTCACACTCAGAATGAACGTTTTTTTCTTCAGTAGTGACTTTATTATTTCTGTACACTTTTATGTCCCGAGATTCTGTATTTTCATCAACATGAATAATATCCCTTGGAAATGAACTGGCCCTCCTGCTTGTTTTTCGGGGTTTCACATCTTGACTTCTCCCTTCAAAATCGCTGCTAAGTTGAAGCTTGTCAACAGGAGGAGAGCTACTTTCAGAAGTTTTCCTTGCTTTTATCCCACATCTTGTTATATCTAGTTCTTGAACTGCTTGCTGGGAACAGACATTACTGACTCCAGAACCAACCGTCCTGCCATGCAGTACCTCTTCCTCTAGCACAGTTATCTCCATTACATCTGTCCCATCCTGTTGTAATGGTTTGGGAATGTTCTCAGTGGATGTTAGCTGAACAGCAATGTTCTCATCCTTTTGTGCCAATTTCTCCATAACAATTTGCTCTTTCTTCTGTCTTACTATCAAATCATGTTCCTCCTCAACAAACTTTCCATCTTCAGTAAACACTTCTGCTGTTTCAGGTACCGTTACACTCTCTTCTTTCATTTCACTTAAGACCACTTTGTTTTCTACAGATATTTGTGTATTAGGTTCATTTCTGTCATCTGTTTGTTTTGGTTTAGAAATATGACTGGCACTTATTTCCACTTCAAAATCCATCATATGTTGATCCATTATTAATGCTCTGTCACCAGCATTCTCCTCTTCACAAGACAACTCCATCACCTCAGAAACTTTCCCTTGACTCTGTTCATATTTACTGATTTCATTAACACTGATGCAGGTCTCGAAGTCCATTGGTTCCTTTTCTATTAACCCTTTAACACAAGGTTCATTATTCTTAAACATACCAGCAACAGAAACTGTCTGTACTTGGGTAGGTTTTTTGTGAGAACCCTCTTCTTCTATCATATCATCATCAGATGTATGAACCTCAACACTCAGTTTTGGTTCATCAGTAACAATATCATACTCATCCAGAACATGCTCAGTGTCAGAACCAGAGCTGGTTTCTTCATTATCTTCTTCCTCCTCATATTCATCACACTCTTCCTCGTCTCCTTCACTCTCATCTTTACTGGAAAGGTCTTCAGTTATATGTTTGCCTTCTGCAGCACTCTGCTTGCCTTGTTCAATCTGAAAAAGAGGAAGAGTCAACTACTCAAGATATTTGAGTTCAGTTAACAAATATTCAGTCATGTGCAAAACAGATATCAGCAGAAGGAAGCAGCATTTAAGTAAAGCAGGAAAGGACACAAATAATAACAATGTGAAATTTATTTCATACAATATTGTGACATGTTGNGGTCTCGAAGTCCATTGGTTCCTTTTCTATTAACCCTTTAACACAAGGTTCATTATTCTTAAACATACCAGCAACAGAAACTGTCTGTACTTGGGTAGGTTTTTTGTGAGAACCCTCTTCTTCTATCATATCATCATCAGATGTATGAACCTCAACACTCAGTTTTGGTTCATCAGTAACAATATCATACTCATCCAGAACATGCTCAGTGTCAGAACCAGAGCTGGTTTCTTCATTATCTTCTTCCTCCTCATATTCATCACACTCTTCCTCGTCTCCTTCACTCTCATCTTTACTGGAAAGGTCTTCAGTTATATGTTTGCCTTCTGCAGCACTCTGCTTGCCTTGTTCAATCTGAAAAAGAGGAAGAGTCAACTACTCAAGATATTTCAGTTCAGTTAACAAATATTCAGTCATGTGCAAAACAGATATCAGCAGAAGGAAGCAGCATTTAAGTAAAGCAGGAAAGGACACAAATAATAACAATGTGAAATTTATTTCATACAATATATTTTCATCTACAATGCAACTTACTTGTCCCCTTTCCTTCTCACAACAGGTTTCAGCTGTATACAGCCATTATCAAGTGTCTCTAATTTGCTAAAAGTGTTGCACTGTATTGTATGTCCAACTTCTCACATGTGAATGCAATATATTTTAACTTAAAATAAATGGACCTTTATTAAAATCAATAAAAACTTGTTACAATTTAGTTAAAATTTCAATATTTCGCTTGGGGTTGTCATCCATTCATCCAAATGAAACTGTGTGAGGTTATGGATTTGGATTTATTTGCGCAGAGGCATGAGTGTTTGTGCATTACTATGCAGTTCCCAAGTATGTTGGTGTAGTTACCATGTATGCACCTCTGACTGTAGGTTCTCCACCCTGCCTGTACAGAAGTGTTGTTTATCATTCTGCATATGTAGACCTTAATGCAACAGGATGCTTAAATACAATATAACCATGTGAAATCCTACCAGACAGGTTTTAGCATAAACAAATACTTACCTTTTCTTCCTCAGAGTCAGAGTCCAGAATGACAATGCTTCCCTCGTCATCACTGGGTGGTTTCTTGGCCATGCCAACTTTAGGATGCTGCACCACTCGTTCAAATACTTTTTCTCCATCCAGGTCCTGTGCCCAGTACAGTATGTGAACTTACAAATTCTGAACATTCAAAACCTCCAAACAGCCAAAAGGAAGGGACTGCTACTGGAGATATTTACGGCAGACAGATGCCAGACATACTTCCTATTCAGTAACAGTGCAAAATGATAATGTGACATGAGGCCTGAAAGCCGGAACAGTGAAGCCAGAGTGGATGTCCATTGCTGAGAAATTGCTTGGAAATCCCACTGGCCCAAACCACAGCTCCTCCAGAATGAATTATGGTCCATATACTTAATAATACTGCACTTGTCTTAGAAATTAACCGACCAATTCTCACATCTCTCTAATGTTTGGCCATTGGCCACAATTCCGACCGAGTTCGCCTCATGCCTACAGCCCTAAGATCCACCACAATGTTACCCTTCCACCCCCATCTCAGTCACCGTTAGGTTCTTGCTAAGAGAGTGCCTTCCACTCTTTTTTCAAGCAAAATAAATTATCAAAGGAACTGTAACCCATTCCAGTCAAATTTAAATACCATGATAGCTCTCTGCTGGTCCATTTAAATGCCATTGGGCAACATAATTTCAGTACAGGCAGTATACAGCACACAGGAACATATCAAACCATAAGCCATACAACCTCAAGCTGACGTCTCTCACCTTCGGGATGAATTAACAAGGAGTTCAGCATTTTATATCAAATATTTTAACATTTTAGCGTTTTAACTTAAAAATAGGTTCGGATGAAAGTGAGAACTTGAGAGTGTACTCAACTATCTTAGCATGTTTTGTGCTTTTACACGTCAACATATCGTAGCAGCGTCCACACGACAAACATAATTGTGAACATCAAAAACAGCGACAGTGTTTCCATAATTATAGCAAGTGCCTCTGATGATGGTTGTGTCAAACCGAAACATGTAAGGCAGAAATAATAATAAAAAAGTGACCTACAAATTGTTACACTCGACGGACTTTCTATTAACTTTGTGATTGATAGTGTAACGGACCAAAATGAAACAATTCAAAATGTAAACTATCACTTTCTTTTACACGGTACAATTCCTGCCAACATTTGAAATGAACAGCCACTACCTGTCTATCAGTCCGTTAATGAGTCTTGAATCTACCATATCAATCTGCCACTCTCACAGCTTATCAGGTCCAGCTCACACTACTTAGTACAAAAATATTTTCCTTTGTTAAAAAATTGACAGAAAATAACAAAAATAATAAAAAGAATTGTTTTTTTCTTGTTAATTTCGTGAAAAACAAGGACAATAGCAGTATGTGGCTTTCTGAAGTATCCACATCTGGTTCAAGCAAACATGTGTATTTTCTGTTAGTGTACATGGAAGTGAGTAAGGCAACTGTCTTTTGTGCTTATAACACATGTTAAACCTTTCTGTGGCCCACTTCAAATTCCACCACAAAGCACAAGTATGTCAAGATCTACTGGTTGAGAAACAACAGACTATATACACAGAGAGACAGAAGGAGTGACAAGCACAGTCAAAACAGGAATCTCTAATCAGCACAGAATTGCTGTGTATGAAGTATATTTACCTACATAAACAGCATGTTAACAACTTAACACGATTACCTCTTGATCTTCAAAACTGCCTTCCTCTTCCTCTTCCTCTTCATCCTCATCCTCAATGTCCTCTTCCTCCTCTTCCTCAATGTCATCCTCTTCTTCTTCAATGTCCTCCTCTTCTTCTTCAATGTCCTCCTCTTCTTCCTCAATATCCTCCTCATCTTCAATTTCTGTAGCATGTATCTCGGGTCTCACAATTCGTCCTTCATCTAAGAAGCCAGTATGACCAACAATACAAGAAGTTATAGACAGAACTTGTCATACATACTTCCTTCCAAGTAGTTGCATTGGAAAGAAGAGGCAAGTCAATCTTAACTGAACTATGGGATATTTCTAACTAAAATTCTGGTGTAATATAATACGTTTGCCCAATTGACAAAGACTAGGTATCAGAAATGGGTGAATTTACTGGAACTGTTTATAACCCCACACAGCAAATTCATGTGCTAACATTAGAACAACATGACAGTGAATATCAAGTCGTAACTCTTCAAAATTAATGCAATTTTTAGTGTCACAGAGATAAAAAACATGAAGACACAGAAACTGAATATGTTGAAGTAAGACATCATTCAACATTCATTAGAGTTTAAATGTGGATGTGTAAAACCTCCCAATCTCTGTATTTTTTAAATCATTTTACCCCCACATAAAGTTTTTCTTCTAATATGTTAGCACATAATAAGAATAAAAAACCCTACTTCACCTTGTTCACTGTCCTCCTTGCAACCGCCTGTAGCCATCTCATGTTCTTTTTTCCTTGTGTGAAGCACATCAGCAACCTCATCAGGTTGATCATTCTCACTGGTAGACTCCTCTTTCTCATCAAGTGCATCTTCAGATTCAGTGATCAATGGCTGAAGGGTTTGGTACTCCTTCTGGTCATCCTCAGAGCATGCAAACATCTCCACGTTCCCAGTAACAGACTCAATGACCAATGCTGGCATCTTCTCATCTCCAGATTCTGAAAGGTTAGAGAGTCTAACATCCGATCCTGGAGATGTAAACATAGTTCTCAAACTTGGACCAATTTTACATCATATTCATTGAGAGAACATTAAAAATGAAGCAATTATAAGCAAATACTCTTTTCAAATGTAAGGTAAAACGAAAAGTTGATCCTGTGCTTAGTTAAGCACTATGGCATGATGATAGTGCAGTCTAAATCTCGGCATAAGATAAAGGTGTCAGTTTTACAGGCTGGCAATTTTACCCCTAGTGAAAGATCACACTGCACCCATTGGACAGGAGGCTGAGTCTGCCCGGTGCACCCAAGTTTTCGACTACAAAATTGCAAGAAAAATGTCTGAATTATGCAACAAAATATCCCTAATGAAATCATTATCCACTGCAATGTGCAGAACGTACCACAAGCACGCACATATCTGTGCAAGCACACATAGTAGACCTTCATGTTAAAAAGATCCATGTTGTCCAGTTCAGACAGAAAATTAATCTCACTCACAATGTCCAATACACCAAAGGTGATTGCAATGAATGGATTACTTAACAACCAACTACCCCTTCGTCTATTCTAATTTAATTTTACTGATAAATCTTAGCATTTACTGAAACCACCAGGCTTCATCAAAACCTTTTTATTGTGAGTGGGGTTATCAGATGACCAATGGACAGATGCAGCAACACACTCTCTTTTTAAAACAAATCTAGAAGTGTAAGAGTGGTCTGATTTTACTGGAATACTTTTCTTGTACATGTATGTTGGTAAGTCAATAAGTAAGTTACAAATGGATATAGAACTTAAAAAAATAAGAGTACTGATTTGAAAAATGCTTTTATTTCTCAACCTCTCTGTACATTCAGGCACTTGCCCCATCATTTCACAAGCCCCTGAAAGCAAGCAGCATAAAATTGTTTGGGCTGCTGTCATGACTGGGATCACGAAGGCATACTGCTCACCGCATTCCAGCCTCAAGGACAAACCGTAAATGCCGACTCCTAGTGTAACATCCTCAGGAAACTTTGTAAGGCCATTCAACGGAAGTGACCAGGACTCCTCACCTAAGGCGTGTTGCTCTTGCATGACAATGCACATCCCCATAGTGCCAACAAGACAAATGAGAAGCTGCGAAATTTCAAGTGGGAAATCTTCGAGCATCCTCTGTATAGCCCCAACCTTGCTCCAAGCGATTTACATTTGTTCGGCCCTGTTAAACATCATCTTTCAGCTGAACATTTTCCCAAAGATGAAGCTGTAGAAAGGGAAGTCACCGCCTGGTTCCAACAGCAGCTCAAGAGAATTTTATGCTGCTGGTTTTCAGGGGCTTGTGAAACAATGGGACAAGTGCCTCAATGTACAGGGAGATTATGTTGAGAAATAAAAGCATTTTTCAAATCAGTACTCCTATTTGTTTAAGTTCTATATCCATTTGTAACTTACTTATTGACTTAGCCTCATACATGGGCTGCGCCATAGCTCAAGCAGTTAGTCACTGGCTTCCCACCGCAGCGGCTCCAGTTCAATCCCGGGTCTGGTCAAGTGGGATTTGTGGTGGACAAAGTGGCGGCAGCACAAGTTTTCTCCAAGTACTTGGGTTTCCCCTGTCAATCTTCATTCTACCAACTGCTCCACAATCACCCTCACCTATCATCTGGGGCTGGTACAATAAGCCAGAAGTGGCTGCAGCACAAGGGACTTAGCCCCACCCCATTAGCAATAGAAAAAATACCCTCATACATGCTTACCTTCACTGAGATCTTGTACACCAACATCACCATCAGACGAACTGACAGTCACATTGACAGCTGCCGCCACCTCCTCTTGCTCCATATCCTTGGATATTTCAAACGAAAGCCCACTGTAAGTTGTGGTATCTAGCAGGATGCCAACATCTTTCTTTTCCTCCTTGAGCATCTCCTCTGTACCAGACTGAAATTCATTCCCGCGTTCACCTGAAACTGTAAGTTCACTATGAATATGAACGTTCTATATTGTCTATTTTACAGATTCCTCCATCACCTAACAAAAGATACTAGCACAAATGAAAGAATATAACATTTTATGATTTGGGTTTAAATTTCTGCAGCACTAGAGACTTCGAACACATAACCACTAAGGACAAAGCACACTCATGTTGGCACATATAAGTGTGTGATCACAGAAGGGTGGGGGGACTAAAGTTTCTGGAAAAAATGCTGTCATGGAAGCCTAACAGGGTGGAAACTGCATCATATGGCCTGCACATGTTCCTCGTAAGATCTGGATTGTTAGGGAAGCTTCTTGGTTGATGATGGTCACCTGTGAACTCATTAGAAATTCCTGACAGGTGATGTGCCTATAAAAGTAGCTGCCAAGTTCTTGAGAAGGTCTCAGTTCACTTCTGTGTAGAGCAGAGCAGAGGAGCAAGTAGTGAGTCAGTCAACTTTCAGCCTCAGTGCAGTGCAGTTCAGCACAATATATGAACAAGAAGTCAGTTTTTCAGTGTTCAGTTCAGTGTAGTTAGTCAGTGAATGGGTGAGTAGTATAAAATTCTCAGTTCACTGCAGTGCAGTGTGGTTCAGTTCAGAAAAGTGAGGACAGCACTGTGGTTAGTGGTGGTGCTGTAAAGTAACAAGTAAACGAACTGATCTCAAGAAGATAAATGGTTGCAAATAGTGAGGCAATAATCGCTCCAAATGTGGATACTTGTTACAATATGAAATTTAAATACACCCATGAAGACTTTGAAAGCAGAATATATGTGTTTTACGGGCCGCCTTTGTGGTCTAGTGGTCACGGTTCCTGGCTACAGATCCAAAGGTTCCGGGTTCGATTCCTGGTAACACCAAATTTTCTGAGAAGTAGTGGGTCTGGAATGGGATCCATTCAGCCTCACGAAGATAACTGAGGAGCCACTTGAATGGAAAAGTAGCAGTTCCAGTCAAGAAAACCAAGCTTAACGGCCATGAGAAGCCATTAAACTGACCACGCGACACCATCTATCTGCAAAAGTTGCCACTAACTTCACCAACAAGCAGACGGAAAGCCACGGAGTTTATGTTATATATCTGTTTTACACAGAGTGGCATGAATAAAATAAAATAAGCAACCAACTCCCTTTTTTCTGGCATTCTTCAAATGTCTCATGCAAAATCAGTAGTCGTATTACAATCTACAAACGCAAAAATTTGACCTCTCTAACTAAAATCATTCATCATTATATATAAATTAAGAGTGCAACTTTGTACATTCTACCATCACAGTATCATCAGTCTCCATTTTAACAGCTTTATCATTTCTACATCTAAATATGGATCATCATCAATGGTACTTGCTGAATACTCAGAAAACCACCAACAACTGCAAAAAAAAAAAAAAAAAAAAAAAAAAAAAGTTCAGGATGTACCTGAATGGCAAAGACAAACCTAAGGTGTATCTCAGTACAAAATGCTGTGCCTTCATAAAATTGTTGTAGAAACATGTGTCAGAAACAACTGACAGTGAATGACTTTCTTATCAATAAACCATGGTGATACATATCCCAAATGTTGGGTTGTGACTAAATGACTGGTAACAGTTGTTCACAGAACTGGAAGCTGAAAACAAGGCCCTTATCAGGGTCATTATTATGAGGGCTGAAGTAAGTGAGGAGCATCTGATCATTTATAGGTGTTAAAAGAGTGACATTCTGTCAAAGAAGCATCAAATTTTCAGGTATTATGAATGCTTACTTTTTGCAGTAACAGACTGTTCCTTTTCTTCCATATCTGCTTCAGAACTTTTCTGTACCAAGCCTTCTGCAGCTTCCAAGTTACTGCCCTGTTCCACTACTAAATGTCTCACTTCAACAGCATCTGCAGTTACTGTCTCTTGATCCTCAACTGAATTCTGAATGCTAGTTTCAGTAGTCCAGGTTGTGGGTTGTGATGGTGTGAACTGTTCCTTTACTTCTACAGGCTGAACCTGTGTTGAAATAATTTCATCTTTCCCCTTGTCAGAATTATCAACTCGCAGCTTCTTCAGAGGGCACTCACTCTGAACATCCGCGCTGTCCGCAACTGAATGATTAGCGCTATCGACAGTACGGTCACTGTTCTCCAGGCTGTGAAACACATCACTGTTATCATCCACGCTTATAGACTCACTGTCCTGCAAGCACACCTCTGACTTTGAATTATCCTGCTCATTTTGGGACGCTTCTCCGGTTCCTTCTCCTTCCAGAGGAGAATCTGAAAATAAAAAAGAACAATTCACTCTCTTTAGTATCTATGAGGAAAATGTTTGGAGGATGAGGTGGGCAGGGCATGTAGCACAAATGGGGAAGACAAGGAATGCGTATAGGATATTGCTGGGAAAGCCAGAAGGCAAGAGACCACTTGGAAGACCAAGGCGTAGGTGGGTGGACAATAAGATAGGATGGGATGGTATGGATTGGATTGATCTGGCTCAGGATAGGGACCAGTGGAGGCCTCTTGTGAACGCGGTAATGAAAGTTTGGGTTCCATGGCATGCTGGGAAATTCTTGAGTAGCTGCAGAATTGGCGGCTCCTCCAGAACGGCTCAGCTCCATGAGTAAGTAAGTAAGTAAGTAAAAAGTTTGTAAAATTACATGTAGTTTTAGTACAACCACCACCATCCACAAATACTCAAATATAAAACTGCAGAAGAGCTTTCATTATCACTTATTCGCTGCCAGGTTTGAACATATAAGGCTTGCAATGAAACTATACTTCTACTTTTATAAGAAAAATATTGAAACTGCTTACAAGTTGTGACATTAAATATGTTTAGTCTCTTTCTGATGGTTCCCTCATTATCAATAAACTTCTGATAGGAGCAAGCATGAGATTGTATTCCAACACAAATACATTTTGGGAGCTATAATTAACCACCACTCTAAATTGTCTAAAGTGCTTACTTTATTCCGTAAACGATAAGCATGAACTCATATAATGTGTACGCCTAATATATCTGTATGTTCATGCAATGGTACAAAGCCAGTTCTGCCCTACCAATTTGTGAATGAATGAGCCTGAATGTGTACCTGATGTATGTTCCTTCACAACTCGATCATGCAATGGAGACACAACAGATGAGAGATTCTTTTCCACAAGGTCAATCATACTACTGCTAGCCATTTGTAACGTTTCACTGCTGGAAATCATGTTTTCAGGAATGGAATTGTCAAACCTTACAGGCCCATGATGACGAATGCGTGTTAGTGCCTTGCGAGGTGAAACACCTAATATGCTCTTTTTGCTGGCAGACCTGAAACAATAGAGTTCTAAGTCAAGCAAAGAAACTGCAAACACATGCATTCAATGTGCAATCTGATGATGTTACGGCAGTGACTACGAAGATTACTGCATCTGGAATGTAATGCCAGATGAGAGCCTGTTTGGGTTACTATCTGATCTTGAGGATGGGGTGGTACAGTCCTCTGAAATTATGGTAAACTTTTACCATACTACATGCTGTAATACTCCAGATGATAGCATTCTTTCTACAAATCTGTTTAATTTCACAATGAACAAATGGGAATACTAACTAAGCAATGAAATGAAGCGTTATTTATACAAAATATATGTCAAAAGTATTTTGCTGCTAGAAATACACTGGTCATGTAAGAAAATTTCTAGTTTGATGGGCATTGATTAAATTCATACACGTAAGGCCATTATTTTATCCTTTAAAGAACTGTGTAAACTATACGTTAACATCCACTTTAATGTCTGAAATTCTGCATTCTCCCAAAAGTATACCTGTGTGATTCACATGATTCTCACAATAAACAGTGATTATTTCCTATACAACATGAATGAGTTGGTATTTTCTAATGGGGATGCAGTGCATTCTCTGTAAGGGAGGAATTAAATTTCCAAATACCATTTTGGCAAAATTTGCACTTCAAAGGGCTAATGGACAGTTCTGATCATTCGATCACTGAATGACATATTGCATGGTCTGTTAACCACAAAATCTTATCACCTCAGCTGCTGTGTGCTCAGCTTCATACAAACTGCAATCCATTACACTCACCTCATGACTGAAGGCGATGTAATGTCTTCGGGGGTTAAATTCTTATCCTGACGCTCATCTGATGGGAGACTGAAGCGAATTTGTCTTCCCTGCACAGCCTCCTCATCTGAAACTAACATAAGATTGTCACTTACAACACTATTGAACTTTTGCCATTTTTACTCATGCACCGTCAACAAACTAGAGAAAAATAAAACTGTATCAATACCCCCATTTGAAGATTTGTAAAATTTATAATTTATCATGTGATTTTGCAACAGTGCTTTATACGAATGCAGCAGAAATTCTGTACTGTAATTACCTTGCATCTTTTCCTCTGACACTTCTTCTTCCTCCTCCAGCAACTCAGGAGTAGCTGAAGCTCCCGTGAATGATACCTGTGACAGATTGTCAGGACTAACAGAGCAACGCACCATCTTCCGCACCTGACACATAAAACAACTTATTCTGCAGCAGTTGCACAATACAGCAAAGCCAGAAGTCAAGGATGCAAGAGATGTGAAGGCTATTAGTATTTAATGAGATGAAACAAAGACTCCATGAACAAATGATTTATTCTGTTCTTAAATATAATATAGAGTGAAATACACACTTAAAATTTCTCTGGGGGTCAGCATTTATGAATACTGACCTGGTAACCATCCTATCACCATACTGGCTCAAACTAGTCACAAAATGATACTGTTTATTTATAGAGAAGCCAAACATAGGCTACGATAACAACTGTAACTTACATCTTTCATGTAAGAGTAAGATATGGTATGGAACCAAAATAAAACATGGTTACAGAACCCACAGTTTGACAAGTACCTTCAGAATGGACTGTGGTGTGAATACAGTATTTGAAGAAGACAGATCTTGTTTCTCCTGTAGCCGAGAGAATGATGAGGGTGTCCTCCGTCGGACATGAGGTGTCTGGAGCAGAGACAATGCATCTGGGTTGGAGTACCGATCCAGTCTCCTGCCAACAAGACTCTTCATTTAGCCAACATCCAGGAGTGTCTTCCCGTGTGCAATTCACTTTGAACATCAATACATGCTCTTCTACACTGAACCACATCCAAGTCACATTGGACTACAACAGCACCTTTACTTTGGGATTAGATTATCTATAGTGGAATATAGCTGAAACTGGAAGATGAGGACAGATGTTCTTCCAAGATGTCGGTAATGATCTCCTAGAATACCTGGCAGCATATCCCACAAGACGGTAAGTAATCTCAGTAGTCATGTGAACCTCAAATCTACCACAGATTTTAGGCACTCTATATTTATTTATGAAGGGAGTAACTGGCATGGCCATGTAAACATAAATATAATTTGGTATAAGATATGCAATTTAGTTTCCTCACATTCTTTCCCAAATTCAAGTAAACAGTATTAACAAATTTGCTCCCACATCTGTCCAGTGGTCAGGTAAGTGCTCCCATATGTAGATTACCATATCAGACTTAGGTCAGACAGCAACATATGTGAACAGATTTCATTAACATGCCTGAGCTGAATGAACCGGGAGGACTCTGAAGATTTAGTATATTTCTTTGTTACATAAACTAGGTTCGCACAAAACAGGCTTGCACTATATTTTCCTTTTCCAGAACATGGCATTCATATGTTGTTTACTTACTTGCGTGATGACGCAATTGCGCTTCCTAGTGGCGATGAGTAATGGCCTGAATATCGGAACCGCTTCACAGGGGAACTACCCAGATCATCATCAGACTTTGGACTTGTGTATGTGAGCGTTGGGAACACAACAGCTGTCACATTCCTGCAAAGACAAATGTAAGTTAAATTACTAAGGTAATGTCAACCCTATCTTCATGTAATGTATATATTACATGAAGTTTTAATAAAATTATGTAAGTTACAGTCACTTTAGTCCAAGCATGCAATTTATTTACATCTGAAGACCCATCCCTTTACAGAGAAAACAGTCGTGTCCTATTTCAAACTCCTAATTCAAAATAACTTTCAGAAAGAGATACAATCTGGAAACATAACTGAAAAGCAATTACACAGATGCATTAAAATAAGAAATATATATGTTCTGAAGAAATACCTCGTGAAATTCGATGTGTCTGATGCAGCTCGAGGTGTACATAAAAACGGTGTCATTTCTACTGAAGGATTCTCCATGCTGGAACGATCCCGTTTAGATGGAGTGGATGACTGAACAGGAGACTGAATCATATGACTCCATGTCTCACGAGCTTTCTCCAGAGTGGCCTGGATCAAGGAGGATTTATAGCGAACTGGCTGCAATTCACCACGGTGAACTTCCACAGACATCGGAGTTGGTTGTGACACTGTACTCATAGTAAATACAGTACATTAACAGTATCAAGTGATTATTACTGCCAGTGTCAAAAGGACATTCCGCATACCATGAGCTTAAACAAAAAAACATTTCCGTTGATGACATGACACTGTTTTAAGGATCATGGTGATTTTGATTTGTTTCATTCTGGTCCATCACACTAATATTATGAATAAGCTAAATAGTTCCATTCAGTGGGACTTGTTAAGATTTTCTTATTTAAATTATTTATGCCCTTACATGTTTCGGTCTTCAGAGACCATCTTTGGAGGGACACCTTTTACATCAATACAGATGAGTAAAAGCAACACAGTGGGCCACAAACACATACAGGACAACATTAAAGAACCCTCTTCTCGAGAACGACAAGGTGGCACACGTTCAGCCCCCATCAAGAGAGATAATAGGAGGGACAACAGGAACCAGCTTGGTTTATGAATTCCAATAGAATTTTAACAAACTAACTACAAGTATTTGAAAGTATTGGAACAGCCGCTGTAGTTGTAAAGACTTTAGATTTTAGAGCCAATTGTATATTATTCATATTGTATGTATATATTTTGACTTTTGGAACATGTACTGTAATGGTGGCTTCTAACTGTATTGATGTAAAGATGTCCCTCTGAAGATGGTCTCTGAAGACCAAAACATGTAAGGGCATAAATAATTGAAATAAGAAAATCTTAACAAGTCACACTGAACGGAACTATTTAGCTTTTTCATAATGGTGATGTTAGGATGAATAGCAACTGGCATGACAAACTATAATTTTGAAGTACCTGAGAAATCAACTGCTATAAATTGATATGAACTGTGAATTTAGGTAACAGTAAACAGTAATCTTCATGGGCACTGCCACGAGACCCTCAAATACCACATTCAGAACACATATTCAGTACTTATGAACTGAAGCTTATATACACATATTTTTTTCAAAGCTACAGTCTAAACTGTTATAAGCAACAAGCTAGTCAGTTCAGGGGAGTACTAAATAATTAATATAGATACGTATGATGGTCATAGCTGCTGTCATGTAAGCCACTGGAATTATGAGTAATCTTTAGTGCAGATAAAGCTATACGGAAATCAGACTACACACAAGCTATACGGAAATCAGACTACACACAATCTTGTCTTCTTACTGAAAACATTTTGATGATCCCCTTCTTCCCATAATTTTGCAAGTGATACAAATAAAAAACTACAGGTCAGCAGATGCTGTACCTTGCTTCCAGTTGGTGAAGCAGGATTTCTCCTGTGCACAGTATAGGGCTAGTTTCCTGGTGACAGATGGCAGTGTCTTAGCATAAGCCTGGACAATGGTGTCCCGGACACAACTGGGCTTATCTTCTGTGCGACCTCGCTTCAAACTATTTGGATCTATGTGGCTCTTTGAACTGCGAATGCTACTGTTCACTTCCATTGCCTCTGCAATCCTAAACAACACAATAATATCTTTCAATTTAGAGTATCTTTGAAAGAGTCTATGCAAGAAAATAACCATTACAACTGTCAAATGCTCTAATGAAGACTAATAATACATAAAAAATAAGTTCATCAAAAAACATGAAATTAAAGAGGTGAGATGCAAAGGAGAACTTACTAGATTAACAACCAAAAGTACTAATGATAGAAGACAGGTCATATGCCAATACTGAAAGCATTCTCAGTGCATGAAGAGTTCTGTCTTCTGGGATATAACAGTAAGTAGTCTTCTGAAAGTCAACTGGTATTTCAGAGAAATATGTCACCTCCAATTCCTGTGTCAAAGAATAACCCAAGTAGAAACCAACATGAAACAGGTAGCAAGCAGAGCTCTTAAGTCAGAGTTCTGCTTGCTACCTGTTTCATGCTCGTCTCTCTTATTCTTTAAACAAGAAGATGGAGGTGTTGTTCTCTGCTCACTTGTTTGCTACTTGGTATGTTTGTTCTCCACAGTAAAGTGAGTTAACGGCTTACCAGCCCCACAAATCACATATCGCAAGTGCAATACTATATCATGACAGGAACACAGACATGGGATAGATTCCAAAAACATAACATTAAAATCTGTAACAGATTCAAAAGGTGACAGGGAAAAATAAACACATGGAAATGGTAACACTACAATCTTGTTTTTCCTTACAAATATAAAAGCAGGATTAGAAGTTAACCTTCAGATTTTGTTGGTAAGTATTTTTAAATATCTAGAAGTGAATTTTGAAATACCTGAGCGAATTTTATTTTCATATTAATATTTGTGAATGTTAAAACCCATACAGGTGACATAACTCAAAATGCAAAATGAAAATTAATTAAAAAAATGGCCCTAACTACTATACACAATTTCACTCTGCATTCATGTTTCATCAGCAGAAACTGACCTGGAACGTTCGAGATAATACATGACACGCATGTCATCAGCCCATGGATTGTGGCAATTCTGGAGAAAATATGTGAATGCTTCCTCTTCAATTGGAGAGAGGGCAAGTTGCAGGACCACACTCAGCTGGTTCATCTGCTGGCAGGCTAGCCAAAGATAAGAAAATATTCACACAATCTGTGTGCCGTAACATGTCAATTTTCTGGATGAAGAATCCAAAATATAGGCTGTTCCTGACCTACACTGTTTCAACTTTCAGTAAAACCAGACTTAAGATATTAATACAGTGATACATTGAAATTAATATTCATTATTGTACCCGACATATCACATCAGACATCCAATATTTAAGATTTTTTGGAACTCCTAGTATACATTTTTTGTGCATATTTTCAGGCAAAATTCAGATATATGATAAAACTTACCCAAGCTCAGTCATACATTATACAATATATAACACTCACTGGCTCTTAAACTACTAATTCAGGGCTTAAATAAGGTTTCATACACATTGCTTCCATGGTCATAGAAGCAGAATCTCAAATTATGATGTGTAAGTCAAAGAGAAACTGATGTCTGTCTTAAAACGCTATTTTCTGGAAGGCATTAAAGTCATAAGTTGGGAGTAGCCTGAGATTATTCATTGGGACTGTTCATAGTCACATGCCAGCAAATGCAGTGGCTCAAAAGTCTGGAGATTAATGTTATGAATTCAGATTAATCGATGGCTTTATTGCACACGGTGATGATAAATACCATAAGCTTATGCATATAAAAGTTGAATGATTAATATGAAAGTTTATACTTTTGAATTTAGAATGCTAAAATATTTACCACCATTCTCCTGGACAGACTGAGATATTTTTAAAGAGAAAAATTAGTAACAAAACCTGGAGCTAATATAAATGAATCGGTGAATTATCTGTATAACATCAATATGTAATTCTTGTGTACAGACCTCAGTTTCTCCCACATTTTTTAATGAATTTTAGAAATTTATGTGCCCATGAAATGACATTTCTTACACAACCTTAAATCACTTCTATGGTATTCCTGAAACTCTTCGGTGATTCATTCTTTGTTCCTACTATGTACATCCCACAAAAGTTCAGGCTCAGTGCTGTACTACATTCTTATATCCCAATGATTTTCAGGGCTGAACAACACCTCTGATGAACACAAATTGTGTTTTAAGTTTGCAATGAAGGGGTCAAGAGAATTTCTACAGTGTTATAATATACATGATGTAGCATATAGACCCATTGCTAAGTGGTGACTCCATAAACAGTGACCATTTCTGCGCAACAGCTAAGTAAGCACATTCACTTTGCCAGGCAACAGATTCTTAATAATGCTACAGTTGGACTACAACAATGGAAACAGGATGTTTCTATGTGGTCTGTGCCGAGATGTTATAAGCAAGGGACAAAGTCAGTTGAGAGTCGGTTCTATATGGAGGTCTGTGAAGAAATAACGTGAATGCGCCAAGTTGAAGAATCTCCACTGTTAGAAGCTGTTGCCCGGAAACGGCTGATGAAGACAGAACATGCTGAAAAAGGTTTACCAGGTGCTGTGGTGATTTGTGTTTCCGCTGTTACTGCTTGTAGTTCCAAATTATATATATATATAAGTGGCCAATAAACCCATTCACAAATCCAAACCTCGTCTACAGTCACACATACCACATGACAATTAGATATAGGAGTAATGCAATGAAGGAGATAAAAGTTCATTACACAGGCAAACTTTCCACATATAAACTGCAATCTGCAATTATGAAAATCGCTACAATACTCACCACTAAAAAAGTGCTGAAGCAAATCTCTTGAATTCTGCTCATTGCAGTGTTGTCGCTGGTACTGGAATGCCTCATGAATTAGGCCATTCACAAGCAACACTGTTAGGTTTAGCCTGCATCAACATATCACGTTCAAATATACAATCAAAGAGGCTTTATGAAAAACTTCAATTAAACATACATAAACACAAGTATGAACACAATTTTTATAACAACTTGTCAGAACATTTCTTCAAAATTCATTCCAACCAAATTTCATATCTTCTACTGATACTAACCGAATGTCCTCAATATCTTTCAGTGGTGGCTGTTGGACACGAATGTACTTCAGAGCCATCTGATGTTGACCCTGGTAGAGAAATGCTCGTATAATGCACTGGTGCTGCCATGGTTTCAGGTCATCCATTGAAATGAGTGGATCCAACAACATGTCTATAGCTTCCTGCACGAAAAAAAGGGGGGATGAAGAAAAGGGAAAAATCAAACAGGTTCTGCAGCCCACTCATAAGGAAAGATTAGATATACTGCCAAGGTGCAGTACACCAGTAGTAGAGCTGATACAGCCTGCCTCCCTGTGGTCAATCCTTAATGCCTTATCACCCACTCCTACCCATGATTTCAATTAAAATTTTCTCCTTTCATACTTTTCACTTAACTAGAAAGGCTATATAAATATACAAAAACAAAAAGCATGATATTCTAGTAAACAGTTACAAGAACTTATGTTTCTATAGGACTCTATTTCAACTTCACACTTTATGTAACACAGCAAAAACAGAAATCCTTGATTTAATTCATTAAATTAAATTTAAAAGTAACTGAATTTGAAATGTATTTTCACATTTAAGAGACAAGAATACTGGAGCAAGTAAACACCATTCTAAAGGTGTGGCCACACAGAGTGCTATATATGCGACGCACGCTACGTACGCCATGTTCGCTATATGAACAGAAAAATATCTCCCTTTATTGCCAATGTGACTGGCCACACAGACTTCCGTACACTACGTACGCTGTTAGCTGCATCACAGAGCGTTTGATTCTCGACTATATTTTTAAAATGTCACGCTGGACAGGCATGCACAATGGGCTCACTTCCAGGTGTCAGCTGCGCGCCTCAGTAATTTCCCACTCTGATTACAACACGTGTTATGTCTCATTCAGCGCAGTATTCGCTTAGATGAAAATGACACTGGAAGAATTAATTGAAGAAGTAAGGAAGTATCCATGTTTGTGGAACAAAGGGTTAGAAGAATATCGCAGCCAGAACATGTGGGATAATGCCTGGGACATGGTTTCTGAAGAATTGAATACACCAGGTAATGTACAAACATTGTTCTTTTATCTATAAGTGAAGAACTTAAAATATTTTCATCAACCCCATTCATTCATAAATATTCTTTAAATTTAACTTCATCTTCACGTAACTGCTTTATCAGATGATGAAATTCACCAAACTTTGTTCTTCTTAAGTTCACACCATGCACCCACTTCCTTTTACGTTTACACAAGGAAAGTAACATCAAAAGCTCATCGTTGGAATCATCGCTGCCCCCCCCCAAAGCACACTATCGGCCAACATCTCATTCAAGACTGAGCAGTTTCGTACCAAACATAGTTTTCTGTGTGGCCACGTGGTGTAGCGAACATGGCATAGCACTCTGTGTGGCCGCACCTTAAGACCCTCAAATTGGTGCAAAGTTACCACGATACACAATCAGAACCAACAGTCAGCATCTTACTGTGAAATCCTGATGGTCCAAAAGCCACAGAGCCTGTGTTATCTTGATGAAACTGGGAGTAAGACGGAATGCAGAAGGAAACTTTATAAACTGGTTGATGGCAGCAGTATACCTAAAATAAAATACCCTTTCAAAGTACTAGGAGTAAAATATTACTATACATAACTTTAAAATTTCCAACTACAGCATCTCATCTGGCTCCAATGTGACAAATACATAAGTAATAGTGTCTGATTAAATTTTAGCTTGATGAACAACAAACTTTTTGGCTACAGGACATTGACAGTGGAACATAGAATGTCAAAAATTCAGAAACTATCCTGATTCATCTTCATACACAATCTGTCTTTCAGGCAAGAGTGTGACTGCAATTTTCTTCAAGCAGATACATATACTACCACAGTCAATAAGTTCATGGAATGGCTGCAACGCGTCATACAGGAATTTACTGCCAATATGTTTCAGCAATGTTTTCGACAGCTATATCAATGTTGGCAGACTTGCATAGCAGCCAACTGCAACTATTTTGAAGGCTGATGTGGATCAGTGTATGTGAATACCTTGTAATACGATGCGATAAAACCAAATTCCACAAACTTAATGACTTAATGATGTGTATTAACCTTTATTAACTTGTTGAGGTAAATTAATTGCATCTGCACTGTGAGATCTGTAACTATTTGCTTTGCACAATATTGCACACCCACACAACATTAGCCTGACAACCCTTCAACACTGATTGGGATGCCGATCCCACAGACCACTACTGCACATGAAAACACATGGCCCTCTTTACCAGGATGCATCTTCAAAGTATATGATCGTTTCTCAGTAATTAATTTACAACAGACTCATATTAAATTTCCCACATAGCTACTATCACAGCAATAAATTACTTTTGTGACATTTCATGATCACTATTTCTTTTTGGTTTTGGACTGGCTTTTTGGATGAAATCTTTACTTTACTCATTACTTTATTTTTGGTTTGTAGGCTATGAAATCCGTTTTTATAACTTAATTACTTAGAGAGAGTATCATTGTCACTAAAACTAACATTCAAATATATTTTTGCAAGAGATTCTGACATATCTCAATTAGAATAAATCTGTTACATTTCACATGTGCCACAATAAAACAACATATTGATGAAAACAGATCATATATATATAAATGCTTATTTCTATAATATAGGGTGATATATTGTTCAAAAACCTATGGTGAAGTTTAGAAAAGTAACACGCAGGTATAATCTGAAAAGTATAAGTGCGAAATATAAAGTGTACTCAATTGCAGTAATGCAGAAACATGAAAAGAGAACAAGAGTACAGTAAATCAATACAGCAATGGGTTTAAGAAGCAGCTACAGAATTTTTGGACTTGATTCTATCTTATAAAGTAAGAAAACTCCTGCACCTCAGCAAGTTTATGAAATCAGTATATAACTATATTTTATGTTAATGTTAGTAAACACATTACAATAAGACCAGACACACACCTGCGAGACTCCAACAGTCCAGCCAAATCGAGGAACACGTAGATAACAATGCTATGCTTTACATGCATGGGAATACCATCCAGTAGGTAAGTTCGGAGAAGAGACTGAATGGAGGGGGGAGGGTACAGTCCAGTGCCTCCATCCCGCTCCCACAGGGAAGAGAGGCAGTCGCCATTGCATTCCCTCTTCACCAGTCCATCAATGAAGAGGATGTCTGTCTTGTCAGTAGCAGATCTGCTCAGTTTCTCCAACTCTGACCTCCTGAAATACACACTCATTAATATAACTTGACCCTCAGGTCCACAGAGACAACCTTAATGTTACAAAGGCCTGACCTAGCACTGGCCCACAGAAGTGACTTCAGCACTTCCACTACATACTGCACTTAGACGCACACAATGCACCCTTACTTCACAGTAAAAAATTTGACACATTATATTAACATTAACACATTTTATTAATACAAACTCTGTGGCCTGTAGTCCGCAAGCAAATTAAACCGACCGAGCAACCGCCGCTTGTCAGCGAAGTTAGTGTGAACTTTTAGCAGATAGAAGGTGTCATGTTGTCAGCACAACGGATCCCCATGACCGTTAAAGTCGGTTTTCTAGACCGGAGCTGCTATTTCCTTGAAACAGCTCCTCAATTATCCTCACAAGGCTGAGTGGATCCTGTTCCAGACCCACTAACTCTTAGAAAATCTGGTAGTGCCAGGAATCGAACCCGGACTTCTGGATCTGTAGCCAGGAACTCCGACCACTAGACCACAGGGGCGGTCGACCTCCTGAAATACACACTTATTAATATCACTTGACCTTCATGTCCACAGAAACAGCCTTAATGTTACAAAGACCTGGCCTGACACTGGCCCACAGAAGTGATGCCAGCGCTTCCACTACATACTGCACTTAGATGCACACATCACACCCTTACTTTACATATTAACATTAACACATTTTTATTAATACGAAGGCATAAAGAAAAAGTAATAATTAACAGTGAATTAACAGCATTAGTTACAACACACACAGAGATAAATACTCATACTGCACAAATCCGTCAATGCCTCTATTACCACCATGGACAATCAACTGAGATGCGATACCTCCCTATGAAGACTTTAACCTTTCCCAAGCAATACCCTCTGAGTTTCTTCGTTCTCCCTGATGGAGTTACTAGACAATGAACAGTTTCCACACAGCAATAATTCACATAATGGGCACACAGATGATCCTTAGATGGCTTGTTAAGTACCAAATCAAGACCCTGAATCAGAGAGGTATGATCACTAGGTCTGCAGCGAAATGAGAAGTTTGGGATTTCACCTTCTCTGTTATATGGCCCCCTCTCCAAACACCTTACTTACGTACTCATGGAGCTGAGCCCTTCTTGAGCAGCCGCCAATTCTGCAGCTACTCAAGAATTTCCCGGTATTTTACGGAACTCAAAGGTTCATTACTGTGTTCACAAGAGCCCTCCACTGGTTCCTATCCTGAGCCAGATCAATCCAATCCAAACCATCTTATCTCTCTAAGATTCATTTTAATATTGTCCCCAAACATACATCTTGGTCTTCCCAATGGTTTTTTTCTTTCTGGCTTTCCCATCAATATCTTATATGAATTCCTCTTCGCCCCCATTCGTGCTACATGCCCTGCCCACCTCATCCTCCTTGACTTGCTCATTCTAATTATACTTTGAGAAGAGTACAAGTTATGAAGCTCCTCATTATGCAGTTTTCTCTAACCTCCTGTCACTTCATCTCTCTTTGTTCCAAATATTCTCCTAAACACCCTGTTCTCAAACACCCTCAGTCTATGTTCCTCCCTTAATGTCAGAGACGAAGTTTCACGTTCATACAGAACCACAGGCAAAATTACAGTTTTGTATATTCTAATTTTATGTTTTTTGACAGCTACAGCAAGCAAATATGTTTCTTTGGCTAGGTTTTTCCAATTCAGAACAACGGTGTGTCAGCTTCTTCCCATCAGTTTACAGTGGAGATAATTACTGCAATTCTAAATTTCCCATAGCCAGTATGTTTTAGTATCACAAGTTTTGAAGCTTCTACCATCAACTGTGGCACTGGAATGCATATGAAAGAATACAGGTATCTGATCTACATTTCCTCTTTGATCTTGAAGACAGTCATGTTTCTGGTGCATACTAACCACATGCAACATCTGAGCATAGCTTACAGTCAGCTTCTGAACTAATATTGCTCTCCCACAAAGAGACAAACTGTTTCATCAGATAATCTTCATGGCCTGCCCAACACGTGCCTTGTAGAACCTGTTGCAGTACTCTGTGTGACAATACCACTTTCAAAGCTTTAATAAGTATTGTCTCCCATGAAACAGAGAGCCATCTATATACACTCCACAAACTAATTTGAGCACTTATTCTTCTACATCTGTCTATGACCCTTGTCTGGACTTCAAAATACTTTCCATGTATAAAGTAATTTCTTTAAATGAGAACCCACTGTTAGGAATGTTAACATCATGTATTACGTGGCTAGGGCAATTCTGGTAAAACATTCCTAACACTGGGTTCTCAATTAGAAGAAAAATACTGCAGAACTGGGATACTTTCATTGTTCTCTCAATGACCTGTCACTGGTCATTCATGTCAGCAGTTCTGAATGTTTCTGCCACAGAACAATTGCTGGTCTCTTATGCACACTTCATAACCAATAACTTATAATCTGCATAATACATAGCTGCAAAGCATTCATTTTGATATACAGGGTGTCCCAGGAGGAATGTGCCAAACTTCGGGAGGGTGTTCCTTATGTTAAAGTATGCCGATATAACCCAAAACACCTATGTCCAAAGTTGAACGGTTACGGAGATAATGGCCCAAGAAAAGTGTGGTCTTCTGGCAGGTCCAAGCACTGTACCTCGCTGTACCTCTCAGCTGAGAGCCCTTATCTATGTTTGTCCTTGAGTGCGATGATACTCCCTAGCCGTGCTTATGTAGTTGGCTCATACCAGAACGCGCAGTCAGCACGTTACGTCATCGCTCGCCAGTCATGTGTTATGTATACTGCTTGGAAACCTAAGGACAATTATGACATGGCGAGCGAGTATTTTGTACTTCAATTTTATGGCTTTCCGTCACTCACAAGTTGGTTTGATGTTACGTACATTATTAACATTACAGAATCCACATATTCCTGCCAGTTTTAATATGTATTTTGTAATCAACAAGTGTGTAACCCCGGTCAAAGTTTGACACTTCTCTGGCCATTATCTCCGTAACCGTTCAACTTTGGACATAGGTGTTTTGGGTTATATCGGCATACTTTAACATAAGGAACACCCTCCCGAAGTTTGGCACATTCCTCCTGGGACACCCTGTATGTGACATTGCAAAACCTCTCTTTTCAACATAGTCACCCATGATTTACAGATGGAACTCCAATTTCTTGTTCTCACAGAAAAAAATGCACATGTAATATAAACATGGGTTAAAGCCTTGACCATCGGACACTCCTACCACTGAATGTTGCAACACGGTTCTCACAGATCAGAGGAAACTGTATGCAGGCTTCCTGGACGTGAAATGAAAGTGAGAGAACACTATGAAACAGCCACATTACTAATTGCAAAAGAATTACCAACATAGCAGTACTGGTGGCAAAAACAGTGCCTCCAAATGTGAGACATCTCTTGTTTTCCACATGCCAAAGCATGAAAAAAATCTTGCCTTATATTTGGGTAAATATGATACATGTGTCATTAATGAAAAGTGCATTTAATCCAAACATGTACCTTCTCTGGTAGACTTTGGCAAGAGCTGAAGCAGGATAGGGGACTCTGTGTGCTCCAAACTCGCCTGCAGCCTCATAGCCATCATCGACAAGGGCAAGGTCCTCACAAGGGAACTCAGGCAGCAGACCCACATTAACAAACCATTCCACCACTTCAATGTACACTGCAACAAGCTCTAAGACCCGTGCCTGATGTGACAAGTCTCCTACACCTGGATACATAGCAGAATCATGTGAGGGACTGGTCAGCAGGTAATTTAGTGTTCACAGTATGAGCAGTATGAGTCTCTGAACAAGAAAGAAATCATATCCCATAAATCGGATAATTTGGAGAAACTCTGTTCCAAGTAGAATTACAGAGAGATCTGTATTTGGTGTGAACACAAGATAACTATTAAGTCTACAGAAGTCTTAAGGCTTTCATGTGGAGGTGTAACTCATCTTAACTCCATTCTTGGGTAATGATAACACTGTAGATGAGATTACTGCCATTTTGAATATCCTGGCTGTCTCCATTTTCAAAGCAAAGTGACTAAACAGTTACTGGACAAGAACTATAGGAAATCTGCGACACACTACTGTTCAATGGCTTCACCTGATGGCAGAATGAGCTGGCTTCTCCAAATGTCGGAAAATCCAACCCAAGAATGAGAAGTAGAAAAGAAGATAAACAAGTGAATACATGGGTTAAATTATAACACACCATAGTGACTAGGCCTAGACGTTAACTGTTCACAGCAGGAACATTTCTTCTAAACTTTCAAAGGCAAATAAAACACAATGAAATTTGTTTTTTTTTTCAGTTAAAATTTTAACCATCTGGCTAGCAGAAGATATGCTTGACTATTCTGTTCCAGCTGCTTTAATAAAAGAGGTTTGGAATTAAAGTTTGCTACCTTGTACAGAGGGATTCTTGCATATCTTCAGCACGCCCTGGAACAAAGTGGTGAGGTGGTGGAGCTGGTTGCCACAGTAATCCAGCAACTGGTATGAGTTGGTGTCCAGTTTCATACCCGAGTAATCATACAATGGAATGCCTAGATAATAATATTTCCCAATAATTTTATGCAACCAACAGGATTTACTGCTATAAAAACTAGAGGTTACATGCGCAGTTTCCAGCACAATAAATATACTGCATTTTTCCTTGACATAGGAATACTTATTTTTTCCATCCTCCAATATTCGACAAACAGAAGCAAAACCTATATAACAGCTCTAAGATAATGCTTCTTTCATGTCATCTTTGATTTTTTGATACACGCTCTTCTCTTTCTCTTTTTCATGTTGCACAGCAGCAGAGCAAAGAATGCTTCCATAAAATTACATGATGGCCTTGTCTGTCTATGCTTAAACATCAAGTTACCCCAGCACAATGATCAGTGCTCATGCACATCATAACATGATGTTTGGAATTCTGATTTCTCAGAAATGCCAAAATGGCAGATCAAAAGCAGAAGAAATCAATTTCAGAGCACTGTCTGTATACCAAATCCATGATGGCAAGGACATTGGAGACATTAATTACCTGACAGTAGAAGCTAAAGGCTCAACACCACCAGTAAGTAGAATTGCATTTAGAAACAGAACAGGGCACAATAAAATCCAGTGATTGTCCTTAATCTTTCTCTTCTTGCATCACACCACTCAGTCACTTTTGCAAAACACTGCAGTACAACTGCAAAATTAAGCTTCTCTTTTTCTAAGAAGTGTACTTTTACCATTATGCTCACTTTAATACATACTGCATTACATTAATCATCAACAGAAGTTCTTATTTTTGAGACCTTAGATACCACCCAGCCCACCAAGCCCAACTAGTGGCTTGTCCCCCACTAGTCAATAAACTCTGAACTAATCCATCATATTTAATCATGATCCAAAACATGCAATCATTTGCATAACCACAACAAAACAATGGAAGGCTGAAGAGGAAGATGTGTACTGGTGAATCTTTACTACTGTGTGACTGCGAACAAAACACCAAACTTGATCACAATCACAGCTTCTCATAAGAATGGAGGGATCTAACAAAAGTAACTAACACCTGCCAAAGAACACAATTTGATATTCCCTTGCAATACATACAGACAATACAATTATTCAAACACTCTGAATCTTCTGCAAAGTCACAAGCTATACTGAGACCACGGAAAGAAGCCCCATGGATCAACGACACCGCTCTCAAACTGTTATGGTTATCCCACCGGCACACTCCTCTACATTCCTTTCTGATATCTAGCCCTTCTGCTGAAATGAAATGTTGGCAGTGATAATGATGTGACAAACTTTGCTAGCAACAAGTACTTTGGGCTAGTTGATACATGCTTCAAGGGGCTGGTTGGGATTACAACAGTAGGCAGAAAGTAGGAAGCCTCAAGCATCATTATCCCCACCATCCAAGGGACACCCTTGCATGGCCTCAGTATAATGTTTTATATAGGAACATGGTTATAGTTTAAAAATGTATCACTCTCCATATGTTGGATATTAATGTACTTTTTATCATGGGGCTAGGAACAACATTCATTTTTATAAACTCTTCTCTTTACACTTAAGCAGACAATAAATAGAAGAGCCTTAGTTTGATTAGCTTAGGAAAGTGCCTTAGAACACATGTACTCACACAGGTTGTCAGCATGGGTTTTCAGAATCGTAGCCCGCTGCCACCCCCACTTCAGCAGGGAAGACAGGGTACAACCCATTGCACTCTGGCTTCCATCCACCCATTCAACCGCACAACGAGACAGAAAGCCCACCAGCTGATATTCCAGGGCAACCGACATCAGGAACTCCCTTTGTTCTGTCTGCAATGAACAAAATACTAAACTAGTCCTGCCATATACATACAGACAATAACCTACACAGCAACCTTCCTTTATAAATGAGAATCCTTAAGATTAAGGATAAGTTTACCTTGGGGATCACTTTAATATCTATGATCTGAAAAATGTTGATCATAATCACAAGATTAGTTAACAGTGATACATCAGTAATCGTTTCCCTGACAGTTAAATTCTAAACTCTGAGGGTGCAGAGTAATTCATATTAAAATTTTCACATTTTTACAAGAGCTCATTTCTAGTGGAAAGTTCAGTTATTTTCATCTGCAAATATCCCTTCAAAAATATTAACAAGAACTATTCAAAAGACTAAAGAATATAGCAGAATTCAGAATGTCATACAACATCCTTCAGTTATTCAGTATAGAGGGGGTAGGTTTCCCCATGCACCGCAACTAATAGTCTATTTCTACTGTCTCCATACCCTACCAATACTGGTGCCCGCTATCTCCCCTTTCTGCCAGCGAGGTTGGCCCTCTACTGGCAGTGGTACCCGATAATTCTCCCCTTTCTGCCAGCGAGGTTGGCCCTCTACTGGCATTGGTACCCGATAACTTCCCCGTCTACTGGAGGCATTGGAAACTACTTGGGCAGGAAACATTTTGCCTAATTTTGCTCAGAGGTCTCCTACAGACATGAGGATCTTTTACGTGCCGTAAATCTATGACACGGGACCCACGGATAAGTCCCTCCCGGAGGACTTGTTCCCTGAATTTTTCCGCCCTTAAAAATTCCACAACCTCCGCCGGGTTTGAACCCACGTACCTTGAGTCATGAGGTGGGAATGTTACCCCTAGACTATGGAGGCCGCCACAACATCCTTACTCTACGGTAGTCTTCTTCATTTGTGTATCTTCTTTAATGTAAACTCTTTTCTTCATCACAAAACTGAGATTTTGGTCCAGGACAGTGCATTTGGCAGGAGGCAAAGACTACTCTCTTGCAGCCACGTTATGCCTTTACCAGCCAACCACACGTACAAACAGCAGACAAACCGTCACTAGCAATATAAGTACTACCTTCCATCACACTCCAACAATCTGAGGTAATGTTCTAATGCTGGCATACATTTTCATGATTAGAACAAGCATTCTGAGGCAAAAAAAGTATGAAAAAGCCTGGAGAGCAAGTGTAAAATTTGCAGAGGGCTATCATTAAAATGTTATAATTTCTGTACCTTACAATATGACTGTACCTACATCATTAGATAGATCTCAAGGAGCAAAATGTTCTTGTATCTTTCTGGACACAGAGTAAATTCTGAGGTACGTATAATTTTGAAAGATGCCTTGAATTAAAAACCACACATGCTTCAAAAAAAGGCTGGAAATTCTTTACATCTCAAGCGACACAACCACATATTTAACGAATTACAACTCACCAGAGGACAGTTGAATGTTGTGCTCAGTTCCATATAAACAGGCCTGAGGCCTATAGCAATACAATGGTGGAACAGTTTGGTGGGATACACAAGTGCAGATGGTCCACTCTGCTCTAGTTGTGACAGGATATCTCGTTGCACACCCGGATGACTCACCACCACCAGCTCTTCTCCCAGAAGACTCAGAGACTCTGGAAATATGCATATTATGGCAACCAAACTATCAGTTTCAGGGCCAAAATTCATTGCCAACAGTGAGATTTCCTACAGATTTACAGGCTCTGTAATATACTTTCAGAGTGGAACAAAAAAAAGTAAAAAGTTAAGGTTTCCCTGTAATAGGCCATGGAGTCCCATGGGGTTGAGAAATGTTGAGGCTTCCGCATTTTCCAGACAATCAGCTCACAGACGGCGGTGAGGTTGTCAGCCACCCTTTACCCCCAGGAATAATCCTGGTACTCGTTTCTGTTACAGGCTGAATCGACCCCAGGGCCATAGCGCAGCTGGAACTAATTGAAAAAATCCACCTCATTGGAATTTTATCCCATGACCTTCCTGCTTGTAGCATAGTGCCTCAACCAACTATGCTACCATGTGCCCCTCAGAGTTGATTGATTATATCTCAAACTAATATTTTTCCCTTCCTCTAATTAAGATTTTCTTCAATTCTATGTTCTAATCACTGCTCCCCAAAGAAACCTTAAATAGGAGTGCCACTGTAAATGGTAGTCTTCTTGTCACACAGACACAATGACTATAACATGCATCCTATTCTTGCAAATGATGTCAGAACTTACCAAATGCAAGAGCTGAGGGATAGAAATGTTCCTCAAGACTCTGCACTGCAGTGAACTGTGAAAGACTGGCAGGATCCACTCTCACATCTAACAGTGGATTAGTGCTGTTGGCAGAAGTGACAGATGCCTCCACTACTTCGTCAAGTGACAAAACAGTCATGTATGTGGAGGCCTGACCTTTCACTATTTTGGCTGGCATCTGCTCCTTATACCACTGGTTAAGATCAAACAAAGCCATTCGGGTTGAGCCAGGACAGTTAGCTCCCCATGTCTCCCATACAAAGAGGCATAATGTCAGGTCGCTCTCCTGCACACCTGCAAAATATCACAACTATACCAAAGGCCAAGGCACATCTTCCCCTATACTTCTCATACCAATAGGAACTCCAAATCAATGTCTTTATTATGCAACACTATAGAATGCTCATGAATATTCTCGTATTCAATACAAAATGATCTGAAGAAATGGGATCCTATTCTATAACCTTATTTTTTGAAAAGAGAGATCATCTCATCATAAAGGTGTAGTGCTTGAAGAAAAGCCTGCCCCAGTACCATAAATCTGAACTTGGGCCACCTGAGTTATGGCATGGAATGAATACACATTAATACCTTGTAGAATGCTAAGCACTGCCAAGGGTATTTCAACGATGCTGTTGGAAAGTTTTTGTTAAAACCATGCTTGGGAGCTAATGAGCCCCAAAGAATATAAAACTTACTGTCATCCAAATCAGCATGAGGATTGTCTCTTTTTGCCACAGCTGGTGATAACTTGTTGATGGTGTGACAAGCCACAATGTTGCCTCCTACTATGGTGATACCACCCTCATCTCCTTCCAGATCAAAGTCAAACCGATGTACACACGATACAAAGTCCTGAAATATCACCATTACAGCAGACGACTCACAAACTGAGTAACCAACCCAGGGGAAACAAATGACAAGTTTTCCCTCACTTAACCAAGCACTCCTAACATATGTGAAGAGTTTGATTTAAAACAATCATTCACTCACCCCCACACATGTAGATTTGCTTTTGTAATCTGTAATTTAAAGCTTGGATGATAGTTCTGGAGGTACGTGTGAACAGATCACAGGAAGTACCACAGCACTGGAAATACATTTTGCATCAATGCATTTTATAGCAAATGATCAGGTCATAGAGGATGAGGTGGGCAGGGCACGTAGCATGAATGGGGGAGACGAGGAATGCATATAGGATATTGGTGGGAAAGCCAGAAGGAAAGAGACCACTGGGAAGACCAAAGTGTAGGTGGGTTGGCAATATTAAAATGGATCTTAGAGAGATAGGATGAGGTGGTATGGATTGGATTGCTCTGGCTCAGGATAGGGACCAGTGGAGGGCTCTTGTGAACATGGTAATGAACCTTCAGGTTCCATAAAATGCTGGGAAATTCTTGAGCAGCTGCAGAATTGGCAGGTCCTCAAGAAGGGCTCAGCTCCATAAGTAAGAATTTTAATAACAATATGAACATGACTGGATTAAGACTTAGGTTCATGGCAGGATGCTGAGACAAAATTCTCAGGAAGTACTGGAGTGGTAACAAAGAGGATTTAATTAAGATGTTTAAGGGTAAATCTCAAATCAAGACTGAGTTTGGCTGGTATTAGTGGTATGACCTTGTCATGAAACTGACTTATGAAATATCTAGGACAGCTTCGGACACTAAAATAATACTAAGATGATCCACTGGATCATAAAGAATGATATAACTTGATCAGGTGAATGGGAATATAGAGAAAAGAAAATGTTCTGGAAACTAATATATGAGAGACAGCAGCAGAAAGACAGAACAGAGAGAATTCAGTAAGACATATATTTATGTCTTACATATGATTTGTTTGAAGCAAAGCCCATCAGAGTTTCAAATCAGATTTACTGAACTTGAGCCTTACAACAGTAATGTAATAAAGGAAGGATTTTTATTATGCAAATGCTAACTCCTAAGTTTATTATGTATCATAATAAGCAAAGCATCTTAATTTTAGTTCACAGCTACAGTCCATTTAAGTTAAGAAAATATACAGTGCATTCAGTTAAGGAGGAAACTTCGCTACACCGCTGACCCAGCAAAACATTTTTCACAGATTGCTGCTGTAACTGCTGATAGCAGAATGAGTCATTAGCGCTGATAAATATGCGCTGTTACAGTTAAAGCAGCAATCTGTGAGGAATATTGGGCCCAGTCAATGGTGTTGCAAAATTTCCTCCTTGATTGAATGCCCTGTAGTATATATATTGAGACATCCCTAGCATTCTAGACTTCATCTTTATAAACACTGAAAGGTCAAAAGTTTTATTCATAACACTAGTCCACAGTATTCTACAGTTTATTATTACATTACATTAGAAGCCAATTTAACATCTTTCTGTAGGATAGCTGGTTTCGGAAAACTGAACTGGCAGTAACTGTACTAATAATACATTATTTTTCAGTTTCTCCTGAATGAAGTAAACTTCTCACTCCTATGTTACGCTTTCCACTGTTCTGTTGTCTTCAGATACATGTGGTCTGACAATAATGTTCGCAAACTCATCATGTTAAAAATGCTACATACCTCATTGCTGGATACCACTGTGGTTGCCTTCAAAGTACTCCCCTTGGGAAGTTATGCACTGATGCCAGCACCTAGTCCACCCTTCAGAACAATTTTGGAACTGGTTTTGTGGAATGACTAAAAACTCCCTCACAAGCAGTGTCGTGTAAACAGGGCCTTTGGGACCATTTTTGCCCACACCTTCCTCATGTCAAGGTCTTCACTTAAGATTTTCCTAACTGTTTCTCTATCGATGTTCGCTTGTTGTGCTATGCTCCTGACAGTCAGTCAAAAATTTTCCCACAATTTGACCATCTTTTGCAATTTTTTTCTTCAGTTTTGCTTGTTACTGGCTGTCCTGATCTCTCTTCATCAGTGACACTTTCCCTTCCCTCAGAAAAATGTGTCACCCAATTGTAAACTGCTGTTTTATTCATACCATTATCTCTGTAAACTTTCTCTAACATTTCTCTGATTTCACTTCCACTCTTGCCAAGTTATCAAGAAATTTAATTCAAGCTTCAACATTCTTGCAACAGTACACCAAAACAGACTCAGACAATAATACACGCCACTCAGAAAGAGACTGCCATAGATCAACAACAACACAGCTGTGAAACACTGATATGTCAACATCATCAAACCATACTGAGGTTTCTCTCCACTGGTGACATGGCAAGCACACAGTGGCGAGTTCATGAACTTTATTGTCAGACCTCGTGTGTGTGCGCGCGCACATGCACATGGCCGCATGTGTATACACAATCACCAGATCACATAGAAATATGCCTGAATATTCTGGATGCATTTTCAGTCTCAATTCAGGGGGCAGACGAATATTCCAATAATCACTGTCAACATAAAATGTTTCAAGATATTTTACGAGTTACAAACCTGGTTAAGATAACCATACCCATCAACCCATTCCTTGGACTGGTAACACAGGGCATACATTACAGCAAATGGCATCCTGTTCCTATGGCAGGAACTGTGAACTGACCACAGGTAGCAAAAGTTACGTGGGTCATCACATGGCTCCTGGAATCCAAATGAAATCACTGGAAGGGGGTCCTGCATGGTTGGGCTCATATACCTGCAGACAATGACCAACAGCCATTAATTTTCTTTGCAGTATGTTCAGCTGCAAAATTCTAAGTGAAGATCTTACGAGGGTAAGTCAGAAATTATCTGCACTTTCTCCATAACACATCATTAGGTTTGTCACACTGCCTCCTATGCATGCACTGTTAGAGTTGGTACTACTGTGGTCATGTGATCAAAGTTTTACCTTGATTGCATCATTTTCCTTGATGCTGTGACAGTGTAAACATGGCCGCTCTGCTAGCAGTGCACCAATGATTAACAAAGAATAGTGATCCGATTTCTCTGATTGGGAGGTGTGTCAGGGGCTGAAATTCATATGTGTGTTCATCACTATGAGCCAGAATCCAAAAGCCAGAGTATGGCGTGGAAACACCCGGGATCACAAACGAAGATGAAATTCAAGACTCAATCTTTTGTGGGAAAGGTGATACTAACGGTTTTTTGGGACTCAAGGCCTATACTGCAAGACTACCTGGAAAAAGGGTGTATGATCAACAGTACAAGATACAGTGATTTGCTGGCCAACAATCTGAAGCCAGCAATTCACACCAAACACCAAGGTCTATTGTTGAAGAAAGTGTTGTTGTTGCATGACAATGAACACTCACACGAGCACGGCCAGACCATTGAAACCATTAACCATTTGTGTTTTGAGGTGTTGGAACACCCTGCCTACAGCCCAGATCTCGCTCTTTCCGACTGTCATCTCTTTGGGCCGCTCAAAGATGTTTTACGAGGTTTTTGATTTTCTGCAGACAAAGAAGTGGCGGAAGCGGTGCATAAAAGGTTGCGCAACCAACCGAAAACCTTCTTCTTGGAGGGAATACGCAAGCTTTTGGACCGCTGGACCAAGTGCATCGAAAAGGGAGGAGACTATGTAGAAAAATGATGTACTTGTTCATCCCCTACTTTTGTATATACAGATTGGAAAAACAAGAGTGTGGATAGTTTTTGACTTACCTATGTATTTTTGATTTACCCTGACTTCACCAGGGTTCAAGAAAAGATGCTGTCAATTATGATCAGTAACCCAACTAAGCTACAGTAAAGAAATAAAAATAATAATGATAATAATATAATGTTCCTGACACATCTTTAGATGGATTTCTTCCACTTTTTAATTCAAAATGACAAAGTATATAAAAACTTTAATTTGTAGTGACTGATAGAGATTTATTACTTTGGCAGATAAAAATCAATTTAACATATTTTTATATTTATTTTAACTTGTAGTGGTTGACAAATTGTTGCTACATTGATGTGGAAGGAAGTATTTTCATAATGAATCTTATGATCTGGAAGCAAAAGGATTTGGGTTGGGGGATTGTTAAAAATTATTATTCCTAAGAACACAGGGGAAGGCACCAGAGGACAACAAAGCAGTATAAGCAAGACATTTATGTTGCAGGTCCTACTGCAGCCTGACTAGACCTTTTTTACCATCCCTATCATGGGCCAGTAAAGCATTCTTTGTTAATATGGCCATATAGGGGACTAGATCCTTGCTGTAGCTCAAACCTCAGAGGTTCTGATTTTGAAATTTGTGAGGAAAGGCTTCTCTGGAAACACTATGCAACAGCGACATATAACATGGACATAACTTTAGAGAGAGGTGCCTCAAAAATAATGTGAAGACATGTTATAAAAAAAAAGATAATAGAGTCACCACTGCTTACTCCAAGGTCAGCTGCATGAGGTTCCATATCTGGAAACTTCCAAAACTAAAGCCTGCCACTATGCTGGCAATGCGGGGAACATACATCAGCGCTGTCACATCTACACGTCGTCTTGGAAGACTAAATGTATTGCCACCAGGCAATGGTAGCAGGAACATCTTGTCTGCCAGGAATGACTCTGAAGTCAGTCAATCAATTAATTAATCAATCATTAATCACATTGTCAGACAAAAGTGAAAACATACACTTAAAACCTGTATGTAACACTCACTACTGCTAATAACAAAAAAATATTAATTTTAGCAAATATAATTGCATGTTTGCCAGAAAAACTGACACTCTTAAGGTGTTTAGAAATAATGGTATTACTACAATTACTTCTAAAGCATTTTTTTGTGATGTAATGTCTAGAGATCGCTTTTTACAGATACTTTGGATTATGCATGTGGGAAATGATACCACCATAGAAAGAAACTGGACCATCAAAGAACACAGAAAGTACATGGGATTAGAGAACATACAGAGCAACAGTTTCAGGAATATTTTGTACCACGTAAAAACATTGCAACAGATGGATCAACTGTTTGGTTCAAGGGCAAAACGATCTTCAAACTTATAAAAAAAACAGCGAAGTGGGGCATCAGATTATTAGTATAGTATTAGCTGACAGTGACACTGGTTATGTTTACAGTATAATTCCATATCACAGAAAACTTACAGGTGATGTGTGTAACTTGCCATACTCTGAAAATCGTTCACTTAAAGAACAGTTCTTTCCTTGATGGAGAGACTATGACTAAGTGTGTTTGGCATTGAAGGCTACCACCTTTTCACAAACCTGATGTTATACACCCATACAAAGTGAAGAATTTGTCCTCTTGTATTATGCCAGTAAGCTCAAATTTTGCTCCAACTTTATGCCCTTGTTGCACCAATTTTTGGACCAAACAATTAATTTAGTGGCTCTGCAGGCATTTAGAACACCTTCTTGGCCTGGCTGCAGAAAGTTCTAATAATGTGATGATTGGAAAAAGTTAAAGGTTATAAAAATAATATAATTTACTGTAGTTCCTTATCAAATGCCAACATTAGTGGCCTACCCACTCCACCTCAAAACAAAAACAGAAGCTCTCACATTCAATCCAATCCTATCTACCTCTTTCCAAGAAAACATTAGCAGGTGTTAATAATATACACACTGCCATGTTCTTCTGATACGTTTATCAACACGTTTATAATAACATACACACATATATAAAATAATTTATGTTTGTTCTATGTAGTATCAACACTTATGTTAAAATGCCACAAGAAGATATTTTCATATATTCCATCATTTTTATTTGCAACTTCTACAAATATCATTTTTAGTGCCTCATAGAAAGAATCACAGATTTTATAACTGTCCATCCAGGGTCCAGCTTGCATATGTGAATCCTCACAGATTTATTAACGGGTTACATCATGACAATGGCTCGATCACAGACTCATGTAGCATCAGAGATGTGAGAATTATAAATTGGACATGGAAGAAAGCAGTCACTGCCTTTTCCAGGATAAACAGAAATGAACCCAGAGAAGTACTACACAACCAAATAAGATTCGAAAATTATGACAATACCAACAATTTTAATGATAACTACTAGACATGATTCACAGAAACACTAACCATTCAACACCACACATAAATGGTCTCCTGTTCTGGCAGCATGTGCTCGTTTATATTCCAGGGTCTCCTGGTCAGTTTCTTGGACACTGATGGGCAGAAGTTGGCAAGCATGCAACTCATCTCTCAAGTCACCACAGCTTCCCATGCTTAGCCCTGCACATGTATGAAGAAAGATTACAGGAATATATATGATCTTCTGCTTTTAGTGCCAACCTAAATGTTTTCAAGTATAAACTTGCAGAGAAACTACAAACACAACATAAACTCAACTTACAGAGTATACAGTGAACATGAGACTGTAAACCTGTGTGACAAGTGTCCTTCGGCTTCATGGTGAGCTTGAGGTATATTAAATGAAGGATAGAATGGACTTCCATATACAGGGTCTGGCAGGGAAACAAGATGGATTTTAATTAGTACAATGGAGCCAATTTTTATTTCTCTTACTTATTTTATTTGTCATAATACATATTAATGTATGCCATTTTATGCATATGACTGCCAGCTCATTTTGTCTTGAAAATTATGCCATCCAGCTGATTACCATCTCTTCATACACATCCTTGCAGCCTTGTCTTGAAGTTGTTCATTGAGTGTCTTTGCCTTGTCGGGGGGGTATTTCCGTGATTTCAGGTTCAATCGCAACTTTCAGTTCATGAACTGTACGTGGTCTATTGATGAATATCTTTACTTTGAGATAACCCCAAAGGAAATAACAGTCAGGTGACCAAGCAGGCAAAGGAGAAACCGTGCTGAGAAATGACATGCCCAGGAAACATTTCTCGCACAACTGCCATGGAAGTTCTTGCAGTATGAGCAGTGGGCCCATCTTGTTGAAACCACATGGTTTGTTGATTAATTCCAGGTCTGTTAATTCCTGGTTCGAGGAAATTATGCAGCATATGTGAACATAGCAACCAGAGTTTACTGTCACAGCATGTCTGTCCTTCCTCAAAGAAATCACACCAAAGCTTCCTACACAGCACCAGACTGTCACACGTTCAGAGTGAAGAGGACATTCATGAAGCTGCCGTGGATTTCATTCCAATCAATAACGGAAGTTCTATTTGTTAACACACCGAGATAAGTGGAAGTGGCCTTGGTACTCATGCCAATGGCCGCATCATCTGCCACAATTTCAAGCATGTTTTGTGCAAAAGTAACAAAGACTGCCCAATCATGTTGATGCAACTCTTGCACAACCATCATATTGTATGGATGAAAATGCAAATCTAGGTGCAATATTCATCTCGCACTCCAATCTGAAATGCCTAATGCAATGGCATGCTTCATTGCAGAACAGGGGTTAGTCACTACTTCCCACCTAACAGTCTCATCATTCTCAGGCGTTCGGACAGTTCATGCACCTCCAGGCGGTTTCTTCTTTAGTTCTGAGCCAGTCGATCTGAAGTTTGCAATCCACAACAAAATCATGTTCCTACTGGGAACTTTACCATGGCAACCCACCAGTTTTAAAAAACATCTCGATAACAAAAGCATGATGTTCCGCCATCCACTGTTCCATATCTACTGAAATGGCCTACTTTGAGCTATTGAAGGTCAGTGAGCCCTCTCTTCCCACACCACCATTGCCCAAACTAGTGCCAACTTAAAAATGTCAGGTTTCCTTGCCAGACCATGTAGTTCTGTGTGCTGCTTATTGACTGTTCACTGTTCTTCCTTGTGCACTACATTTCCCTACAGAAGTTACACACTTTCAAATATGTATCTCCAGATTTATATGGCAAATCCATAGTGCTATTTAAAAAGACGGTGGGTCAGTTTCAAAATTACAGCTTCAGCCAGTGCAGCCATGCCGTCATTGCAATCTATTAATATAGCCCCAGCTTCTATATTTGCACATTAAATATATAGTCTGGCAATTAAATGACTACACTGACAATTATGTTACCAAAAAATAGGCATTGCCACTAACTTTTGGTGTCATCAACTCAAAGTAGTCACCTTCTAATTTTAAATTCATTCCATTGTCTCTGCCATGTATGAGCCAAATGCTTGAAATAATTTTTTGAACACTCTTTCATGGCAATGTGACAGCAAAATCAAAACCTGGCATAAATAACCCCCTAATACTCTATAACAAGTGGAAAAGCAAGATGAAATTCAATGGGGAAATCAATCCTTTCTTCTATTCATCCTTTGCCCAATTTCCTTCATCCTCTTCCCTCATTCATCTGTTAAAACACTGCATTAAGTTACATTTTCACCCTTCAGATGGCACAGTTTTGAACATACAGCTGTCACCATTGTTACATAAAAACTACCATGGTGTCAGAATGACATAACACATACATAGTCAGATAACACATACACAAAGATGCTCCACTAGCCTACCCTCATCACAATTTATCCGGCACAGATCCACAAGCATTATTTGTCCACCAGCAAGGCCAACTGCAAGCACACCAGTCATAGAGCTGAGGAGTTGCGGCAGAGGATAGCATCCTTCAGATCCGCAATCCACTACATTCACAGATGTCACCTGAAAAAAAAAAACTGTTTAGTGCCATCACTGCTTACCTCCTGAATCCAAGCTTCTCCTTGTCCCCATTACAGAACCTTAACATGAATCGCAAAGAAAACACAGTTTCAAAGAATTCCTCTATCGTTGTATGTTTATTCATTGCTTTGGAAATCGTTTATCATGCCGCTGCCTAGCTGCATCTATTCGTTAAACTATTCTAGGTTTTAGACTTCATGTCACAATATATTAGAATAATCACACACACAGTTCAGTATTCACCAGTCTGATGTGCTGAACATTAAGGTTCAATATGTCAAATTACAGATATGAAGACTTTCACAGTAAAGAAATGCAATCATTCAATTTCTCACTATACAGTAACCTTTCAATTATCCACTTCATGAATCAACCACAGAACTCTCAGCCTCTTAGTTACAGCTTTCTGTAATGATTCAATTCTTTCCCATTACATCTGTTTCAGCAGTACACAATATTTACAGCAGGTTGTACATCTCACCCTAGTGCAACTTTCTGTTCCCTTATTCTATTGCCCTTTAACTGCCAAAAGACTGCTTTCTACTGTTGGAAAGATATACGCCTAACTCTTTATTAATTGACAGTAGGATCGCTAGACTCTGCAATGTTAACTGATCGATGAGATTTTCAGGTTGAATGCAGAATGGCAGATTTTTTGACTGCCTGTTGTTTTTAATCACCGGTACCAATTTTCCCTTCCATTACCACAGATAATCGATAGTCTACCCTGTGTAAGAAAGTTCCAAACTTCAGGCATAAGATTATACATCAAAGTTCATGAACACATTTCATAAACTGACGAGAGAACATTGTCTTACTTAAAATTATGCCACCACATGAATATAGCTTCCTGTATCAACACTAGCAAAGATTTCATATTTGTGAAGGCAGACAGAAAGCAGTACCCCCTTCTTCTTTCCCCCTTAGGTCACTGCCATACACAAGTTATGTTAGTATCAGTGTAGTGCTCCAACATTAACTGTCAGCCTCCCATACTCACTGTTTATTGAAACATAAAATGGAGCAGTGGGGCATGCAATAGCGTAGTTAGTTGAGGCACTATGCTGCAAGCCTGAAGATCATGGGTTCGAGTCCTGATGAGGTGGATTTTTTTCAATTGACCTCATCTTTCCACACAGAGATATTGGGTTTTCGGACTTTATCCATCGTCCTGGTTTTAAGATAACCAAGAAAAACACGACATTTCGGAAAGTGGATCTGTTTCCATCCTCAGGACCAATCGTCCAGTGATTGAGGCTAGCTCTTTCTAAGGGACCCAACAGAATAGGTGTTTTCCCTCATCTGAGGACAGAAACAGATCCAGTTTCCGAAACATCATGTTTTTCTTAGTTATCTTAAAACCAGGATGATGGACAAAGTCCAAAAACCCAATATCTCTGTGTTATACACCACTGTCAGAATCCTATAGTAACTAATCCTTCCAGCCACACTACGACCCTGGGGTTGACTAAGCCTCTAACAGAAATGAGTACCAGGAATATTCATGGGGGCAAAGGGTGCTGCCAGTGCATAAGGCTGACAACCTTACTGCCATCTATGAGCTGACTGTCTAGAGAAAATGTAGGAACCTCGATGTCTCACAACCCTATGGGCCTTCACGGCCTGTTACAGGGATAGCATTACCTTATAATGAAACAGTGGCATTTGATTAGAAAGTGGCAGAACTTGTAAGACAGTTATAACACTGAACAGTGATTGAATTCTTTAATTGCTACAGGTCAGATGCAGATTCATACACACTGAACACCTACAGAAAGCATAATGTACTGAAACAGCATGACACTGAGGAAAGCACTTAAATGGAGGCAGGAGAAGCAGGCGTGCATGACAAACCACAAAGTTGTTCCCAAACTGTTAACACCAACTGGATCAATGACCCTGTATATAACTGCTACATAATAACAGATGTGATGCATTTCAAGGTTTCAATCAGCAAAGGCAGTGTGATGATCAGTATTTATTTTCCCATGTTCACAGAGACTTTGAAAACTACTGTCACCAGTATAACATAAGATGGTGATACCTTCTTGTTGCAAGTCATCATACCAGATGAGACTTGGATCTCTGGGCCCATCATTCAGAACCAGAACCTAAAAGGCATTCAATGGCATACTTCACATGGTCTCTGAGGCCAACGAAATTCAAGAGTGCGCTGTCAGCAAGAAAAATCATGACCACAGTTCTATGGGATTAGGAAACTGTCATTCTTGCCACTTTATTGTTTTCCCGGATCATGGTTGATTCAGAATATTATGAGGACATGTTACAAAAATCGAAATTTCACTTTGAACCAATTTTCCCGTATGAAAAATGTATTAAGTGCTTTTCGTCAATGCCAAGCCCCTACTACAGTTGGCACTATTGATGCCATTCCAGAATTTGGCTGGACTGTGGTGTCTACCATCCACACAGTCAAGACCTCATCATGTTCAGCCTTTTGAACAAACACCAGTAGGACAATAACACTGAAGAACAGTGTGTGACAGCTGTTGAACCATAATGATGGATAATTTACAGAACTGGAATAGAAACTCCTATTCAGTGCTGAAAGTTAAATGTAAGGAATGACAGGAATCATGTAGAAAATAACTGTCTACGAAAATGTTGCTGCTATGTGGAGTGTAATGTGTACACATACATCTTGAATGCCATACGTAAAATGTAAAGTTGTCCCTGTGCTTAACTAATTAAGCACAAAGCCATGAAGACATATGGGGGAGTGGATGTTAGACCCATATTTTCTTGACCTCGGCACTAGACGAAGGTGAGCAGTCAGCTTCACGCCCTGGCTGCTTTACCCCTGGTACCCACTGGGTAGTAGCCTGGGTGGGCCCCAGAGCCAGTATGGATGACATGGAGAAGTGAAAATTCTTGCCCCCCAACTGTGACTTGAACTCCAATCCCTTGGTCATCCACCTAGTAGCCAGTCGCTATACTGACTACACTATCCTGGCTCTATCTTGAATGAGGTACAAAAAATTAACAGGCAATTCTTTCTGACTGAACGTCATATTTTTTTGTAATACAACTGAGTTATTGCATGTAATGACACAAAATCGACCCCTGGCCTAAATTCCACAGGTTCAAGTGATCCCATGCTAAGAGTTATTAAGAATACTGCATACTACAAGCCGGAAGGTCACAGGTTCAAGACCCGATGAGCCCCTGGGTTTTACTCAGCCTGTAACGGAAATGAGTATCAGGAATTAATTAATTTTCCTGGGAAGTGCGGCCGGTACGTAAGGCTGACAACCTTACTGCCATCTTTGAGCCGATTGTCTAGATAATGTGGGACCCTCAACATCTCACAACCCTATGGGCCTTCACGGCCTGGTACAGGGTGTAGCCATACCACTGACCCCACCAGCTTTATTTGTAATCAATATTTCTTTTAGAGTAATTAAGCATAGGATGTAGTAAGGAACATTCAAGGGTGACTTAGCCCGATTCTTGGTTTCAAGAATAAGGCTTGCTTCACTGCTACAAAGACCAGGCAGGAAGCACCTCGCAGAGTTTTCCTGGAAATTCAGTTCGAAAGTTGACCGGCCGGATCCTTTGGTAAAGTTACACTTGACAGGTTTTGAACCCCGTAAGTCAAAAGTGGGAAGGCCAGCAACCCACGCTACTGGTATAATTTTTCAAGCAGCTGTCAAAAACGATGTTAGGACATTAAGGTCCAAAGTCCCAAACTAAAGCTAGGTGATTGGAGCAGTGAGAATTATGGTTAACTCCCTAAATTCGAATTGTTCCAATCAGCTGAAATTAGGGTAGTAACTTGGAGGCGGAGCTGAAGCTGTGAAGATTTCTTGCTTCAAAGCAGAGTCAGTCTGCTTAAGAGGGAGTCTGTGAACAACTCTCCAAGTGTACAGTCAAAAAATTAGCTAAAAGAAGCAGTCATTAAATAACTAGCCAGGGATCCGGTCGCCAACGTTTGAGCGATTTCAAGGTGTTTTAAGGGATTAAGGACAAGTGCTGTTACATGTATATCAAGATCTGCTCATTAAACAGTGTGTGGTAGTGCCTAGCTATAAACACTCTTATCTTTCCCGCTGACACGAGGCCCGTATGCACCCTGAGACAGAATCTCATCGCTCCAGTGCGAATGCGTTACCCATCACCCGTAGTTTCTGGTTCATCCCCCCTTTTTCCTGAAATGTAAGCCTTTATAGTAAGTTTACTGGCGCCCAGCATTCAGATAACCCATAAACAATTACCCACAACAACAACAACAACAACAAAAAAAGGGAAGCAGAACTGGATAAGAATGACGCAGCAGCAACCTGCAAACTCGGAATACCTACAGGTGAGAGAGAACGGCTAGAGGAGCAGCTGCAACCAGCAACCAAGGGGCCCAAAGGACGGTAAGAGAAGTAAGGTGGCACCAATGTGGAAGCAAACAGTTACAGAGGGAAAGTGGCACCAACGTAAAGGGCCCAACGGAGTGAGCGGTTAGAAGGGATAGCTTTACTTTTCACTTTACATACTACACACACATTTTTTGCATCATAACACACTCAATTTATAATTGACAAAAGACTCTGCTGGGCACATAAATTATCCCACTCATGACTGGCTTATGCAATCTATAAATGATAAAATAAGTTGCAATTTTTCATTAAAGGGTGGCATCACTGAACAAAAAGGACATTACATATACCCTGATGTATCTGGGAATAACAGTACTTTATCAGTACACATTATAAAATTCTGAGTGCATGGTGAAACAGGAACTTGAGCAGTTGGAATTACGGATACAGGACAAAGCAATCCATAACTGGCATGTCTTCTCTAACTTACACCTCAAAATTCCAAACATGGCTTGTGTGTAAGAACTTAAAAATATATTGTCTTACAATATCTCAGAGCTAGCTAACATGAAAATCTCAATAAATGATTAACTGCTGTGCTGAAAAGTATGTTAGTTAGCTTCTACTACAGTACATGGTGCCATATTCCAAAAGACAGCAATCTTCTACTATGCGAGAACCTCAAATCCAAACAGAATTAATATATTGCTAATAACAATTTCACAAACCTTAGAAGGCATCCGTACAGCACGTAGAACCTTAGAGCCGCGTATGTCAAAAACACATATCATCCCTCCAACCAACTCGCATTCCAAGCCCACCACAAACTGCGAAACACGTCCTGAACCATCATTACAGGGCAACTCTGTGACACAAGTTACTCTGGTTTTTGAATGATGCAAGACAGCTCCAAATGTCCAGGCAGCTACTTTGGCACCATTTGTAGTTCGTATTACTTCAAAGCTTGGACCCCAACTCAGCCAGGCATATTGAGTATCTGTTGGTGTAAAATCATATACTGTCAATATTTACAGGCATATTGATACATATATCAGCATGTCTCAAACAAAATGTATCTTTATCAACAAACCATCATGCAACAGAAGCAAACGAAACTGAACTATGAACTATATTTTACCTTTCAAAAGCCCTCCTTTCAGATCATAATGTTGCTCATTTTGGCCATTCTCTATTCTGAAATAACTTGTAACAGACGCAGGAAACTTTACAACTTTACATATCGTAGCAGGTGCTTCTTGAAGTTTCATTTTGTGCTCATTCATGTTTTCATACTTATACTACATATAATTACGTATAAAATTTGTAATTAGCTCCACACAAACACAAGCGACTTACTGCCAGTACGTTACATGTTGTGTTCGATCAGAGACCGCAAAAGTATGCATGTGGATTAAACTGTTGCACTTATTGTCCATAATCAGCTTATTATACTAGGATCTTCTTTTTAATTTAAATAACCATTGTTTCTATATGATTAATACAGCGAGAACTTATGTCTACAAGTGCACATTTGCCTCGATTTCAGCTTCTCAAGTCATGCAGCCTGGAAAGTTATATTTAGTAACGAATCACTTTTATAAAATCCACAGAGGTATACAAAAAAAACTAACATAATAAACAACCTATCCATGTCAATGCTCCCACAACGCCATACCAAAATCTTAATACCATTTAATCATTCAAACACGATCACCACACAATACCTACGAAACTTATCGTATCGAATCGTATGACGCAGGGGCTGCAGGTATGGCGCGTATCGGTACGGAACGTGTCGGTTCCGTGGTCACCCTAATTATCACGGATCACTCTATCGTCGTACTGATCCACTAACGGATCCGAGAACCGCACCCGCAGGCTTATGAACTATTTATTTTTCAGGCAGGCGTTCACTAAATTGCATCGGATCGGATGCTAAGTTAACATGTAATGCGATGCGAGAGTTATGATGAAGTGAACGACAGCACTCTTGATTTAATTATTTACATGTTACTTAGCATCCAATCAAATCCGGGATAGCTGGGTGAGTACACGGAGTCACGGAGGACACCATGCGCAGTCGCGCAGTGTTTGCCGTGAGTTGAGTGTGGATGGAAACTGGATTGTGGGAAAATTTTAGCAGTAAAGGGTTCATTGTAAAGAATGGATTTACTTGGCTCAATACTAAATTCTATGGACAAACCACCATCCTTTAGCAACAAACAAAGGAGTTTGATGAAAAGTAGGATTATATCCTAACGTATGTAGTTAGGTTATGTATGTTGTTTTTAAGGTTACGTAGCATGAATGTAAAGAGATCGAGTAGTTTTCCCAGTTACTTACTGAAGCTGGATCAAGTTTCTGAATGTATTATTACGGAACTTCTATTCACCTAAGTGGAAGCAAAATGAAACGAGATGTGAGGAATTTTAATGTTCCTAATTAATATTTGTAAGAGTAGATTTTTGCTTCACCTCATAAACTTGCCATTTAATTGTAAGTTCATCTTTCGCAAGCCATTTGAATGCAAAGGAGTCCGGATACGATAAATTGTCGCGTTATTTGGATATCGGTGTAGCTTTGCATTTCAGCGACTTGTTGCGTTAATTTAGAATGGTTCGATGCTAAGTTAACAACCTTGAATGAATGAATGAATGAATGAATGAATGTATAAGGGGTGGGGCTTCTCGGCCCCTGCGCCGCGACCTACAGTGGTCTATTATGATTCGCTAGTAACCTTAAGAAAAGCCAAATTAATTTGTAAGGTAGGGGGACTGGTTTGGTTAGAATAGTTCATGTTTGTTGTAGTAAATTTAAATAACTATTTTCATAGCCCAATACACATATGCATAATGAAAATAAATTCGTGAATAAGGTCTCAATATTGTGATTATTTGTTAAAATGGAAGTCTAAAATATATACAACATATGTCCTGAGACACTCAGTTTTTGAGATGCACATCATTGGCAAATGGGATAACATACTTCTCAGTAATGTTGTCACGATGATATGCGGTGTGTTGTTAGATTTACTGAAGACATACAGTGCACAGCAAGAATCAGTTTTGATCGAATTATCACGGAATACACGCGATAAATACTGCGACATGCTCATATCCCTCATTACCTCTGATAGTTGAGGTGATACTGCTGCACAGGAATATGCTACATTGTTCTGGTCTATGTCATCCAGGTGCTCACATGTCTTGATAATTGCAGCAACATCTCCATGATACAAGAAGTGTATATGCCCTAATATCAGCTGTGGAATGAGAATATGTCAAAGCTGTGGCAAGCAGTTCTGATGGTGGTCACTGCTATCATGTAACAACATGTTGGAGAGAATGCTTTGTAGCACACTGACATCTGCCTTGAAATGGCCAGAGGCTGCCTCACACATCTGTTGTAATTACAAGGTACCCATGGTTTGATTGATAGGGTGTGCCATTTGACAGTGATGTGTGTCTTGAAAACTAAGCGTCACAGCACGTGTTACACAGTGTTTTCAATTTATTTTTAAGGAAGAAGTCACATTATAAAGAGATTGTGTGGAAATTTCATTTCATTCTGTGTATACATAGATATCATACTTGAAGTTGTTCTCAGAGTTTTAATGTGTGTGTTTCCCTATTGTCATTTTAGAACACAAAGAAGAGATTCTGAAAAAACAGAGAGAAGAAAAAGAGAAGCTCAAAGCCTTTAGGGAGACAGTAAGTACAAAATTGTACACTGGACATTATTGTAAGCTAAGCCTCCTTTTTAAAAAAAATGCAACATTACTATCAGGATAAGATTCTGTAATCTCATATTTCAGATTGAAGAAAATATTAACAAGTTCCTACAAGATGAATCACTACAGAAACACAAGTTTGAACCTATGGAGCAGGTCTACAGAAGTATTGTGTATGTTTTGGGGATACATTCTGATAACATACATATTATAATAAGCTTGTGTAAAAAGAATGGTATAATGATATGGTCATTAGCTGTCACAATTATAATAAACATTTAATTCCATGCAGATTAGTAGTCTCTTGTTTATTTTCTGTAGCTACTTGATAATTCATGTCTCAACTTGATTATTTTTGCAGTCCTTTTAAATACCAAGATCTCCACTGTTTCAAGATTATAATGCTTCTGGATAACTTTTTTGAAGTATAATATGAATGAATTATATGGTTTCAATTGTTTTCAGACGTGATGTGGCAGAAGTAGCTGGAGTTCCAGCATTTTCAATAGGTGAGGAAGGAATAGACAGGCATGTGATGATTTTTAAGCCAGAGTTTGCCCCAAGTGATGATGAATTAGCAGCACTGAGACGTGGAGAGGAGTGGGATCCTGAAAAAGCAAAGCTACTGGCTCAGAAGGTAATGGGAATAGTTTCTTTTATTCAGAACACCAAAACTTGAAACATGCAAACAATAATGATGCACTCCCAAAATCAACATGTGATGGACATAGCTAGTAACATAATCTGTTAAAGGAAGAGCAAAAGTTCAATTAATAAAGTCTCATGTTATTCAAGATATTGATGTTTTGATTTTTTAAAATATATATCAATGAGTAGCAACCTGCGTTGTATACAACACACACAGCCACATAAGAAAGACACAGTATATACACAATTAAAACATAAGAAGAATGACTCCCATAGCGGATGAATGGCATTACACACGGGTTTGATATATGACATGTAAGATGATAGATCTTAACAAGTTTTAATATATAAATTTTAGTATTGAACGACGAACACACATTTTATATCATTTTATAAATGGACACTTGATGGCAAGCAGTGCAATGGTTTAACGTGATTAATACACCTGAGGATGGCAGAATGATGCCGAAACATGTAGTGTGAAGTGACAAATGAAATTGTCTGCACTAAAAGACTGTTTTAATATATACACATTATGGATACGAATCAGTGCAACAGGACTCTAAAATACAACATTGTTAGAAATAAATTTAAATCTTTTACATCTATAATAAACTGTATTATTCGACTGGACTTTGTCTTTCAATCTTGGTTGTAGCAAGAACTAGAAAGGAAAGAAGAGGAAGAGAGGGCACTGAAAACACCGAAAGACTTCGTTCCCAGTTCCAACTACAGAGCAAAATATGAACATCTGATTGGTCGAGAGGCAGCAAAGGAAGCAGCTAGAAAAACTCAAACTAATAAACAGTATGGCTTTGGTATGTTTCTAAAGAATATATCAGCTTTCAGAGCACCTCAGCTATGACTGAACTGTTACATGAATGAATAACAAGGGTGATAGGAAACATGTAGTCTGAAGTAGTAAAACTTTTATCAGCAAGAAATACAATTCCTTTAAGTATATGTCATGCCTTCTTAAGGGACATAGTATGTTCTCAGAACTCAGAAGTTTCTGCTAGACTGTACTCTGCTTATTCAGGAACTAGCCTATTCTTCAGAGCACAGTTCAATAAAGACTGCATGAAAGATTTGGAACTTACTTAGTCTCATTGCGTTTTGTGCATATTGGTTTATGACAGTACAATATGTATGCTATGACTCTCTGAACAATTACATTCTCACTGGATTACTCTTAAAAAAAACACACACGTGTGTGTGTGTGGGGGGGGGGGCATATGTGTACTGTCACGTGTAGGGTGGTACATATGGTGAAAATAATGGGTTCTAGTTTAAATGACTGGATTTATTAGCACCTTGGTTACAAGTTCTCTTAATCACGCTTAAATACAGCACTATTGCTCATTTACACAATTTCCAGTTCACTGTTGCACAAGCACTAGGACTGTCCATCTTCACTGGTCGTCTCCTGGCTGTTTCATCTTCAGTCACTCTGGAACTTCAGAACTAAAGTTTCTTCTGGACAACACTCTCTCTATTGTTGATGACATCACCGCTTTCATAGCATGGTCCATATGTGGAAATGTGTTTACTGAGCTGTTGCCTAGAAGCAGGTTGTGCCACCACTGCTCAGCGCAGATGACATAGAAAACACACCCTATCTATAGTTGCATATTGGACAGTGTTTACAGAGCTGCTGCCTGGCAATGCATTGATGAATATATATATATATACATATATAGTTGACCTACACAGTAAAGAAACTGTATAGTCAACTAGGGGTTATCCCTGGTAAGGACTTTTAAATGCTCTCATTTCCAAAATTGTGCATATCTTTGAGGCACAGTAAACCACCGGTTCAGTGGGTATTTGGCACATTTACTAGAAGTGAAAGCAGGCACACATTTTCTTGAGGTTTTAGAGCGCACAGAGCATTATCCTGCCCCTCAGTAAATCGTGCCACAAGAATACCTTCACCTGCACATGTAAACCCTGTGTGTCCATATCCACACACTTTGAATCACATTATGTTCTACTTTTAATAACTACAATGAAAAAATTTATTTTCAGTACCAAGTGAAAATAAGAAAGATGTCCGGTCGATTGAACAGACATTAGCTGATATCCAGTCAAAGAAGCGTCAGAAAGTGAGCCATACTCCAACACCAGATCTCGCTGAATGAACACATCCATCAGTACCAGTAACTTGTGTTGGGATTATTTCATAGATAGCATATATCTTTAGATGTTTGTTCTACCAGATATTCATTGGTACTGTCTTGCATTTGTATTCTGTCTATTCAGACATTATTGCAAGGAAAAACGCTTGCTAAAAATGTTTTCAACACACAGCATTCAAGGGATTCCTGGCATAGGAGCCATACAGCATTGCAACTTGAGATTTCAGACACATCACAATGAAAATTTGTGTTTTAAAAGACTAATGACCTGTTCATATTGTAGTCTTCTGTATTATGACACCTCCTGTACAATACCATATGGATCTTCACTGCTGTAAAACCTTAAGGTCATACTTATAAACTAGCTGAAGGAGCTAAGAGTTCAAATAGCTGAATGAACAAGTGGAAAACAAACTTTCATTTGGTATTTTCCATAGTCACATTTAAATTTGTAAATGTGTAATTTCAACAACATATTACTAGTAAACAATATCTCTAATTTGACTCATTCTGAGAGAGCAGCAGTAATCAAATGGAGGTCACAAACTGTTTAGCAAAATATTGTATTCTGTTCTGAGAAACTGTATATAAATAAAGTCATTATTAGATGAGTTAAAGAAAATTTCTTTGTGGAACCATTTCTGGAGGAAAGTTTCACATACCTTTGCATCCCTCACATGCACAAGACAGTATGTTCAGCTGAACATGATACTATGATCCATTACGTGGAATTCAATCTAGTACAGTTGGTTTATCTTTTTAAGACACTGCCAGAAATTGAACACTCATTATACTGAATCTCACTTGCCTAGCTACTATATACTGGGTTTGATTCAAAACGTTCTTATGTCTGCCACATTAATTTTTATTTCACAGATAATGTAAGTTACCTCTAAAGGCAAGAATTTCATATGAAGTTTTATTAATATTGGTCCATGTATTTAAAAGCTGTCAGGCAGACATTCACATGCAGATAATATGCAATGATAATCTGACTAACTAAATTATGTACCCACTCTATTTGTAGTGCTAACTTATCTTTTTGAAAATTTAATAAAAAGCAAATTCCTCATATACAACCATCTTGTTTTAACATATAAAAAAGTAGAAATCCATCAAGTGTAGCTGTTATATAACATAAAATATTTTTTTGGCCACTAGTGGCCATCATCAGGGCACAAACCACCTGCATAAAAAAAAAGTACTTCATATATGTTATTCAATGCAACTTATTATGTCACTGAAGGGGCTTGCGTGTGAGTATTAAGACTAAATAGTTAAAATTAATTGAAATACATTATAGGATCTTGTACAGTTCATGAAAGATGGATGTAGTGAGAGTCTTCATAATGGTTCTTAGTGTTGTCTTTGTGGAATTTGATTGATTCTTATAGTGTAAGTCATATGTCTGACTGTATGATGTGTGCATACAAGTAGGGGATAGGGTAGTGTATGGACATGCAGTGATGGACTGCACTGCATACTGAAACACTTGTCATGGTGACAGACAGCTGAACTGCCACACTCAACAGCTTCAGGAGGTAAGGTGGATCTACAGTGGCTGCATCATTACACACTGCCGTTTGAATATTAATGTCATTAATCACAGACATCTTGAGAAAGAACTGCAATATTCAACAGCAAGTACCTGCAACAAATATTTAAAAACTGAAGCACATAATTAAATAAGTAAAGAAAAAGTAAAGGTATCCCTGCAACAGGCCGTGGAGGCCCATAGGGTTGTGAGATGTTGAGGTTCCCACATTTTCTAGACTACCAGCTCAAAGATGGTGGTAAGATTCTCAGTCCTACACGCTGGCCGCCCTTTACCCCCAACAATATTCCAAGAATATTCCTGGTACTTATTTATGTTAGAGGCTGAGTCGACCCCAGCGCCATAGTGCAGCTGGAAGGATTAGGGCAATTGAAAAAAATCCAATGACCTCATTGGGACTTGAACCTGTGACCTTCTGGCTTGTAGCATAATGTCTCAACCAACTACGCTACTGTGTGCCCCTTAATTAAATAGGAGACAACCTTCTTTTCCAAAACTTATGTTCATAAGAAAAAACTTCCCCAAGTTTTAAACCTACACATGCTTCTTCGAATATCATAAAATAACATCCCACTATTTCTCGTTGCAGCATGAAAGGAATCATCCAGTAACAATGTGTTCTGTTCAGTCCCTCATGCTTACTTTTATTTACTGCAGTTGGCAGTAAATTGTCCACTTTATATAAGTTAATAAAATGTGTATACTTTCTTTTATACTGTATACACGACACCAAAGTGCTATGGATGGCAGGATACCTGCACTATTAACATCAAGAGCTTTGTATCCATATTATTGATAACAAATGTTTGTCCTGGTATTTTGTTTTAACTGTTATTAAAAGATGAACCCTCATATCAGGTGACAAATACAATGGGAAAAAAATTAAGGTGAATACAGGAATTCAGAATATATAAAGTCCTCTCTCTTTTGATTTAATGTGCAGGTCAAACATCTACTTCCTAAATTTCCATGTTGTAGCTTCCCTAGACATGGTACTACAAATAAAATGAAATAACTGATGAATGGCAGACAATGAGGGTGTCTGTATTCCAGCACTGCTCAGAATGCCTGTATACACTGTGTTCCACATTACTATATACACATCAATGAAAGAAAGTGCAAATAACTTGTTACAGAGCACAGATTAAATTCAACAAATATATACAGCTTTCTATAACGACATACATTTAGACATATGCTGTTGTGGAGTATTTAGTGACTGGTTTCATAGCTGAACTATTAGGCTTCTTGAAGCTACTATTTTCTTAAGATGGGAATATTTATCTCGGAGCTTGCTGAGTTGGGCACAGGGGTTTCCGATCTTCTCTTCATAGCAATGTTCAGCAAGGGTCAGCAGTGTGTCCAATAGGAAAGCAGCATTTTTCTGTATAAACTGGCTCTGCAACATAAGAGGAATATAATATATTAGTTGGCTATAAGTAGATCATGCCACAGCTTAGATGGTTAAATGCTCATTTCTCATTTCGGAGGCCTGTATTCAGTTCCTGGGTAGTCTGTGTAGAACTTATGTTGAAAGACTGTTACTGGATTAGGATTCCCTCTCAAGTATTTTCTCTCCCAGTCATCACCCCATAATACTTTGTACCCACTTATCACTAACCAAAAAGTCAAAATTATAATGAATAAAAATAACAATAATTTTTCTAAGTTTTTGCTTGCTGAAGATGGAGGAATGTTGTAAACTTCTGTTAGACTACACAGGAAAACAAATTTGTTTCCAAGTCATTTAATAGAGAGTCACTTAAATATTTGGGTGTTTGCACACCCATGGCCGATCACAGTGGCCACATGGCCTAAGGCATGACCTGTCTTCACTTGCTCAAACACTTGGACCGTGGGTTCAAACCCCACTCGAGGCATGGATGTCTGTCTGCGTTTATTCTGCTTGTCATATGTAGGTAGCGGCCTTGTGATGGACTGATTCCCCGTCCAAGGAGTCCTACCGACTGTCTTAGGATTAAGAAACTGAAGTGCGACACGCTGTTTCATGGATGCCCTATGCTCCAAGTGGGAGCAACAGGAAAGAGAGACAGAGAGCACAATCATGACAGATAACATTTTCTTTATAAAAGTCTCATATGGCACAGTACAGGAAGTATTAAAACAAAGCATGAAAAGGATGAAGTCTCTTCGAGCAAGTAACCATATCAACATGAAATAAAATGCTGGTGTTTCAGAGGCTGTTTCCATTTCCACCATTAGATGTGCTATAGGGTTAATTACTATCAACTCTACAAAAGCAAACTATTTCACACCTCAGCCTTGTACTTTTCACTGGAACATGAAGCTTCCACATGAAGCATCTGTGCTTGGAACACATCACTAAGCACGTCATCCACTGTATACTGAAGTTCAGGCGTTGCCAAACGAAGACAGTCATCTAGCAGCATCAGATACAACTTGCTAAAGGCCACAGTATTGCTAGTCAGCCCCAACCAGCAGTCCCCTACACATATATACATCCAATTAAAATTAGAACAAAAATAGACAATTCTGGTGAAATAATGTATTAAATTTTAGAATAACAATCCATCAAGTGTAAAAAAGTTTAACATAAATAAGCCAGTTATTTATATGGCCTTAAGCAGTCCACTTGTGTGTGCATGGGTTCCTACCTCACTTTTGACACCAGTTGTCACAGGTATGGAGTGACTACAGATGGGGTTTCAACTGGTAATCAGATTCACTGAACACTTTAATACACAACTCATGACTACACTTTACAAATCACTGTCACACACAGACTAGTTTTCAGCTTGTTACACTCTCCATTAGCCGTTGCTTGGTAGCAGCTTTCAACAGAAAACATTCCCCTTCCTCTAGGTTCCCAAACTGTCCACTGCTTCAGCTACCAGCTTCTAACAACAGCAGCTCACAATAACTGAACCACAGCAGTCCTCTAACTCACTCACTCACTCACCAACCAAATCTAGCTCCTAACTTGTCCTGCTTATAACATCTTGACATAGACTTTGTAGAAAACACTACTTCCCATTATTGTTGTATTCTCTTGTTGCCGTGCAAATGATGCGTTCATGTCTGCTGTGGAGCTACTACCTAGCAACGGCTCTTGTATAGTTGCTTGCTCCACAGTCTTTGACTAACATCTCTACACACATTATGTTTTGGGTGGAGCCGAGTTAGCTCCGTATAGCTATGGGCTGAACAGCTGTGGTTTGATTCCCAGCAAGGGTAAGAGATTTTTCTCTATTCCAGTGTCCAGACAAATTTCAGGGCCCACCAAGCCTCTATCCAATGGGTACCAGGAGGTAAAGTGGCTGGGGTGTGAAGCAGACCACTCATCTCCATCTGGTGTCAAAGTCTAGAATGTTGGAACTATACCTCCATTCCTCCATACATTTTCATGGTATAGTGCTTAATTAAGCATACGTACAACGTTAGCTCTGATATGTTCTGGCCCTTCAGAGGCTCAAAAGAAAGGGAAACTGACATTATAATCACTGCAGATCTTAATATAGTATTACATTATACAGTATAAAGTATAGATAGGTTAAAAATGTTGATGTTTAAATATTTACCATTAAAGATGTTTCTTGCTTTCTTCTATCTTCTGATTGATATATACGCGTATTTTACATTGTTGCTTGTTAAATGTCTGAATGTCCTGTTGGATAGATGTAGTGCCAGTATGTGTGTTTGACTGAAGGTTGTTGAAATGATCACTGACCTGTAACATATGTGTGTATACTCGCTATGCCAATGTCACTCATCTCTTGCAGAAACTTAGTTAGGCCAGCCTTACTCTGCAGATTCATGGGGTGCCATTTGTCCTCTACTGCCCGAAGCTTCACTGCATCTACCAGTTTCTCCCGTGCATCACGCAATGCTCGCGTTAAGGGAGTGCGCAGCAGTCCATCCAGTTGGTATCGCAGATCCACTCCAAGTTCGCTAAGCTGTCACATATATTAATACAATGTGATCACCTTGTGTACCCCATGTGGAGGTGGGTTAGAGTACCTCCACCATAGCCCTGCAAGTTGCAGAAGGTGATAAAACAGGAAGCTGGTGACTAGGGGTATAACTGGGGCACCCCATCACTGGGGGCCATAAATACAATGACCTGGTCCTCCAGATTTGGGGGTTGGATGCAAGGCTAATGACCTTGCTCTGTACAAATACTGTTGCAAAATCCAAAGAAGTGAAAACTGGATGGAATGTGGCAAAATCTTCTAAGGAAGGGTATGGATCAAAAAGGGATGTTTTGATGATGATGATTGTTCCCTGCTGGCAGTAACATTAAACAGATATTAAAAAGGAAATTTTCTGATTTTATAGAAAATAAATTTTCTTTATGTGAAACTTCATGCTTTACTCTTCAGTTTCTTACAGAAATCCTCCTATTTCTGGCTAGTTCATCAATCTATGCTGTCACTTTGGAAAACTGCTGCACCAGCACTGAAGTGGAAATGCATTATTTTGGTTTTGTATGGGTTTTTCTCATGCAACTTGCAGATTCAAGTAAGCAGCATACTGATACCCCTTACATGCTAGATAATCTGGAATTTATACAATCCTGGTAACAAGGGCATCTCGCATCTTTCATTTTATATTTAACAATTAATAGTGGCTCCCAAATACCTGCAGAGATTACCAAAGCCTCTGAATATTGGGAATACATATTAAAGTTCCTCCTACTTAAGTTTATAAATGTACGTAAGGATATATTTAATTAAAATGAAGTGAACTGTACTACTACAAATTGGTACTATCAGGCTTATTAAATCAAAGAGATCAAGCTTTGGGGACTCTATGGCAGCAAGGATTTATACTGTGACCTTAGGGACTCTGCCACTATAGTCTGGTAGGTTGGTACCAGTGTTTCAGAGGAAGAAACTGCAACCACCTTCAAGCCAGGAGTGAAAACAGAGGTAGTATTTTCCTCCAGAATGTTGGTATCCATTTTATGGGATAACCCAGAAGACCACAGTACACAGTAAGGATATTAAGTTGGGCTGGGCATATATAATGAACAGGGAATGAAGAAACAAAGATAATAGAAAAACTCACATGGAGGATTGAAACGCAGATGGATAAAGAAAACTACTATCAACAATAAGAGAATACAGTAAAACATCTACATATGTATTGAATGTTTCTATAACAAGATCTACAAGAGGAAATAATATATACATAAATAACACCCAGCCAATAAAAGGTATGATGCTCATTGTACAAAATGTTCAATAAGTTCAAATTCCAATCAAAAATTTTTCCAGAAAATTTTGTTTTTTCATGTGAGCCCCTAGAAAAAAAGAGACAGATGCCTCATAGTTAAATATTTTTGAAAGGAAATGTATGGTATCTAATCTGAATAATGTATAACAGGTACATCGAGGATACCTGTTACATTTCACCACCATTTTTAATCTCATCTGTCAGATGTGGTAAGTAGAGTTCCCAGGATGATCATGTCTTCCAGGCGAAGTAATGTACTTGGTATAAAAATCAGAAATATGACAGCAGTGGTACAACATACTCTAGATTGAAAGGCACATATGATTTTACATTCTTATCTGTCGTTGATATTGATTAGTTGCTGGTACAGAACTTATACTATTTAAATCGGTGGGACAAGAATGTGCACGTTTCTTCACGAACATACCAAGTCTTGCTTTTATACATTCGAGAAATTCAGAATATAATAAAAAACATATGCAGCATACCTGGTCACACTGATTCCTTACACACGTGACACACTCTGCCAACATTGTAATGGATGACTGAGGCATGAAAACTTGCTTGATGAGATGAGATGTCAGGTGTGTCAACTCTGAGCCTGCCCACATCACAAATGCTGCAGACACAGACATATTTGCAGTAAAAAAATAATAACCATGAAAACTTGGTAAGGTAATGGAATAAAGAGCCCATGAAGGTGGAATGTCAGCACCTGTCTTCTGGTCCTATTCTGAGAATCTGAAGTTCACACACAAATTCAACATGTAAGATGGCTGAGATATAAACAAGTTACCGTGTCCACTGATCGACTGCTCAATCAATCACTATCCTGTCTATGTATGTGTACACCCATGAAAAAATTTTGACATTCATGAAAGTTTCATGCTGTTGTTGGATGAGTTAATGTCATGTTCATCAATTCTCTCTTTCTAGCACTGGGCACAGTGGTCATGCAAATAAATAAGTGAAGGGTAAAAATGTTATTCAGTGTAGATCATGAATGAATGATAATCAAGCTTTGAAAAACATGAAGTTTTCTGTTATGGTAATTTTTAATGAAATGAGAAAATTGTAACATTTTCTGTGTGTGAAAAATAAATTAGTTTTAATTTGATGGCAATAACCTGTGGATCACTGTAGGTAAGAATGGTAAGAGGTAATACTAAAATGTACAAATAAAATATGAACTTTCTTTAATGCTGAAGAGTATTGATTAGGTAACAACATGAACCTTTGAGATTATGATTATGTCTGCTAAGTTTCTGATGCTGTACATCTCAACAGTAGAAATTTGTCCTTTATTTTTAAGTTTGTCTCAACAGCATTCAGAACGAGTCATTTCATACATAAAGGAGCAAAATTTGTTTACAGAATTTCCAATTCCCCTTACAAGAGAGCAATACTTACTAAATAATAGAAATTACTGTAAGAAATGAATACCTGATGCACAGCTGGGGGAATGTGGAAACGCTCGCAGGAATTCTCGAGTCATGTCAGTCAGGTTGGAGAAAAAGATGCCTCCTATCTGCTGCACATACAGAACAGTCGCACCTTCTCTCTTGACACGTTTCAATTGTGTCTTCAGAATGCTGCTGCACAGTTTCAGAAACAAGTCACATGCCTGTGAAATCACGAAGAATAAAATTATTTGTTTAATGAATAGCTGTCTCCAATAATAACTTCTGGACCAGTGACAAATCTCATAAACACTATGGAAACAATTGTGTTGAACCATCAGGATCTTTATATCATGGAGCTAGTTTTTTTAGTTCAATGCACTGTACTTTCCAAGCACGCAGCAGATATTCTGTTTACTAAGTTTTAAACTTTGAGAAATTTGCAGTCCTATTCAGACAAATAACACAGCACTACCACCAACCTGCGTTGAACGACCCAACTGATTCAGCAATCGGACCGCTCTTCTAGCAGCTCGCAGCCCTCCTTGCAGAGACTTGTCAGGTGAAACCTCCAACTCTTTCATCAGGACTTCTGTCAGAGCTCTCACACGAGCCTCCACTTTGCGCCTAAGCAAAACCTCAATCCTTATAATATTTCTAAGACTGTAGATAGTAGGATAATGCACACATAAAAGTGCATAAGGAACACTCTGATTTTAAAACGGCAATATTAAAAAAAACATATTCATAACCACCTCTATCAACACTTCATATATTCATGTCTGATAAGCAGAAAATACAGTAATAATAAAACAAAAGACTTCTTACAAATCCTTTGGAATAAAGTGGAATTCATGATAAAATAGGGCAAAACAGACTCTGGAAATTCATCTTATCATTCAGCTCTTTTTCCAAAATCCAAAGAGTAAGAATATAAAACTATAATTTTACCCACTCTTTTATTTTACATGGGTATGAAACTTGTTCTCTTAGACTGAAAGAATATATAAGAATAAAAATGCTAAGGAGACTATGTCAAACAAAAATTAAATTATACATTCTCTATTTGCTTTCACATGTCCTATCTATCATGAAATATTAATATCATAACCCTCATATTAGTATCATGCTGTAAGACCACATAAAAGCTTGTTATTATCAAATTCCTCACTAAGTAATTTTTCCATACCCTACATACAGTATTTAGTAATCTACATACAATGCTACAGAATGAAAGACTACAATTTCTTTGTAGCAACTATGACCTACCACATGGTTTGAGATCAATTAAGATGGGTGGTTGGATTACTTACCGGACACTGCCACCTAAAAGGACACCTTTCCAAGTTGGGACTGACAGACAACCCACCGTGTGAAAGGTGCCTACAAGAAGACGAATCAGCCACACACATCCTGTATGACTGTGAGGCCACAGCTCATTTCAGATTTCATCACTTGGGCCAGTTTTTACGGAACCAAGTGACGTCTATGATGCCCCCATAACCAGGGACCTACACTTTATTAAAAGTGTAGGATTAATAAAGGGCTAATCAATGGGGAAGCACAATAGATCATTGAAGGTTGCAGTGCATGGGCCGGTTTCTATGGCCCACCCCTTACATACATTACATTACATACCACATGGTTTAGAGTATTTCTCCACTTACAGCATTCAGAGTTGTAGGCCCCAAACACAACACCATAAAAACTATATAATGTTGACTGGCATACCTAATATCTGTAATAACAGGATCTGTGGCAGTGTTCTTGTCAAGGAACTCTCGTGCTCTCTCCAGTAGGTTGTAAGCCTCCTCAAAGTGGCGCTGGGCAATACACACATCTAAATCTTCTGGCACCTCCATGAGCCATTCAGGCAGCTCAGATTCAGCATTAGAGTCATCTGCATCTTCGAATGCTGTACAAAGCAAAATAACAACCTCATTCAGTAAATGCCACGTTTGTAGTGGGCACCTCTGAAACTACAAACAATGCTAAATCTTCATTTATAAAACACGAAATGGAGTAGCTCACAACTAATGATTGACTCACACTCAGAAGATACTCAATTTGGAAGCATGTTAAAAATGAGGAGGAAGAGGCTTTTCGTGTTTTTCCTCTGTTCAAGGCAAGTGCTATGCAGTACTTCAAAGCGGGTGACAGCCTTCAACTCTTTTTCAATTAACAAAACCTAAATAAGAGTGCCATTTTCAATATTGCACTATGTAACCCCTGCAGAATACACACCATCTTTAAATGGGTTGAACTAAGAAGCATATTCAATGTCACTGAATTTAAAACCACGTCCATTCAAAGAAGTTGGCCTACACTTTCAAAAAATAAAATCAGCATGGGGTAACTACCATAATAAAATGAAATTTATCTCGTTTATTGTGTCACCATGGTAAATGTACTCCCTTTACAACTACTGGCAACTCACGATTGCTAGGCGACTCCAGTGAATCAGAGTGTGACGGTCGTGATGGTGAACGCTCAATTTGACTTGCTGACTCCCGTTTCTGTTGCTCTTGTACAAAACGAGCTTTCTTCGCCTGCTCAAATTTATCCAGCCATTCTTTCTGGGGAAAAATAAAGAACTTAAACATGAACTGAAAAGTCTGTGAACATAACACATAAAACAGGGGTGGGAAAACTTATCAGTAAGAAAATCATATTCTGGAACTCATACCTTTTCATGATCTGGGAAAGGGAAAACCTTGGTCAAGACAAAGTGATCAGTAAAGTTCCCTGCTGTACACTGTACAAATTCTTGACACATAAAATTCCTCCTCAGGCTAGTAAACTTTATCTAATATGCTACTTCCAATCCATGGGCATAATCTTACATGCCACGACTAAATTTGAGAAAAAAAATCACTTTGTATCTTAGATAACATGCAAAATAAACAGTAGACCTCCATTTTCCTGTAACTTGAGCACCTTCAGCTCTTACGAAAGGTCCAACCAGCAAATTTATATACTGCTGTTACAAGTCATTTCTACAAAGCCAGAACAGTGTTTTAGATAAAAACAGGATGATGGATAATGTCCAGAAACACAACACTTGTGCATTAAAAAATGTGTGAAATAGCAGTATGGAGTGAAAATGTTCACAGTTCAATGAGAACACACCATTTTTTCTTACAAAGTTAACACATTTCTTCAAATCAAAGCATACCAATATGTTTATAGGAAGATGAAAATAAATTATATTTATGTTATTTCCAACACAAATGATTCTAGTTATGATGATGCTTAATTAACTATCTTTGTTTCTTTTGATAATTAAAAGTTTGACTTGAGTTGGGTCTTACCTTGCTCTGATTGTTAGTACACTGGAACACCCTTGTGTCTGGGAATGCCAGCAGTTTAAACGCTGTCTTCACGCTGCTCATATCTCGCACATTCACAACAGCAAGACTCCCTAGCTCATACATTGCTTCAAATTTGTATCTCACTGGACCACGCCTGGACAGAGATCACTACCAGTTAAAAATGTTACAAACTTGCAAAATTAAGCTACCAGTTCTCCCATACAGTTTGCATAATTACTCCATTAAAATAAATTTTATATGGCATACATTTTTCTTTAATTGAAGGAAGTAAATTGCAAAGAAACACACATACACCCAAGAGTATCAAACAGAGAAAAGACTTCAAATCTTGACTGCCACACTGGAACATATATAAACATACATGCCTTAAAATATGAGGTGGTCTATAGAAAAGATTGTGAGCTTTCATACAAAAATTCAAGATTTGACACCAACAAGATTCAATGCAAAAATTTCTCTGAATGACTTCTCATCTTTAGAAGAACAAAATATCTGTGAATGTAAAGAATGTTAGGTCATATGCTAGTCCAAAGACCTCTCTACTGGCATTATCATTAACATTCTATAACTGGAGGAATCTTGATTCCTGCCCTGTATGCACTACTGTTCTTATTCTTATCACAGGCAAAATGTTAAAAATACTTTTAACTGAAGCACTGGGGATCTCTGACATTTCTATTATTTTCAGTCATGGCAAATCTGGAAATTAGCACATCCAATATGTTCTGACACAGAAGTGATAAGGGTTAATATTTTAATTAAAAAACTTTAATAAAAACTTATGAATAATTGTTCCAGATGTATTTTTCACACAGTCTAATATTTCTTAATGCATGTAAGATTGCCCATATTAAAGTCTGCTCATTACAAGCAGATGAAAAGTTGCAGTGATGCAAGAGGCATTCAATGTAAGCTAAAATTACACTCTCCATGTGTTTAATTAAGCACAACATGAAGATATATGGAAGAGCAGATGTATAGCTCCCTACACTCATGGACTGCTGCATTACTACCTAACACTTTGATCACTATTTTGCAGTTTTCATGGAAACTACTTTTATTCTCATGGAATTAAAAAATATATTATTTTCTGTGGACAGAGAAGCTAATAGATCAATAGATCCTGGTTATTTAGGTTAAAGATCCATTAACAAATCAGACATATGACAAAAAAGGAATTAATTTAATGACAATTGAAATAAAATCTTTTCTCTTAGTGGACAGACTCATATTTCCTGTTGGGAACATGTGATACAATTTAATTCCTGCATAATATATATCTTTTTTAGAACACTGTTACCTATTGGGTATCCAAGAAGCTATCATGAACCCATCACTGAACAGATAAGCATGCACCCGCTGAAGTGCACTGTTCTCAATGGGATCCAGTTCCAGCAAGTCCCCTTCATGGAGAATTGTACGTCCTGAAGTCTCCAGCAGTGTCTACCAACAAAACATTTAAAACTCAAAATTGTACACTTTTGTACAATGTTAACATTCATAAAACAAATTTCTCTCTGTATATATTGGTGAATTATTTTGCTAACTACTGTTGCACCACATCAGAATTTGCTGAAGAATACAATCAGAAGCAGCCACATCAAATACACTGCACTCAGTGTATAAGTCTCATACAATATCCTTCAAAAACAAGCTTTTGAGAACCTTTGCCATGTAAGCACTGCATTTATAATGACAGAAAATACGTACCACACATCCTTCAACTTTTTCCAAGATAGCAGCTAGTTTTCGTCTGCTCTCCTCTTCTTCCTTTTGCTCCTCTCCTTCTCCAGAGTTGCCAGTTGCTCCATCACTATCAACTGCACTGGGAATCTTGTCACCTAGTAATGACGTTGCAGCAAGGGATGACAGCAGAGACCTCTGCTCTGTCAACATGTGTGATAACTGGTACATCTCACTTTCAAGATCTGAGCTCTTGAGTTGATGGAAAATACAACTTCTGTTCATTCTGACAAAAAAAATTCTTCACTGTCCACCTGACTTTGCAATAAATATTTCTATATTTTCTACAATAAAATAACAGAAGAACTACCAAATTAAGACAGCTAATTATTATTTTATATAATGGCTGATTTGATTAATATCTTCCTATAATGAAGAACAGAAACACAATAAATGGATCTGATAACATAGCCTATACTTAATTTAGGGCCATGTGTCAGCTAATACAATTCATCATAACTCTGAAATAATTATCCTTTCATGTGCATGCGAGCATAAACAGAGTATATGGAATAGGTTATATGACTCATCCTTCATTTACTGAATTATGTTAAAACTTGCTTTGCCCAAATATTTCTTCCATATGCTGCTTGGCAAGAATAACTAAAGACAAAGGTTAATTCAGTGACAAGTTGGAGGTTTTGTAAATTAGAATAATGTGGGTTGACTAGTAGCTGTAAATTACAGTCAAATTCAGCAAAGGCTTATAATGTTGAGAACATGAGAGAATGTTTCCACGGCTGTCTACATTCATGGCAGAGTCCTAATATGAACAAGCAATTCGCTTCATTCTTAGGAATCAAGATATCAACGAAAATTGGCGAAGAATTTACTTGTATTTGTATCTGTATTTCATTTTAATCCGTTTTGCTACATAGTAATACTTATATAATCCGTCCTGTTCCTAGGACAGAATATCTCATGAATTCTAAAAAAGATACGTGATATTTCTTTAGCAGTCTCAATAAACTGCATGTAATTCTGATACACATTTTTCTTCAGCAGAATGTTCGTCTCATCTGCAAGAGTCTGTATCTTCTGTCGTTGCTGTTGTAGCTCCTGACCTCCAACACATCGCTGCGAGAGTTCCTTAACATCTGAAAAACGAGCATCCGAAGTACCAAATGAAAGTGCGTCGCTCACATTTGATACATATCAAAACAATGACCTTTAAAAAATGGCCAAACAATGCCACAGTTAAACTGCTGTAAATTGTGCAAAACTATGTATATGCCATTTTAAATTACATACATTTTTCAGGATTGAAATCAGGAGCTCCAATTTTCTTAGTCGCAAAATCCGCCATCTTTGTTTACAATTCAACTGATGACCCCGCTGGTTGCTAGTAGTTTGATCCGTGCTCGCAGTGTTTGACTGCCTCGGATCCATGCCACGGTTCACCTACAAACACTCAAACGAGATCGATGTAAGTTGAATTGGGCAATTTACCTGCAAGACCTCTCCATATAAATGCGATCTGCAACCGTTTTATTGCGATAATTTTGGCAACCACTGATGAAACAGGATCAGAAGTCAATGTTGATCGACGCTGTTAGACGCAGCAGCTGATGCGGAAACAAACCGGTGTTAGTATTAGATTCTAAGGGTTTCTGAGGGTGGTGTATCAAACTTGGAATTGCTGTCTTTTTTTACTTTGCCCATCGTCGGGTATTCTAGAAGCTAGAAAAAACGTTTAGGAAACTGGATCTGCTTCCATCATCGGGTGAGAAGACACCTGAGGAGGGAAACAGATCCAGTTTCCGAAACATTTTTTCTAGTTTCTAGAATACAGGACGATGGACAAAGGCCGGAAACCCAGTATTTCTGAGTAATACTACTACTATTCAGACTGATAACACTGACCTTGCTTTAAATGTCTCTTTGCCATAGACATGTGGGGGTATAGCTCCACCATTCTTGACGTCAGCAATAGGAGGTAGGTAGCGGTCAGTTTCACGCTCGGGCAGCTTTAATCCAAGGGAAAGGGCATCTGATACCAGTTAAATAGGAGGGAAGGGTGGGCCCTGGAGCCAGCCTGGATGGGGTGTGGTAGAGAAAGTTTCTTGCCCCTACCCAGAATCGAACCCCGGTCATCCAACCTCTATAAAGACTCATCTGGCCTAGTTTTCCATCGTCAGTATTTTAAAACTGAAATATATTTACTGTTGTAAACATTGCTATCTTAATGCAAGGCCAGTACCGCAGAATTTCACCGACATTTTGGAGGAACCTATCCCAGTCCATTTACTGGACTATATATAGCCTCTGCTTTCAGAGTCAGAGAATACACCAAACAAGAAACCAGAACAAGCAGGCACCAAGCATAGTTCTGTACCTGCTTGATTTATGGTCATTTCTTGCTCTGCTTACTTTTAACCCTGAAGTTGGAGGAAATATGTTCCTCCAAAATGTTGGCTGACATTTACTGGACTGCATAGCATTATATCCCAGAAGACAGAATTCTTATAAATTAAAATTCTGCATGTCTAAAATCAGTGCATTCACACTTGGTTTATACACACACAAAAAATTGCTGTTTCCCAGGCATCATGCATCCTAGAAAGAGAAATGCTTAACAATGGAAAATATTACAATTTTTTGTTTACATGTACAACAAAAGGTAAAATTCCTTTGTTTAATTACCTACACACTATACCATGAAGACACATGGGGAGTGGAGGTACAGATTCTTGCTTGACCTTGGCATTAGATGGAGGTGAGTGGTCAGCTTCAGGCTCCTGCTAATTTATCCCCAGGGAAAGAGCACTGGTACACAGTGAATAGGAGGCTGGGTGGGCCCCATAGCTGGTCTGGGTACTGTGCAAGAGAAAAATCTTGTACTGCCATGAACTGAACCCAGGCTGTCCAGCCTGTTGCCCATTGCTATACAAACTCCTTTTACATTTACAGTGTCACTTAAAAATTTGTAAGGTATTAGATTTTGCAGAACTAATAACAATGATGGATGATGTGTCAAGTTCACAGAAAAGGATGAAGCATGAGTCATGCCTCTCTGCTTTCCCACAGTCTACAGCTGTGATTCTCCTGCCAAAGTCTTGCTTAAAAGTTACTAATGTGCCTGGAGTTACCACACAAATGCATTTAGCAAGCTAATGTTTGAAATTCAAATGAGTACATATAAACACAAGACTTGAGGCTTTCAGTGTGATGGAATGCAATGTCTTCTCTGACAATCGTCAGCATGGAACATATTTGAAACATTTTTGTCTTTATTATCAGGGACTGATAAGAGTTATATTATCAGATATGAATAATATATATATTATTCTGGCACAATGAATAACAGTTATAATTTATTAAACCACCTAATTTGTTTACACAAAATTGTATTGTACTACTGTGCTGTGAAGTGTGGAGCAAATACAGAAAATTTTGCAACAATTATATTACCTTACATTTTTATACAAGTCCAAGGCATTTTTCATGTTGTTTACATTTGTACAGTAAATTATTCGAAATACATGTAAGACTCTGAGAACCTCACACTTCTATTTCACCAAATATACAATAAAAAAAAAATGGAAACATAATTACAGAAACAAAGAAAAAGTTCAATGCTCATTTTCAACCCAGTGATCAGGGAATTTCAAACTCTACTTCAAATCAGACAAACAATGAAAGAATACATACAAAAGTAGGGTAAATCATAATTCCTTATCAGCCTTCCTCTATTTCAACGAATGAACATTACCTGAATGTTCACTGTAACATCAACGGAAATATCAATGGCAGTTCTTGTTATAATTGTGAGAACTGAAGCAAATAATCTTTTTATGATAAACTTCCTTTTCTTTCAATCCAAGGACTGGCTGCGACAGTACCATTCTGTTTCAAAACTGGTCCTTCCATCTACATTTCGGTCATCCCAGAATGGTGTGACGTGGTCTGACAGCTACAAAGAGGAACTAGAGAAAGCGTCATTGCTGGGCAACAGCACCAGAGCCATTGCTAAGCAATGTACACATGCAACAAGGGAAGAATTGTTGGAAGTGGTATGTTCTATGTGGTCCATGCCAAGGCTACATAAGGAATCTGTGGAAAGGTGTCAGGAGAGAAAGTAGGAGTGGTCAGTCAGTGACATAAGGATGAGTGGTTGATAGATACAGTCCAGTTGAGTGAAGGTGTGAGTGAAGCACGAGAGCAAAAGAAGCTCCACTGTTGAGAACCATAACCTAGCAATGCCTAGGGAAGACTATAACAGACTGAGGCAGTATGTACTTCAGTGATTGAGAGGAGGACAAGAGAAGTTGAGCTGTTGCAGTTAGTGAGAAAAATTAACAGTGCAGTGAACTTCAGTGCACAAAAAGATGGCTAGTAAAGACACTGAAATTGAGAAAGGTTTGTGGACTTCATGGTATTGGAAACTAATAACTGAGACATCTTAAACATGGCCACTGGTACATGTCACATTTATTTAATCACCATCATTGATCACTGCATTTTCCAAAGCTTTGGAAGCAAGCAAAAGTTATAACATTACTGAAACCTGGTAAAGACCCAAAATTCCCTCAAAATCTATGTCCAATTAGCCTCTTGTCCACAACAGGCAAGCACTTCGAGAAAGTTATTCTGAAAACAGACCAAAGGCACGTTTAAGAAAGAGGCCTGCTTAATGCAAGCCAGCTTGGTTTCTATGCCCACCACAGCATGACACTTCAATGTATGAGGCCTATGGACCACATCACCTTAAATTTCACAATAACATGTCTATGGCTGTGACAGTCTTGGACATTGCAAAAGCCTCTGATACAACATGGACCTTGGCTTGGTATATAAATTATCTAAATTAAAATTTTCAGTCAGTCTAATCAAGCTTATTAGTTCTTTTCTTTCTCACAGAAAATTCCAAGTCTCCACTGAACGTGAAATATTTGCACCAAGGTTCCAACCTGTCCTCCACATTGAACAGTATATATAAATGATACACCCCAAACACCTGGTGTCTTTCTAGGTCTCTCTGCTGATGACACCTGCATGTGTGCGAGAGACTGCAAAGGGGTTATATTCTCAGGAAGCTGTAGTGAAGTATCACTGCTACTGAGATGTGATTTGAGCGCTGGAACATAAAGATCAATGAAGACATGACTCAGGCCATCTACTTTTTTCATAGACTTAGGCCCCCTGAGGCTCATCTTACACTGAATGGATGGAATATCCCTTTTGTCAATCATGTAAAATATATCAGTGTAATCTTACCAGCAGAAAGTTCCCAAAACAGAAGAACTTCCCCCACAAATTTCACCGAAACCAGAGGTCAATCAAGATCAAGACCTAAAGCCCAAGAATTTATCAACAACTGAATCTTATTTAAGAAACGATTCAATGTGGCAAGACTTCGATGCTGGCGGTTTCTTGGGTTTAACACCCTACGTTTGTAGAAATGAATTTGCTGTGACAACAGAAGGCTTTATTGCTATTTCTGAGAGGGAGTATGTTTTACTTCTGTCAGCTGACAGAAATTTTGGAAAAAACATTTCAAAAAGCATGTTTGTTTGGTATTTGACAATGAATCTATATGCACATCTTTTGGCCATTCGAAACCACCAGGACCTAAATAGTTACAAAGAGATTAGGTTCCTCGACTACCTCCGCAGCAATAATTATCCAGTTTCAGCCCCAATGGAGGAATGCCTAAGATCAATTGGTGATGTGAGAGACCTTGCTGGAGCTGATTATAGACTAGCCTTCCCAGTGGGGCCAAATGAAGGCCACTTTGGCCAAATAGGGCCATTGACATACTCATATTATGAGTCAATGCCTGCACCAATTATTTGTGCAGAGCAAATTTGACAAGATCTGATATACATGACTCACTCAGCTATAAATCCAACTTGGGATGTTCCTGAAAATATACATCCAGAAGAAGATTGTGGACTACCAACCAAAAACTTACTTGGATGTGGAAGATCCACTGCATTATCAACTGAGCAGTGTGCCACCTTAGAAGGAGCTGGTGTGACAGAATACGATTTTGGAGTCTCAAACGTCCAATTTCAAATGAATCAACCACTTTTTGAATGGACTGGTGACTTCGTCAGACATGCTGAGACTAATCAAACCCTTTCTCAGAAACAGAACTCAATACGTAAAAGTAACACACACAGAAGGCAATCGTATGAAAGAATATTTGTCAAGTAGCCTCCCAGTGAGATACGGAGTCCCCCAGGGATAGGTCCTTGGCCCATTACTCTTCATCTTGTATATAAACGATATCCCACATCTAACACAAGGCAGACCAATAATGTATGCTGATGACACATCAATACTGAATGTAGGACAAGATATGAATGAGCTCCAAAATACAACTTCAAATAATATAAGGAGTGGTAGAGCAATACTTTGAGACAATTTATTTATAAATCCATCCAAAACTCACTATATTCTCTTCCAGACAAAACAATGCAGGCAGGATAGTAATCTAAAAATTCTAATAAAGAACAGGGAAATATCAAATGTAAAAAGCACAAATTTCCTGGGGGTAGTAATAGATACAGTAGTACCCTGAGCTGGGAATTACATATTGAAAAAAACCTGCAGTAGAATTAGCCATAACCTGTTCGTAATTAACAGGCTATCTAAAATACTCGATTTAAAGGAAAGAGGAATGTTGTATTATGATTTGATCTATCCTCATCTATCTTATGGAATAATAGTATGGGGACATAGTGCTAAGACCCTCACTAGAAGAATTTCTGTACTCAAAAAAAGGGCAGTAAGATATATTGCAGGGCTAAAACATCTGGAATCATGCAGGGATAGCTTTATAAATCTAAAGACACTAACAGTATACTCACTATATATACAAGAAACAATCCTATATGTTAAAAAAAAAAAGTGTAACTGCACAGTGAATGAACAAATACATAACGCAAGAAATAATCAAGACTATCATATATATGGGAACAACTTAGAACTTTATAATAGTAATCCTTCAGTAGCTGGCTGTCTCTTTTACAACAAATTGCCTTACAACATAAAAGAAACAGAAAACAAAAATCAGTTCACAAGGGAATTGAAGAAGTTTACTTATTCAGAGGTACTACTACTCAATGGAGGACAATGAACAATGAATTCTTGAATATTGGCTACTGATATAAGCAGAAATATATAGTATATAATGTATAAAATGTTGTATATCTTATATAATTTTTTAGTATTAAGATTGTTGTAATTTAATAATGTATATTAGCTGAAAGACTTGTCCTATATCATTGTATCATGATCTACAGGATTAATAAAAGAATGAATGAATGAATCTTTCCTAAGATGATTACATAGAGACTGCACACAGAAATGATCAAAGCCAAGGCCTTCAGAAAATTTATTAAAACCTACTCCTTATTTGAAAGTGAGCGCTTAAGTGCAAACATTAACCCTCCATAAAGCACTGATTAGATCAGTAATGACTTATGTTTGCATCACCTGAAAATTAGCAGCAGGCAGATACCTCTCAAAATTGCAGTGCCTGCAAACCAAGGTTCTACGCACCACTGAAAGTTTCCAAGGTGCACACCGGTCTGCAATTACACATGGCTTTCAACCTTCCATATGCATACAATTACATAATAAAACTGTGCAGGTAACAAGCATAAGTCATAGAAAATCATGAGAATGAACATGTTCACAGTATAGGAAAAGGCAAAGCCAGATACAGGTAATATAAGAGGCTTAAACTTGGTGGTGATCAAGCTTATCACCATTCAAGTGACAAAGCTGCCATTGTAGCATAAGATAAGATAGGCATGATCTATTTTTCAAAGCCAGGACATACAGAGGACCTGTATATAGTGCAAAAGTAAGAATTTTTAATAGCACACTATATGTGTGTGATCTGTACACTTGACAAAAGCAAAGTCTATTCACAAGAGACAAACCCAGCCTCTCATAAGAGAGGGATGTTACCTTCAAGGTTTCAGTTGAGAAAATAAATTTCTGGTCATTATCCCCAAAAAGCTTTGCGCCAAGATGAATAGACTGGCGGTAAAATGCCACTCATAAAGTAACTCTGACTTCAAGTTTAGTTAGTTTGGCAGTTGAAAGCTTGTTAGTTCACCTCAGGAGCTGCAGCAGAAAGGCGCCAGCCAGCAAGGACACAGCCGCTGGACAAAGAAGCCAAGGACACTACACCGCTGAAAGCCACTACCTAGCAGCAGAGTGAAGAATGCAGTGGAGAACACAAGTCTGTGTGTTAACAGTGATTTGTAAAGTGTAGTCACAAGTTGTCTAAGAGTTCAATAAACCTGATGAATCCCATCAAATCTTGAGATTATTATAAACAAAATACCACAACACTTTAGGACAGAGAAAAGAGAAAGTGGACCAAGTTTCATGAAAATATTCACACAAAGGAAGGCGCTTGGCAATATTACATATGAATGGTGCCATAAATATTTTTCTGTAAAAAAAATAGTGAATTCAAAGCAATTAGCACAATTTCTTCAACAACACAAAGATTATGACTGTTTTATACCACTGACCATGATGAGATCAATATGAATGTCAATTCAGCTGTTCAAAATAAAAATGATCTAGTTTGACAATCTTAGTTTTAATTTTTAGGTACAACTTCAATGATTTCTGATAAGTTGCCTGATCATGTTTTTGTTTCCAATAGGCTCTAGTACTTTGTAACATGCTCTTTAATGACTGTTTACAATACAGAGCTCAAAATGAAAGACAACAGCCACTTAAATGATCATCTACCTAAGTATTACAAGCAAAATAACTCAAAATGCTCCATTATCTGAGAGTTCACTGCTGTGGAATTAATCTGTGGCTTCCTTATATCAGACAATAATCCCACCAATCAGAGCAATTCCATATCACTTTTAATGAAATACTCTTCTCAACTCCCCTCCCCCCAAATTAGAATAAGATGGGGCTTATAAAATTAATGTAGAGTATCAAGTTCAAAAATGTACACACTGATAATTGATTTTTCCAGTGCCATTGTAATGACAGACTTTGAAAGCAAAATTTCATGATCAACCATGTGCATAATATATATGTCTNCTAAGGGACCCAACTGAATAGGTGTTTTCCTTCACCTGAGGACGGAAACAGATCCAGTTTCCGAAACGTCGTGTTTTTATTTGTTATCTTAAAAACCAGGACGATGGATAAAGTCCAAAATCCCAACATATCAGTGTGTTATACACCATCGTCAGAATCCTATAGTAACTACATATATGTCTCTGTTAAAAGGATTAGTGAAATGCCTCTTCTACTTAGTGACACTGTTTACAATCATGCCATGGGTCATGAAAATGTTGTCCTTCATCACTGATCACATCCTACTCTCACTTGTAAACATGATGAAGGAAATATGTTAATGCACTATAGACAGCCAGGGGACCCTATCCTTGAAACCAGTAAGAAACAATGTAGCTGATTAGAATGTGTGTGCCAATTCCTTGCATTCTGTGCTGAAAAATATACAGGTAAAAACTACAATAAAATGATCATAAAATAAAACTAAATTCTTCTGCAATTTATAATACACACATCTGTAACCAATTAAATGTTATGCCTACTTAATCACAGATAAAAAAGCAGCACATAAACTGCCACCGCTATTCAAAAAATAAATGTAAGAGACTGTACCTGCAACACATTAACACCCCTCTCTCTCTTTACATTACATATTTCAGGAGGGTCTTACTTTCGAAACCATCATTCAACTATACGTTCCATACCTCAACTGTTATTTTGTTCTACCTACTGGATTTATTTAAAATAAATGCTATTTAATTACACTAAATTTATAATAATAATAACAAAATGAAAAATGAAAGGTCATACTTCATTCCTTGTCAACATGTAGACCTCAATACAATATTAATGCCACAAAACGTCCTAGTTGCACAACAAGACAGATCACCTATGTTTATAGATAAATTGCAGGTGTTGCGTTTTTAGCTTTGGGCATTCTGCATTGGAAATCAAGGCCACTGCTAGTCTTGGAATTGATTCCTTAAGGGGGCATTACTTAAATTATCACATAATATAACATAATAGAGTACAGAACACTAAAAATTATAACACTTTAAAAATGTTGCAATTCTTTATTTACAATGAAACAGCTGAAATCCTGCACACTAAGGTATTGCCACTTAATTCAGACTTGTATAAACAATTTTAAACCTCAATGAAAATATTTTTAACAAATGAGGCAAAACTAAATATCCAGATAGCAGCACAAAATGACTGGTTATAATGAAGCCACTAAACTGAAGCTATTAGGAAATGCTGAAACTTTACTTTTAAATTACAATGTTAATTATATTATACTAAAATGTATGCAAAACAGAATGCACTAAATGCAATGTTACAATTGGATTTCAATGTATTACCAAACAGTTTGTAAAGAGTTTCAACATGAGACGAATACTGAGTAACTCAATACTCAGTGCTTCCACCTGAATGTGAAGAACTCTGGAACTTGCAACCCAAATGACAGCTAGTGTTAAATGTGATGCAACATCCTGCCAGTACAAGTTAATCACATTATACCAGTCTGCATTTCCAACCACCACAGCTTGGCACCGATGGCGGTTCATGATCATGAACATTTACTCTATCACTACTTGTTCCATACTTCTCCCAGAGGCCAGGTGTTTGGATTATCTGAAATAAATACACAGACACATCCTGTACATCTCTGGAGATGTGAATGTCATTCCCATTCTTTATTTTGGGGCTCATCATCAGACCAATGCCCTCCAAGACTAAAGTGACCAAAGTGTGACACTGACCACTAACCTCTAGCCAGTCCTGACATTAAAATATATGGAACCATATACCATATTGCATCCATCAAATTTGGAGTTGTACCATGCATTTTGATATACAGATATACAAAAAAGTCTGTGCAGTTTCCATGACCATATCTGCAAACTGGTGCTTATGCATTTACAGATGTTTCAGTTGGAAGTGCAAGGTGTTCATAATATTCACATTTTCAACCACATTTGCTTATGAAGAATTAACATAAACAAAAGCATATGCTAACCTTTCGAACCAATTCTTCAAAGGCGGACTGGACACCGAATTTTGTTTTCGCACTTGCTTCAACAAACATTGTTTGATGCCTTCTGGCAAAGTCCAAGCCTTTCTCTCTACTTACCTCCCGGTTCTCCTGCAACAAGAATCATAAACATTTCACACCACCTGCAGTTAATATGGGGATTGAAAGGTTCAGTTAACTGTAGAAACAAAGTCTTATGGTTTAAAGTTACTAATTGCAAATGAAATAAGACAACTGAAACCCACTCTCTTAATAGCCATAGGTGATAACATAATCAGGTTCTCTTCCATCAAGGAAGTAGTTATGAATGGATTTAGCTCTGATAAATTTAAACACATAATATACTGTACAGAACAATAAATAAATAAATAAATAAATAAATAAATAAATAAATAAAAAAGCAAAGACAACCCAGAATCAGTGATAGTTTTGTGGGTAAAGTAAGTCAGAATTGTTTGGTCTAGTAATGTTAAAGAATCGTAAGTAACAGCAAAATTCATTTATATAATTTCTTAGTCTTGGTCAATTCCTTTCTTCCTTTCAGAAAATATATCAAGTTTGGAATGGAAAAAATCCTGACCAATATAGCTTTAATAACAGTTATATTCTCCAGGCATCCTGCTTAGGACTGATCATTATACACGATGGGACACATGCACACATCCAATGAAAGGCATAGCAATAATATGTCTATACCACATAATAAAAGATGAAACAACTAAAAAGTTATTTTACACATCTGTTGGTCCTGTGCAACATGTGCGAAAAACATACTGTGCAGGGACTTTTGGCACAACTTTTGAAACTGCCCGAAGATCACAGTAGTGACACTGTACAATAAGCACATTAGTAAGCTCTGCTATTGGTCAAATATATCCATAATCAAAATGTGTACACAGCAAACTGTTCAGTAATTATCTAATAAAAATGTGGAAAAACTAAAAAGAGCCTACTTTGTCAATTTTATTTCCAACAATCATCTTAACAACATTGTTCCTTCTAGAATACATATCCAATTCCTGAAGCCATGTTTCAAGTTTTGTAAAAGTCTGTAATTTGGTCACATCATATACCAAAACTGCACCCTGAGCATCACGATAAAAACTGGGACTCAAAGCACGGAACCTTTCTTGTCCAGCTGTGTCCTAAAAAAAAAAAATATGCATTATAAAAAAAATATTACTGCTTTTAATGCATATGCACACACATTCAGCACACCAGTGACCAGTGAAACAGAACTGTGTTAACATATTTACCCAAATTGCTAAATTCACAGTACTGTCATCAACTGTGACTTCCTTGAGCTTGTAATCAACTCCAATCGTTAAGGGTTGGTCAGGATTGAAATCATCTTCGGTGAATCGCAGGAGGAGGCTATAATAGGGGAGTGGGAAAAACGCAATATTTATGCCTTACAATAACACATGTATTACAAAGCGTAGACAAATTACTGAACTGATTCATGAAACAAATTAAATGTTGATCTACTAGCAGTGTGAACTAACCAACCTTGATTTACCCACACCAGTTTCTCCTACCATCAGAAGTTTCAAAGTCACTTTTCCGTCCATTTCAGCACCAACTTACAAAATAATGTCAGTACCTAAACACAACTATATGTCTGTAATACATGTGCAATCATACAACCTCCATGACTTAATTTCATTTTCAAAATATTACATCGCACTGCGCCCGCAAAAAAAAACTTCTTTTGAAAAATATACAACAACACTCAACGGCCAACACTTTTCCTCCTTCACAAAATGATCGCATGATGATGGAGCTCGGCGGCCTCGGCGGAGTTAGTAGTCCAAAGAATTTTCGATGCAATGCAAATTACTTTGTAGCTGCCGTGGTTGCGTTGTTACTGTCTCTGTGGCCATGTGACTGACTGAGTCCGTTAATCCATGGATCACCAAGCAATAGTCTGTACGTGGCGAGACACGGGACCGAAGAGACTTTCCGAACGTTCCTAACCTTCGTAACTGAACTGTGAAGAGCCATTGGTGGTTCGTCTATGACCGTCTATGACATCTCTTCACCACCCTGAACGCTGACGAAAATGGGAGCATTCTGATAATTTTGACTGGTGTTGTGAGTTAGGATGGTGTTCACATCGTTAGCATTATTTGTTCGAAATAAAGGACCGGATGAATTTTGGAAGAAGCGAAGGATATTGAAATTATCAGCTGTAAGGTCTTATGAATTTCAAGATAGCGAAAGTCTATATAAACTAGTTAAAATTACCATTAAATTCCATTTTTAGGTTAGGAGAGGCAAAGAGTGATATATATTTCACACCCATTTCTTGTCGCAAGGAGTGGTTCACAACGAATTAAATTAATTTACTCAAGAACAGAGAATATCTTCTTTGCATAATGTTCGTAGGTTGTAAATTAAACAATTTTCAATGACCGATTGGAGGACCTCAGTGGTAAAATTTGAGATTATATTTCATGATGCGACGCCGTGTACGTTAGTAGGTAGATACCAGCTTTCAGGAAATAGGGGCACTGTAACTACCAAACTGTATAGCAACACATCCCGGAACACTAATATATATTACTTGATGCAATTGCCTTTTCAGCACTTTTATGGAAGGAGCAGAAATTGCTATTCACTTGCTATCAGAGCTGTCCACAGAGCTCTAGTGTTTGCTACCAAAGGAAGAAAACTGAAAAAGGAAGATATGGCTGCCGTGGGTACAATCTAGTACAAATGCATGCACATTAATTTCTGAATTAATGCATATTACATTACACCAGTTTTTCATTATCTTTTCTGCCCCTACAGCTTTGGGAGACTCGAATTACAGCAGGTTGTGAGGAACATAACATGACATATCCCTTATTTCGAGAAGGTCTAACACGATGTAATATCTTACTGAACAGGAAGACATTAGCAGATCTTGCAATATGGGAGCCTCGAACGTTTAAGGTATTTCTTTAATGCATAACATTCTTGCACGATGATACTTGTTGACATATCTTTGTAAGTAAGTAAAGTAAAATTATCCCTGTAACAGGCCATGAAAGCCCATAGGGTTGTGAGACGTTGAGGGTCCCACATTATCTAGACAATCTGCTCAAAGATGGCAGTAAGGTTGTCAGCCTTGTATTCAGTGATAATTTTAAAAGTGATCCTTCATACTTTCCCATCAAAATGTCACACATATGAAACAGTCTTCTGTGGTTATAATCAGTTTTCTCAGTGTTTACTTTTTTTGAGAATCAAATATATACAGTTATTTCCTTACATGGTAAAAACTATAATTTTTATGTTTAAGTTATAATTCCACCCTGTAACAAAGTTTATCTAAAAGTACCAAGTCAGTAATGATGTTCTAATGTTGAAGACCATCACACACTGCATTTGTGTGTTGTAACAGTTCCCAGACAGGTGGAAATTTCAGTTTAATTCATTCCATGATAAAATGCTTACTTTTTCAACCACCCTTTGATCTTGTCCACCTGGGTGAAATGGTGCCATCCCTACTACACATTTTTCTACCTTTGGATAGAGATATTGATGATGTGGGGAAATAATTGATAACATTCAATCATTCACAAGGGTATGCGGTAGCATAGTTGGTTGAGGCACTGTGCTACAAGCTGGAAGCTCATGGGTTCAATTCCTGATGACATTGAATTTTTCAATTGACCTAATCCTTCTAACAGCACTATGTCCCTGGGGTAGACTCAGCCTCTAACAGAAATGAGTACCAGGAATCTTCCTGGGGGTAATGGGTGGCCTGCACACGAGGCTGACAACCTCACTGCCATCTGTTTGCCTAGAAAATGTGGGAACCTCAACATCTCATAACCCTATAAGCCTCCATGGTCTGTTAGCAGGGATAGCTTTTCCTTTACCTTAATCTTTCAGACTGGGTGCCACTGCAAGTCATGCTTACAGAATTAATAGACAATGGGTAACAATGTAGAAATTCAGCCAGTGATGACCTGATTCATTTCAAATTTCACTGCTCTTTGCACCACTACCACAACATACGCTACACTGTGTGAAGTATGTGCAAATTTATGATATAATTCACTTTGTTTGTTGAATTCCATAAATGTATTCACTTAATTATGTCTGTTCAATAAATTATTGAACAAAACTTAGTGAAGTTACAGGAAAACTCAGAATTCCTTTGTATATGTTATTTGGAATATGGAGCATGCATATATCATGTCCATGTAGTTGAAGCAGTTGTGAGAAGTGAGAGGTTTCAAGATGACTTGTAATTGCACTAATCGGAAATTCAAAATTCAGGTTCTCCCTAGCAAGGATTGATACATGCCATTCCATTTCTAATTGAGAAGTATCAACAAACCATCTATCATAATTATCCTTGCACTGTGCTCATTTTCAGGCAACATAATGAGTTTTGACCTAAGTTTATCAGTGACTGGTAGGTATGTCTTGTTTTCCATAATTAAGCCAAAAATATTAACTGTTTTGGCACTGCCAGAATTCACCAATTTCCACACAAAAACACTGTATTACATGTGCACTGTAATGGAATGTGATATGAAAGATTCCCAATAAAATTGAATAAATATTGAATTATAAATTTTTAAATTTAAAGTACTGATAAACGGTTATAAATGACATGTAAGATTTGAGCTTTTCATAGTGGTGACTATGAAGAAAGCAGTCCTCTGGGATGTGGCACCATGTGGATATTGTGTTAACTGATGTTTTGGAGGAATATATCACCTGTTAGCAGCTGTTCACGCTGGTTTGCTCAGGGATTTCTTCTTTTTCTCCTACCCTGAAGATGGAGGTGATACGTGTCTATGAAACGTCGGTTAACACAGTATCTACACGGCACCACATACCAGAAGACTGCTCTCTTCAGTTATAAATGACATTCTCTGTCATTGTATTGATCAGAGTAGAATTTTTTTAAATTCCCTTAGTGGGGGGTGGAGTCCAGTTGGGTCCACTCAGCATGGCAGCCACTGATTGACCTATTGTAGCCTGCCTCAGGTGATTATGATGATGGAGAATTTGGTGGAATGAAGATTGGCAGGGGAAACCAAAGTACTTGGAGAAGACCCACCCCAGCACCACTTTGTCCACCACAAATCCCACTTGACCAAACCCAGGATCAAACCCGGGCTGCCGCGGTGGGAAGAGAGCGACTAACCGCTTGAGCTATGGCGTGGCCCTTGATCAGAGTATACTCAAAGGATTGTTCAGCATCAGGAGCCTGGTATGCATGAGCCAAATTCAAATCCTCCCCTCCCCCACTGTTTTCTTAACATTTGTTCTTAGAGCTGCCGCTCATTGGGAAATGTGACTAAAAGTAATTTTTACCATCTACAATCAGTATTCATTGATGACAGAATTAAAAATTTTACAGTGGTTATATATGGAATTCTTTCATAACTTGATACTTTCTGATATATAAGTATTTCTGACATGGGAGTCCTTTTAGGTAGTTGAACTGTTACAGGCGCAACAAGTCCTTGCTATGGTAATTTGCTTCCCTCATCTCTTTGGGAAATAGAACAACCCAATTAATTATAGTTAACCTTCTCATGAAGTCAAACACAAAAGGCGGGTTACAAAAATGACACAGAACTTATACACTGGAAGTGATGGGACTCGAATAGTAACTGAAGTGTGAATTTCATTTTCAGTCCCTGGTTAAAGTGGCACATGCACGTGTATCTCAGGATGGCCTGGCTGGAGTGACTGAGCTGGGTGATCCACCATCAGAGGTCATTACAAGGGGCATGTTCAAATAAATTAAGTGTATATATTTTTAGTAAAATAAATATGAATAGTGCTAAAGGAAATTAAATGTTTTAAATTAAACTATTAGAATCACTTAGCCATATTCGAACCTGGGAGTTCAGCACTGGTTACACTAAATCCGGTCACAACAGCAGATTGTGATACTGACCACTACCTGGTGGTGGCAAAGGTTAGGGAAGGACTGGCAGTGAGTAAGCAAACAGCACACAAGTTCATATGGAGAGATTCAATCTCAAGAAATTAAACGAGGTAGAGGGTAAGGAGCAGTATCGTGTTGAAATCTCAAATAGGTTTGCAGCTTTGGAAAACTTAAAGACAGTGAGGTGGATAATTTCAATGTGCCAAAAGTTTTCAAATCTGAAATATTTTTGGCAATTTTTTTAATATTTTCTCTAGTGGCTCTTTGCATAGATCCCCTGTACATAATTTAGGTTTGGTTAGAGCTATTCAGAATTTTTCTGGTCACATTCATCATTCACAAGTGCTGCATACAGTCACCAATAGTGCTATCGCCTCCCTCCTTTTCGTTCAACACCCTGATATAACTTCATGATCACAAACACTACAACACACTAATACAGACTTCACACTTGCATATCTAATGCAACAACATTGTGTGGGGTATTTGAAAATCAGAAACATATTATGTATTATAAATCATGTATACACATTGCTATTGCACTGAATAAAACACAATATATTCATTAAAATCTGTAATTTTAAAGAAAGCAAGAGACTATCTATATTTAACATTAATGTGAAAACATCCTTCAGTATACATACTGTATATATATGTAGAACTAAACACCATTTACTTTTAAAACACTTGCAATTTGTCTCCATTATTATGAATTCAGGTCATCAATCTTGGGGCTGTGTAAGTACCAAAATTTGCATCTGGAAATACCCAGTCTGTTGTGCCAACATTATAATATAGTATCTACAAAGAGGTATCAAGTATTAGCTGTAATACTTTCCGTGTCAGTATTTTTAAATTTCATGTGGATCCCCCGGAACAGGTCTTACAGACACTATCTATCATGGCTCCCTCAAATGCAGACCTTTAGACACTTTCTCGATATTCACGAAATCTGGCATGAACGATATGCCACTCAACGCAGTTTCAAAGTCATCACAGCAGTAGCAATGAACTTCAAACATGTCACCAGTGTGCATCTTCCTCCTCATTGGAGCAGCACTAGGCAAAAGTCAGCAATGTTACATTGAGTTGGGTTAGGTTAGGTTTGGTTTGTGCAACACAGCACTGTGTACCTGCCTCTGTACTTGCTCAGCAACTAGTAAGGTTGGGCAATGGTAGGTTACATTAGCGCAACACACCGCTGAGCATCCACTTATTCCTACTGGCACAGTTGCATCTGACAGCATTAGGGTGTTATTTCAGGTTATTCTGATGCATCATACCAACTCGCATCCATCAGAGCACAAAAATGGGCCTCATCATTTTGAAGAGTTCACAAATCATTGATGCCCTCAAAATTTCTCCTCAGATATTAAAATATTTTCAAACTCTGGAGAAATAATTTGCCTTTCTTAAATTATGCAAGTTCTCTTTTCTCCAATATTTCAGAATTTAGGTGGATTTCAGAAACTTATATTTCAAATTCACAAATTCTGCCATTGAAATCAAATTTTGATGTACTTCAATGCTAGACAACTTAAATTCCAGTTTCATAAAAAACATTTGTTACTGAAAAAGTTCAAAATTGTTAACTCTTAACTATATTCTCAAAATGTGAATTCAACACATCACTACAACTTATCTCATGAATGTCACTGGAACTCCATATCATTCACCTACATTTGCTTGTCTATATCTGTGGTCTATGTAAGGCTGTGTAAGTTCACATTCTGTCACAGCTGTTTGTAATTACCCACTACTGGAAACACTTATACTTCACAATTTTCACACACTCCGAATTACCAAATTGATGTATCCTTCAGAATCTTGAATGTTCCAGAAGTTTTAAATTCAAACATCTTACAAAATTTTTTGATAAAGCTGTTTTTTAAAATTTATTAACACGTGAGAATTGTTAAATTCTCCACACTTTAATATCCCATTGTAAATGATTGGTGGGAGTGAGCAATGTTGGGTTTGGTTAGGTTAGTGCAACACCACTGTGCACCCACTTATTCAACTGGCACAGTTGCATCTGATACCCTTAGGATGGTTAAGCTGTATTAATTTAGCTTATATTGACACATCACTGCAACTTGTACCCATCAAGGGCATTAAATCTGGACTTGTAATTCTGAACTTATTTGTATAATAGATTGGGGGTTTTTGAACAGAGATGAGAACAAAATTACAAAATCGCAGGCTTCATAATTTCTATTCTTCACCCAACTCTATTAAGGATAAACCAAGAGGGATGAGATGATGTAATATTGTATACATAGAAGGTAAGAAGTGCATGTGCAAGGCTAGAAGCTTCAACGGAACACAACGCTTGGTAGATCAATGCATGTATGTGACAGATCTTAAGTGAACTTGGGTATGGACTGAATTTGTCTCAGGATATGGTACAACAGCATGCATTTGTGAACATGGTAATAAACTTTCTTATTCTATAAAAGCAGGGAATTTATTGACCAAGTCGGTATCAACAACATTTCAAGAAAGACCATGAACCATATAGTCAGGTTGGGAGAGAAGAATTTCATAGAAAATGAAGACTTTAAATGCAGTTTTAATAATGAAACAAATACAAAGTTATATTCTAAACATAAAAAGAAGTAAACCCTAAATTTAGGGTTAACTTACAACATTTTGTATAACAGTTACCACTCACATGTCTTTTTACCCCACATATATACCACATTCATAACATATTCTCTCAAACTTTCATTAGCAATAAAGAATGTCTGCCTAAATCATGATGTTCTCCCATATTAACTAATATATTTGAATGCTGCCTGCTATTTGGGACAGCTGAAGATTCATGACTCCAACTTGGCAAGTATGTCAGATTCTCTAAAGAGATGGAATTCATTATTTTCCTCCAGCTCCACTTTTGTACCACCATATTCGGGCAACAACACTTGGTCCCCAACTTTCACAGACAATGGGACAAGTTCCCCTTTCTGGAATCAAACAAAAGAAATGACATATAATCAAGTTTCATTCTGCAATACATTAAACTCCCAATTATTTGGCGTGTCTGGTGAATGGGGTTTGCCAGTTGCATGAGAAAAGCTCTGACAGAAATCCAATAGAAACAAGACCATAATTAGGCATTTATGTATAAATACTTACTGTCTCTCATATCCTTTTCATATCCCATTATGCCATCCACTTGAGGTAAGTGGACTGGCTCTTAATATTTACATACACAAGTTGCTGAGAAGAACCACACATAGTAATAACAACAATTTGTATTCACCTACCAGGATATTTTTGTTATAGTTTCTCAGTGATGTACTAGTATTTTACAGTTTGCTCCATAGAGATGTGTGCATTTTTCAATGTCTCTGTTCTATGTTACAAACTCTTCTAATAACTTATTTGCAAGGATTTCAAGTATTTGTTCTTCTTCAAGAGCAAAATCAGAAATGTATGTGTGCTGTCTATCCACAGCAACACTTCTTTCTATCCTGATCATAATTCTTGGAGCTTATCCATGTCCCTACTTTGTTAAAAATACTATTCTTGCAGATGACCTGTTATGCACATAGGATCACTGCTCTCATGGCAATATTTTGTAGAAGAAGACTGGAACATATCATAATAGGTTTATCTCATTTTTTGCTAAGGTTCACATGAATTTCTCAAAAATACATTTCAATGTGAAGAACTATACCAAAGTTCTTGGAAGAGGGGGGGGGAGACAAAAAAAAATGCAAGTCCTTTTCAAACACACACAAACTGTTTCATACTTGCAGTCTAAAATTTTATTCCACTCATGTAATGTAAAAATTCTGGCAGAAAGATGTAACAGAAAAACCAATGTTTTTATAATTACCATTTCAATGCAATAAGTACACTAATCATCAATAAAACTTTGCAACTTGAATCATAATCTGTACTAAATCAATCTCATACAAATGTCCAGACATATCTAATTTATTTGGTGAAAACCAGAAAATGCCTTGTTACATATTACAGGACAGACATTAAAGCAGATTGTGTAATGAAGCTCTTCAGCCATGTACTTGTACAAAAGATTGGAATATCTGTAGTTTCACATACCTGATTTCTAGAACCAGGTCCAACTGCAACAACTGTTCCACGCAAGACCTTGGCCTGGGCCTTTTCTGGAATAACAATACCTCCCTTTGTCTTTGTTACAGCTTCAGCTTTCTGAATCAATACTCTATCCAAAAGAGGAATCAATCGCTTTGCCACGTTAGTAGCTACATGTGTTGCCTGAAGTAAAGGACAGTTCTATCAATACATTTTTTACTTTGGCATATCATTAATGAATGGTAATTCACACCTGATGATATATAGACTCAGTTACTGACACTGTATTTAAATCACTAATAAGTACAGACAAGTGAAAACTGGTGCTCACATCATTATTCAGTTATTTAAAGAGGTAAAACTGTCACTATTTGAAAAAAAGTAAAAAGATTTGAAGATGTTACAAAGTTCTCGAGGTCACTGAATGTACATATTACAGTTCCATGCTAATTACTGTATTTTGCTCTATCTTCAAATTTCCTGCAACGAGTTCCAGAGGTGTTTTTATAACCAAAGATGACGTCTTGAACGAAAAACTACATGAAGTACTATGACATGGATACAAGCACAATACACCACTGTAGGTCGCGGTGCAAGGGCCGAGAAGGCCTACCCCTCATACATTCATGACATGGATACAAAGTTTGGGAGCATTGATAAAATAAGGGCATACAAGATGGTACAAGGAAATGTAAAATCAATTACGACACTGGTATATGACCATAATGTAAATTATACATTACAGCAACTTACAAAAGGAGCTAAAGAAGTCTCAACATGTTACTCCAAATTTCTTGGTGTTACTGTGTATTCATACAACTTCATACACTTTGTACCTCCCCCGTCAGTGTTTTACACTGTATGATATCGCAACATATCTTACAGCATGCACATTCATAATGTGCAATATATTAACACCAATTCTTTAACAAATACAAATTTTCTCGTGGCTCTGCTTACAGCTGTGTATGTGTAATTTGCATTTCTTATTATTCAGATGTAGCTTTGGAAGACGCATTTTCTAGCACCTTCATCTACAATATGTAATATCTATATTAACATCAACTCTACCTGTGGCTCTACAAACTACTTGAAATAATTTGGGCATTTCATCATTTAAAACTATCATGAAAAATATATTAAAACACATTTAATTCCTTCGCCCGATCGCTGAAACATATAAAATGTGGTTATACATACCATTTTAACTTGTGAAAACTGATAACGGCGAATAATAATGTCTCCTGTACCTAATAATTTATATTCCCTTCTCGCACGCCTCCGAAGTTCACGAAATTTCTAGCAAGTAGGCCGGTTTATGCACAAAACAGGACGTCATTGACTCTCAATCCTTTCGCATGACTAACCAATTGGTTCGTTCGACTACTATTTCTTTATGCCATCTAGTGACAATACACTACATATTTATGAAGTATCGCAAGATTTGCCCCTGCATGAGCATAGTTGAATTAGTTTCATGAATTCACCGTAAGATGGCTATATACACATGTGCGTCACACTATCCGGAATATCTACGAACCTGTGAATCCACTGAATGGTATTGCGGAAAAAGCCCCGCATTTAAATGCAAATATGTCTTGGGAACTAAAATGCGGGTCGAGATATTAAGAGAAATTTAATTTTCGATAAAATTAATGTACTTATACGACAAGAATACATGGATTAATTGAAATTTATTAATCTTGCATCATCCAGATGGTACTTTCTAGAAGAAGTGGCTCCGAAGTGAACATAAAACTTTCACAGTAGCATAATTTCTTTTAAACTAGTCTTCTTAGACATAACATTTTGCATTAAAAATTACACTATGACAATAAATTGCAGCTATATTAGACATTTTATGTAAACTCACTGAATGACATGAATGCTTAACAAATAATTGTTATGCACTATAATATGCTCATCAAGGGGCCTACAATTTAACTTGCCGGCCATGTGCACTTCGCTGCTATCTCTCTCTCTCTGAGTCGTACAGAGTCAGCGTGGTTAGGAGAGTGACGAGAATCTCTGTAGAATTTTGCTGTAGCTGAATTATACGGTAATAGAGACACTGCTTGAACTAATAGAATGCAACAGCTCACAATATTAATAATATAGATTTATAGCTTTTTTGTACAGGGTATTAAAGCAGCAGCTTGTAAGCTTTTGTTGTTTTGAACTTTGGCATCAAATAAAGGTACCATAGATCTAAATGGCTTTAGTTGTGAGTTATGGTATTATATATATAGATATAATATATAAATATCTATATATATATATCTATACATATATATAAAACTTATGGTATACATCTGCAGAGCGATTTAAATATGTTCGTACGATATATGAAGAATACATTGGTTAGGGATGATATTTTTTCAGATGCATCGGCTTCCAAGTGTGCTACGTTCAAAAGCAGCATGCCAATTGTCATCCCAGGTCAGGTTTATGGCGAAAGATGTACGATTCGGACCAGAAGTGCGAGCTCTCATGTTACAGGGAGTAGACATTCTTGCAGATGCTGTAGCTGTTACAATGGGACCAAAGGTGTGTTTGTTACATTAGCTTTCTTTAAGGTTAATGAATGTTTAATAGTAAGTTCTAAGAAATATCATTTTTTTTATTTATGTCATTCTGGTAAGTCACACTAACAATTACAAAGACAAAACAACTCCGTCCAGTGTGACTATTGAAGTTTTTACTACTTGAAAACTTAGCACCCTTACATGTTTAGGTCCCTATAGACCATCATCAGAGGGACATCGATACTTTTCTGGAAACTATTATCGCAATGGGTGTTTTGAGTGTTAAAAGACATATACATACAATGTTTGTAATACACAGTATATACAAATCCAACTTTTCCACAACTACAGCAGCTTTCTTGGTATATTAAAGTTTTTAAATCGTTATTTAAGTTAATATTTATAAACCAAATAGGTTCGTGTCCTTTCACCTATTGTCTTTCTTGACAGGGGCTGAACTTGTGCGCCTGTCTCTCTTGAGAAGGAGATCCTTGGTATCGTCCTGTGTTTGTTCGTGGCATGCTGCATTGTTTTCAAACACAGAATACCACGAACAAACACAGGATGGAGTTTTGTCTTTGTAAATATGAATTTTGTTTATATGTAGGAAGGCATACCTACAATTTTATGACTTCAGAAGCTTTCAAACTCCACGATTTTGCCATTCCATATTTGATCAGTGTTTTAGGTATTGTGAGCATTACCAAGAAAACTGATGCAAGATGGATACTTTTTAATGCTGCAATAATCAGAGGCATAAACTTCATGTATGTTTTACTGGATCTCGGCATAATTGTCACTCAGTCACTACACCAGTGTTACAGTTCAGGTGAATTAAAACGGTGAACGAGGCAAGAAAATAGAAGAATGCACAGTACACCTGCAAAATTTCAATGTGTTATAAGATTAGTTGTCTAATTTTGCATTTGTTTTCTATTGAAATGGTTTTCCTTATGGAAGACACTGTGGAAGTTGTTTTATAAAAAAATACATTATTGTGATTTGTCCTCACATTATATCTTACATAAGTAGCCCTACATTAACAGTCAGAATATTTATGGTTAAATTAAGTTGGTGTTTAATATTTCAGGGCCGTAATGTGATTTTGGAACAGTCATGGGGTAGCCCTAAAATCACAAAGGATGGTGTAACAGTAGCAAAAGGTGTAGAATTAAAGGACAAGTTCCAGAACATTGGAGCTAAGTTAGTACAGGATGTTGCTAACAATACAAATGAAGAGGCTGGAGATGGTACCACAACAGCTACAGTCCTTGCAAGGGCTATTGCTAAGGAAGGTTTTGAGAAGATTAGCAAGGGTGCAAACCCTATTGAAATAAGAAGAGGTATTGTGTACTTGTGAGTGTAATTGTTAGGAATATGTTTTAGGAGTTGTTTCTTTGTTCTTTCAACATATTTTGAATAGAAGCCTGCACATAAAATCTTATCTTTGGATGTTGCTTTCATATATTCAATTGTTTGAAGAGTAAGGTATTGCAGATAAGTTCTCAGATTGGTTTATATGAGGTGTGTTAACATAGTAATGAAATTAATTTTGTACAAAATAATTTATTCAGTTCATTTAAATGAACCTCCTTCAAATTAGCATCCCTCTGATTCAACACACTTGGCCCAGCGAATTTTCTGCACCTTATAGCAGACAGGAAATCAGCTGGCATTTATTACAGTCTTCTTGAACACCGTGAAATGTTTGAAAATGATAGCCATTGACTCTTGATTTTAATCTTGGGAATAAGTAAAAATCACAGGGTGACAAATCTGGGGAACAAGGAGCCTGTGGAGGCACAGGAATGCACCTTTTGGCTAGATATTCAAGAACTGAGAATTCTGTGTGTGTGGGCACGCTGTCATGAAGTTCGAAGGATCCAGTCATCTGTAATTTCAATTCAGACTCGCATCACCATTTTTCTCGGACGGTCCAGGACTTAATGATAATATTTTTGGTTCACTCTGACACCAGGTGGTACAAATTCTTTATGAACTACTACTCGAGAATAAAAAAAACTGATGACCATTGTCTTGGCTTTGATTTGCTCATGCGAGCTTTCTTTTGCCTCGGAGACTGGCATGTGCTGTTCCTCACTGTGCATATTGGTTTCAGGGTCATATTAAAAAAAAAACCTTTGCCACCTGTCATGACCCAACTAACAAACTCTGGTTTAGTTTTGAGCTATTCAAGCATTTCTGCCAACACTTTATTTTGACTGCGCTTTTTGATCATCATTATAATTTGTTGGCACTGTCTGCACAAACGTGTCTCATGTTCAAATCTTGTGTAACAGTTTGGTGGGCCACACGATCATAAGTTTGTCAGCAATCATTCGAATTGTCAGATGCTGATCTTGATGAATGAGAGCCCTCACACAGTCACCGTTTGTGCTTGTTCTCACAGAGGTGGGTCTTCCAGATCATGGTTCATCTTCAAGCATTTCTTGCTCATTTACAAAGTCTTTGTGCCACTGAAAGAGTTGAGCACGTGATACTCATTACCAAATGCTTTCTGAATCTTTGTGTAGGTATCAGTAGTGCCTTCTCCCAACTTGACACAAAACTTGATTGTATAATGTTACTTGAGATTATTATTCTCCATTTTTGTGACACCGTAACGAAACATCTACACGAACTGCAACAGAACAACATGCACTCCTGCTAACAAGTTCAGACTTGGCCTGAAAGTAGAGGAAAGTTCTAGCTATCTTGTAATGGTCTGGATGCCACAGTATTTCCAGTTCTCGCATTACAAAATTAAACTTGTTATTTTGTTAGCAAACCTCGTATATGTACTTTCGTGTGCTTAGGTGCAGTTTTTCTCTGGCATGACATAAGGCTGCTTTGTTGAATAGATTACTGTGAGACATGAAATGCATATGAAAATATAGGGTATTACAGTGGATGTTACTATTCCTATATGGTCTTTGATGTAGAATCTAAAATTATTATTTATGTTGACATATTTTAGGTGTTATGTTGGCTGTAGAGGCAATTAAAGACAATTTGAAGCTCTTATCAAAACCTGTTACTACCCCAGAAGAGATTGCCCAGGTAGCAACAATTTCTGCAAATGGTGATAGAAATGTTGGTGATCTCATATCAGATGCAATGAAGAAGGTAACTGGTGGTGTTGAATGCAGTGAATTTCAGAACTTTGAATTATGTTGTGGAATATTTTAGATTGCATTATTTGTCGGCACAGGTTGGCAAAGAAGGTGTGATCACAGTTAAGGATGGAAAGACGCTGAATGATGAGCTTGAAGTAATTGAAGGCATGAAGCTTGACCGAGGATACATATCACCCTATTTCATTAATACATCAAAAGGTACAGGCAATTGAATATTTGTTTTGCAGCTTGACCCATTAGCATGGATCATATGGAACAACTTTACAATATGGAGACAAGCTTGAATGACGTTCTTTAGCATTAACTCAACTAACACTTTTTTTTCTGTTACCAAAGGTCTGAAAAGCAACTGCATACTAAGCATATTAATAAAAGTAGGAGCTCTACATTGGGACGCTTGTTAATTAACAATGCAGCATTTATCAAAGAGTTGTCAAAATTGGTTCCTGTACCTAGTATAGATTGGGATTGATGCTTTATATTCATGGCACTGTAAAAGCACTGAATTGATTTATATGTGGATGTTTGGTGACTTAAAATATTTTGGAATTGTGTTCCTCTTAAAAATATTATGTAAAAAACAAACTGTGGCCTGTAGTCCGCAAATGAACTATACCGACTGAGTGACCGCCACTTGTTGGTGAAGTTAGTGCCAACTTTTGCAGATAGAGGGTGTCACGTGGTCAGCACAACAAATCCCCACGGCCTTTAATCTCAGTTTTCTAGACCAGAGATGCTATTCCCTGAAATAGCTGTTCAGTTATCCTCACAAGGCTGAGTGGACCCCGTGTCAGACCCACTACTACTCAGAACATCTGGTAGCGCTGGAAATCAAACTCGGGTCCTCTGGATCTGTAGCCAGGAACTCTTGACCACTAGACCACAGAGGTGGTCAGATATTATGTAAACAACACATTTTATGTTTTAAATTGGTGAGAGTAATATTCGTTGAAACTGAGGTGATGGAAAGGGTTGCAAAAAAAGATTGCTACAGTAAGAGGAATTTGCAGTGAATTCACACAGCTTCAGTCTTGTTGCTTTACATACAGGTGCAAAGGTCGAATTTAATGACTGTTTGTTGCTGCTGAGTGAGAAGAAGATCTCCAATGTGCAGTCCATTATTCCAGCCCTTGAACTGGCAAATGCTCAGCGGAAACCATTGGTCATCATTGCTGAAGATGTTGATGGTGAAGCTCTTAGCACTCTGGTTGTGAATCGGTGAGTTTGTACTGAACATATGCAGTTTAAATTGAAACAATGTGTTGGGTAAGATACAATTAAGCACTTGGTCATCTGACTGTTAGTTTGTACTGTGTCTATTAACACCTGTTTTTTGGGCATCTGAGTTTGAAGTCAGGTTGAACTGCATTTTAAATGTGAACGTTTAAATGTGAAGAAAACACTGTGAAACCTCACATTTGCAAGTAAGATAAACCTATGGAAGTATAAATGTATTAACTCAGTTCAGGCCAAAAGTGGAGATAGAGCACTCCAACACTTATACGATTAGTTACCAGTATCAGGAATCTAGAATTTTGGAGATGAAGGAAGAGGGTGAAAAATGAAAACTTCAGCAAGAGAAGCTGGTTATAATAAGTTTGAGAAAAATATTTAAACATAGGAGCAGATTATACATACATTATTAATATGGGAAGAAGTGTAGAGTGGGGGGGAGGGGAAATGGGAACTTTGTTGAGTAGGATCAGTCTTTATTCTTTACAGTTTGTATTTTTGCCAGAGACAAAAACTGAAATTCTGTCAGCCGTTTGTTCACAAATGTACCAAATAACCTGCTCATGGTTCTCCCAATCCTTCCCAAATTGCGGGGTCATACAGTATTTTGGTTGGAAGATTGTGTGCAAGACTCGAGATTCAGTGTATAAGGGTGATGTGTCTTCAGGTTCCATAACAGTTCTTACATTTGCAACAGGGACCCAAGTGAATAGTTCTTGAGCACTGTAGATCAAGAAAAATAAATAAAGGAAGTAGGGTGGATGTTCAAAGGAAAATCAGAAAGAAAACCATTACACTACTATGAAATGTATCTTTCAGCTTAAAGATTGGGCTCCAAGTAGCTGCTGTGAAGGCTCCTGGTTTTGGTGACAATCGCAAAGCTACTCTTCAGGACATGGCCATTGCTACTGGTGGAATTGTGTTTGGAGATGAAGCTAACACAATCAAAATGGAGGACGTTCAACTCTCTGACCTGGGTCAAGTGGGAGAGATTGTTATCACCAAAGATGACACGCTTATACTTAAGGTACAAGAGTTTATGACAAATATGCATGTAGTTGAAGATTTGGATAGTCATACTGAATGCCTCCTTTGTTTCAAAGAGGGGTCAAGACTGTCAACAGACCGAAGGCTATATGGAGGATTGTCAAATTTTCCAGTATAAATGATGAACTGTTTTAACACTGCTCAGCAAAGTGAAGTTCATGTAATGTGCAAGACCTCCAAGAAGTTAAGCAGTTTTTGCATGGTTGTGGCTTGAATGACCTGAAAGTGAATCTGAAACTGAGAGTACATTCAGGAAAATATCGGTTTTGCATTTACCAAGGGAAATGAACATCCTGTGTGACTGTGAGGCTGTAGCCACCTGGGCCATTACCTTATGGAGCCAGGTGATTATGAAGATGTCCCTGTAAGTGAAATACTACACATCATATGAAGTGTAGGATTAAAGATGGGTTGAAATAGAGGGGAATGTATAATAGATAATTGAAGGTCACAATGCAAGGGCCAGTCTAGGCATAGTCATTAAGCATTTGTGGGTATCCTGGGGATATCTCACGTTTCAAGTTATTAACATTTCATACATCTCTATATGAAATGATACACTTCTCTTTATAGGGTAAAGGTAAGAAGACCGACATAGATCGCCGTGCTGAACAGCTTCGTGACCAGATTTCCAATACTACTTCAGACTATGAGAAGGAGAAGCTGCAAGAGAGATTAGCACGATTGGCATCTGGTGTTGCAGTGCTTAAAGTTGGAGGATCAAGTGAGGTGTGCACTTGTGTATACATTGTTAACAAATCAGTCATATAATCAGGGGTCAAAATTTGTTTGAAAAACCTGTAGTCAGGCGTATTCTGGTCACCTGAGAAAGGTTCTTCAGTTTTTTTTTTGAGTCATGTTGTGACTGTCACTTCCCTTCAGTGCCCAAGATTAATTTTGGCCTAGTGGTGAGATATCCTGGCTACAAATCCAGAGGTCTGGGTTCGATTCCCGGTGCTACCAGATTTTCTGAGAAGCAGTGGGTCTGGAATGGGGTCTACTCAGCCTCGAGAGGATTGAGAAATTTGGTTTAGAAAACGAAAATTAAGCCATGGGGATTTGTTGCACCGACCACTTGACACCCTCTATCCTTTAAAGTTGGCACTAACTTCACCGACAAGTGGTGGTTGCTCCATTGGTGTAATTTGCTTGCAGACTAAAATCATGGAGTTTTTTTTTTGTCATACCATTTAGTCTAAACATCTGTAGGTCAGGCATAAGCTGAGGGGGGTGGGGGGGTGGATAAGAAAAACCTAATTGTTATCACTTTCTAATTGTTTTTGTCCTTTAATGGCTGCCATTTGGTTTCTTGGTTTTCATTCTGCAGATGAAAATATAAACTTAATTCATTAGCTCTGAACACGTGCACTGATTTGTATGAACTGCAATTTATATATGCACAATTTCAAGTGTAAATTCAGTCTGCTTTTGTTAAATTTCATGAAAAGTAGAGTTCTGTTGAGCACACACCAGATTCCTAGTTCAGTTTCTGCTGGCTCAGCAGGTTCAGAACTCCCACTAGCTTAATTTTCATCATATGACTATATTTAGCTGCATTTAGAGGAAGTATAACCACTGGCCCACCACATCATGAAAGCCTGCTTGATATACTATACACATCTGTTATGTGATGACATTAAGGCCGAGGATTTGAGTATCTCCTGCTCTCCATCTTGGATTGTAGCTTGGGGGTTTCATGATCAAAACCTTGAAGCGAATACTAATAGTCTGATAACAGAGTGCATTATGAAGCAAACAGAGATGCACAAATTGTAGATTATATATAATAAATTATTGTCACGTGTTGGGTATGTCATGTGACACATAGCTTCACGTGACAGCTGGTGTCAAAGTGGGATATGAACTTCAACACGGAGACCACATCGAGTATAACACAAAAAAGACATGGACATACAGCAGATGTTGGAATTCCTGCTGACCAAGCTGGATAACGATCATGCAAAGGTGGATGCCAGACACGTACGAACGAGACAGTTGGGATCCAGCCACGGCCAAGGACAGTTGAGATGTCGCAGCCGCAGAAGGCGGTATAAGCCCACTGTTATTGCGATACTATGGAAGTATCTACTCCAAACATGTTACATTATATTTTGTTTTTATTAGGTGGAGGTGAATGAGAAGAAGGACCGTGTGAATGATGCACTGAATGCAACACGAGCTGCTGTGGAGGAAGGAATTGTTCCTGGTGGTGGCACTGCACTTCTGAGGTGCATTCCAGGCCTGAAAAAGATTCAGACAACAAATAGTGACCAGGAAACTGGTATGTACTCTGTGAGGAGGAAAACTCTGTATACCTACATATTCCTGATATATGTACTGTAATACAGAGAGAACTTTAGTATTTTATATTTGCAGTGGTAAGTTTACAGTAGAGTGATCAACACTGCCTTCTAGCTTCTCAGCCAAACTTCTCATTTTTGTTGGAAATGTGGATTTATTTCCATGCACTTTCATATGGAGCAGTTTTATTGAAATCCATGGAATGCATTGTTTTTGTTTGTCTTTGTTAACATGATTAACTTCATTCACAGTTTCTGTACGTGATCAGTATGATGTATTTGACTGCTTATGGAAATTGTGGCTATGACCAAACTCACAGGTTGGCCTCTTATCAGAAGTCAGTCATTGGAACCCATCTACATAAATAACAGTATATCTTGTTAAATTTGTTCTGGTCAAACTTAACGATATAAACTCTACTGTTTCCAATAACTAAATAAAACATGCTCTGGTGGTGTATGGACCCACTGCAAGGCAAAGACCTCAAAACAATGAGTACAACTAATGCAGTAAAGTAAAGATATCCCCGTAACAGGCTGTGGAGGCCTGTAGGGTTGTGAGATGTTGAAGTTCCACATTTTCTAGACAGTCGGCTCATAGATGGCGATAAGGCTGTCAGCGTTATGTGTCGGCTGTCCTTTACCCACAAGAATATTCCTGGTACCCATTTCTGTTAGAGGCTGAGTTGATGCCAGGGCCATAGTGTGTCTGGAAGGATTAGGCAAATTGAAAAAATCCACCTTATCGCGATGCGATCCTGTGACCTTTCAACTTGTAACATAGTGTCTCAACTATGCTACTGCATGCCCATTGATATGCAGTAGGTGAATAAACCAATAGCAATTTCTGAGCAGTGGCTTGCTAACACCTTCCTGCAGAAATGATATCCAGGCTATTGCTAAGCAACTGCCCATAGCAATAGAGGGACTGTTGGAGGCAGTGTTTTCTTGGGTCCGCCCAAAGGCTAGAACCCCAGGCAAATTGAGTGGGTTCAGTTGTGGATATTTGCCAAACAGTGATGATGTGAATGTAGGAAGCTGAAGAATCTCCACTGTTAGAAGCTGCTGCTAGGGAATGGCTGTTGGAGATGCAGCATGCTGGGAAAAAAGCTTAGTGTATAGTGATTTGTAAAGTTTGGAGTTCAGTGATAGTGCTGTACTTACTTGTAGTTCCAAGTCATGTGTACAAATAGTCAATAAATCCAGTTCACCAATCCAAACCCCATCTATAGTCACACTGCTAAAAATATGTGACAGTACTTTTAGATTTATTTTGCGTTGTAGACCAGTATGCATTTCAGGTTATTATGAAATTCTTATACGTGGAGAGATGAGAAATGAACAAATGTGAGAATATCAGATTTGTGTTCATGTGACTGGATAGTTTATAGTGGCAGGCTGTTTTTAACATTTTGATGAACCTTCAGGTTCTGTAAAAGTCAGGGAGTTCAGGGTTAACTAAGGGAGAGCACTGCTTCATGAAGTTTGAAATTAATGGATTTAAATTTTAACAGGAGTGGACATTGTCCGTAAGGCTCTGCGAATGCCATGCATGCAGATTGCAAAGAATGCAGGTGTTGATGCTTCAGTGGTGGTTTCCAAAGTTGAAGAACTAGACAGTGAAGTTGGGTACGATGCACTGAACAATGAATACGTGAACATGATTGAGAAGGGCATCATTGATCCCACCAAGGTATGTGTGAAAGCACAATAGACCACTGTATGTTGCGGTGCAAGGGCTGAGAAGGCCCACCCCCTATACATTCAAGGTATGTGTGACATTTATATCTACCATGCTAAAAAAAATCCCACTTTAACAATTACATGCATCAAGAAGTTCGAAAGTAGCAGTCATTAGGTGAGCACCCTAGGACAGTATGCTGTATAGGACTCCACAGTCAATTGTGAGGCTGCCTGTTTATGAACAGTGAGTAGTATTTAAGGACTTGCCTTTTGAACTCGTTACTAATAATCTCCCCATGCCAGTTACATTTCTGCATACTACCCTGTTTGTTCCACATATCAGGATTTTTTAACCTGTAAAAATACTCTGTTATTATTTCTCATTGACTTCATGTAGTGAAGAGCACATTTTCTAGAAGCACAAGACGTGTGCTGTGGAGCTTATCTTTACAGTACAATGTTAGGATAAGATTCATTCATTGTTCTGGCAAGTTTGAATTTTTTTTAACCTCTGCTTCAATTTGGCAAATGTGTGGGAAACAATTGCACAGATGAAATTATTCATGTTCAAGAAATTACTGCCATTGTAATTATCTTAACAGGTTGTCCGAACAGCCCTGACAGATGCAGCTGGAGTTGCATCATTGCTGACAACAGCCGAAGCTGTAGTGACAGAAATTCCTAAGGAAGATCTTCCTGGAGCAGAAGGTGGAAGAATGGGTGGCATGGGAGGTATGGGAGGAATGGGGGGAATGGGTGGAATGATGTAAAGAACTGTAACCCAGCCAGTGTCACAAACATAGGATTAAAAGACTGAAGAGAATAACTGAGGAAAATCTGGATTACCCAAGTAGTGTCATTGCGATAGATACGGATTTACGTTGTGTGTGGGTTTATGTGTTGAATATGCTGCGAATGTTTTTGTAGGGGAGAAAAAAAAAGTAAACAAATTGAAGTCATCTGGGGATGTGTTCAAGTGCGCAAGGTTTTACTTGTTCATGTAGTGATTGTTATTCATAACTAATCATGTAAGGAACATGTACATGTAAAGCTCAGTTAGGTCTGAGAGTGGGCGAGTTACATTTTTAGAATACCCGTTTGTTAAAATGTTCTTTTCCATGGGCCTCTTCACAAAGAGGATAGAGTTGTTACCATACGTTGGCAGTTATGTTCAGATAAAGGGAAAGTGGTGCTACTCATGTTGAATGTTTACTTCACATAATGTGTAAACTAAACTGGTCATAGTTTATCCTTGCTTTCTGAACCGCCTAGGATGAGCTGTAATCTCACAGACATTGTTCTGACCTCATACTTGAAAGCATTTATTCATTCCATTGTTTTCATAAATGTGTTTCATACTTCACAGATATGCTTTGCTATAAATTTACCTTTGGGATGAAGTGTCATATTCCTCAGAAGCAGCAGCTTTATGAATTATGTGCAGCAGATACAAACTAACATGTAAATAAGACTCTGAATATTCAGAGAAATATTGTGTCATGCCATCTTGAAACTGAAACAGTTCTGTTTTTCAGTTTCCTATTCCATGTGAATTTTGTTATACTGTAATAAAAAATTATATTGCAATGTTATGTCTCTTTTATTTAGTACATATTAAAAACAAATTGTATGTACAAGAATTTGCATTTTTTAAACAAAAATGTAGAGAAGTGCACTGACAATTCACATACCAAGTTTCAGTTTGTTGATATTGAGGGACATCTTGTAATATCCTCTGGACTGGCAGCTAGCTGCTACCACTGATTCCTTTCAAATGTCATACTTTTATTTTTCCCATGATGTCTTTTTCTTTTTTTGCCCTGAAACAAATATTCAGTATGTCATGACATGATGACTTATAGGGGATTGGGAGGGGGGGCAAATGGTTGGTTGAGGCACTATGCTACAAGCCACAAGATAGCAGGTTCAGTTCCCAGAGTCACTGGATTTATCAACTGACCTATCCTTCCAGCCATGCTGTGGCCCTGGGGTTGACTCAGCCTCCAACAGAAATAAATACCAGAAAATCCTGTGGGTGAAGGGCAGCTGGCACATAAGGCTAAACAATCTCATCGCCATTTGTGAACCGACTGTCGAAGAACATGTCGGGCCTCAATGGCCTGTTACAGGGACAGGTTTATGAAAGGCCTATAACTGTCTCCACACCATATCATAGGAAAAAATATTTAAAAAATGCATGCAGGGTTCACACTAGTGCATGCTAAGGGCAAAGTGAGGCATCCTCATTCTATCTCTGAACCACTCCCCCCTTTAATGCATCCTGCTTGGCCATGAGGTAAAAGCCAAAGAGTATGTGTGGTATTAAATGGGTTGGTGGGTAAATGACTGAACTGGATGACCCTTATTTGTTGATTTTGAACTTACCTTTGGTTTTCCTTTATTTTCGATTTGTGCTGAGGTCCTGCTACCACCTCGGAACCTGCTGAAATTGACTTTACTGTAGTCAAATGGCTGGAAACCTTCCTCTTTCATTTTTTTACTGCCAGTTCGTGGAACGGAAGTCGATGGACTGTTAACTTCAACAGATTTGTCTAGTTTCAGTCTCTTACTAGGTTGGGCACTGGAATCCTTCTTACGATTTTTACGTTTTCTGGAAACCTGAAGAAAAGGAGAAAAGTGTGTTGGACTTTTAAGATGATGACACAAATGAAGTGATTACAGTAGAAACTCTTCCAGTGTTCCTCAATTTAAAGTTCTATTTCAATGATCGAAGTCAATAACCTCACACTTAATCTTTATCCTCAGAAACAGCACTTTTAAATCCAAATAAAATGAAAGTATAATCTAGCAGATCCAGTTTTTTAATTTGTGAGAAGTCAGGTCCCAACATATATATATATATATACTTATATGGCCACCTTCAGGGCTGTCCAATTGCAGAAGGAATCTTATATTAGCTTTGCATAAAGTATTTAATATTGGATTATACATCTATGCTTTGAATATTATTGACATTAATTGTATATCGTAAAAAGCCAGAAGCCAATGAAGTGCAGAGGTAGAATCATTCCCCCCCACCACGCCATTTTTTTTTTTTTTTTGGTGGTGGTGTCTGACCATGTCTTGCGGCACATATGTAGGTGGTCTGTATGAGTTATGTGCTGCTGAACTAGTATTTTAAGGACAGATCAATAAATGTTAAATTCAAGTAAAACTAATGTGGAGTTTCCACTTAGAACTGGACACTCCTGAAGATGGCCATACATCGGTTGAACATGTCAGGCTTTATGATTACCTAATATGACCTCCATCTAGTGCTGAGGTAAAGAATGGTGGAACTATACCACCACTTCTTCATATATTTTCAATGTCACAGTTCTTCATTAATGAAAGTACAAGGACAACTTTTACTTTTTTCTTTACTTGATGCATTAGTGATACTGACCTCTATTAAATTCTAATCTCCCTGTACTACAATGTTCATGGCCACATTTTTAATTTTGGGAACCCATTTATCATTCACAAAAAGGGGACTTCAAACTTCCTGCATCTACAGGACTGGGGGCAAAAATGGTACGAGTACAGATAAAAAAAGACTCCAGTTAGCAGAAAAGCACACAGTGCCTTACAAATGGGCATACCTTGTACTCACATATTCTGAATTGCACCATTTTTCATTATACTAAAAATATTTGCCTTACTGAAAGCTACATACTTTCATACTGATGCAGATCTGTTAAGGGCTTTGTATGATTATACAATTTACTTATTCTTCATTACAAAAAGTTAGTTTCTCAAACTGTTTCTGCCCAAACAATTTCTGCACACTTCAACACAAAGGACGTAAAATATAAGGGTAAGTCAATAAGTAAGTTACAATCGAATATAGAACTTAAACAAATAAGAGTACTGATTTGAAAAATGCTTTTATTTCTCAACATAATCTCCCTGTACATTGAGGCACTTGTCCCATAATTTCACAAGCCCCTGAAAACCAGCAGCATAAAATTCTTTGGGCTGCTGTTGGAACCAGGCGGTGACTTCCCTTTCTACGACTTCATCGTCAGGAAAATGTTCAACCTCAAGGACAAACCATGGAAACGACCAGAACTCCTCACCACAGGCGTGTTGCTCTTGCATGACAACACATGTTCCCATACTGCCAACAAGACAAATTAGACACGCTGCAAAATTTCAAGTGGGAAGTCCTTGAGCATCCTCCGTATAGCCCCAACCTTGCTCCAAGCGACTTCTATTTGTTCAGCTCTCTTAAACATCATCTTTTGGCTGAACATTTTCCTGACGATGAAGCTGTAGAAAGGGAAGTCACCGCCTGGTTCCAACAGCAGCCCAAAGAATTTTATGCTGCTGGTTTTCAGGGGCTTGTGAAATTATGGGACAAGTGCCTCAATGTACAGGGAGATTATGTTGAGAAAGAAAAGCATTTTTGAAATCAGTACTCTTATTTGTTTAAGTTATATATTCAATTGTAACTTACTTATTGACTTACCTATGTACAGAATGTATTTACTTATTTCTATCAATATATCAGACCATATACTTAGTGCCAAAATGCAGGGTTTTACATGAATAATGAACTGTAAATGAAGTGGTCATGGACTAGTTAAAGTACTACTCCAACATTTGCCTGAAGGGATGAAGGAAAACCATGAGAAAACAGGATAGTTACACTTCACACTTTCCATGGAGACCTCCTCACCTTCCCCATTGCAGTCCCTTGCATTTTCATCTGTACTCCATGCACTCATCATTTACATGTTGACATCACCGTATCAAATCCTGGCTACAAAACTAATTATCCTAAGACCGTTGTGGGTTCATCCATTCCAGGCAAACAAGCCAACTTCTTCCTCAGGCTTTATATCAGTGCAATTCAGTGATGCTATAAAGTATATGCCAGTGGCATCACTAAATACACTAATAGAAATAAGTGCACTTTACTTTGCCACTTATACTTTACCTTGCTTCTTAATGTTTCCATTTCTTCTGACCTTTTGGGCTCTGGTGATGGTGGCAGTGGTGGTAGTGAGTGCGTGGTGATAGCACTGTTGGTCTTCTCTGCCTCCTCTTCAGCCCCCTCCTTCACCATTTTGGAACTTACTTCCACAAAGTGGTCCTTTATCTAAACATTTTTCATAACAATGTCATCTACACCAATTAGTCCAGAGAAACAAATATTTTCTTTTTACCTTTTTACATGCATAGACACAGTAAAACCTTTCTAAAATGGAACCTGGATGAAGCACATATCTGCCATTATTAGGAAATTTCTCCATCCCTGTTAAAAATTTTCTGATATATAGGAACTGCTTAGTAATCAGTATGAAAATAAAAAGAATTTAAGAGAGAATATTGTGCTTTAACATTTACTATTTGTTAATTTTCTTGTATCCATAACAATGATTTCTGTCAGAAACTGGGAAGAACTTTACTGAATCACTGACAAATGCCAGTATGTGCAAAATACTTTAATATACTGTTTCTCAGCCCAAACTATACTGCAGCCCAGTCAAATAACCTAATTCTCTACCACTAACCATTACAATTATATAAATATATACAATTCTTAAATAAACATGGGGTTGGAGCTACATACACACACTGTGCAGAGACAGCCTGCACGACAAGGCAATGGTTGTTTAAAGAATCACCTTTTCCCAAGAGGTTTAAAAAAGAAAAGATGTTTGGAAGCAAATTTTTTGGAGTGGTAAAAACATGGGAAAAAATCAGGAAATGGAGAACATTAAATTTTCAGTATGAGTCTAGTCTACATATGTAACATGGATCTTTTACATGTAATATGGGTCTTTAATGTATGAGGTATGTGCTGTCATACTTTTATCTAGAATTTCATGTAGTAGACACCTGCCTCTAGTCCACAGTCACATGTAGGCAAAAATTTTACACTGTAAGTACCTGTGAACACGTCAGTCATCACATTTCAAGGCATTCAATCAAGAAATTTCATGATTTAAAATCAGGCTCACTACATGGAGTTATTCTTGCACTTACCCTCTGTATCCGCTCAGCATTGTCATCTTCTGTCCCAGGTACTGTTGCGGTATTCTCGGCGGAGGTTAATGTGGTTTCTTGTGACTGGATGAACGGCTTCACTTTCTTGTATCGTTCATATGGACACACAAATGTCACATGGTTTGGAGTGTCGATCTCTGCTTCAGCCTTCAGATAAATCAAACCACCAACATACAGATACACACATCACCTATAAAGTCAGCAGTAGGCAGCTATACTTACTACAATGTAGGGGAATAGGAATCAAGTTAGAAGAAAGAATGAGAAAGTCTTCTGTAATCACTACATAGTATGGTGGGTTAAAACCAAAGAAAGGCAATTGCATCCTGTCTTAAGTATTTATAAGATTCTACTGTTTCACAGCTTCTCATGTTTTCTTAAACAATAAATAACTATGCACAGAAGCTATAAAGGTAAGGTGAAAGTGTTCTCCTTGTGCTTAATTAATTAAGCAATATGCCATGAAGACATATGGAGAAGTGGAGGTATAGCTCCACCATTCCTGATGACAATACTATATGGAGGTGAATTATCAGCTTCACTCTCTGGCCACTTCACCCCCAGGGAAAGAGTCCCAGTACCCACTGGACCCATTGTGTGGGCCTCAGAGCTGGTCTGAATATTGTGAAGAAGAGAAAAATCTTTCCCATGCCAGGAATCGAACCCTGGTCATGCAGCCCATTGCCTGTTGCTGTATCTACTCAGCTATCCCAACTACACAGAAGCCACAGTAAACCAAACCTAAGTACATACTAATATTTGGTGACAGGAGACTACTACCTATAGTTTAAAATGCTATCACAGAAAAAGAGGCGTGGTATTCTAAATGAAACAATGATAATGATTATGGCAAATAATAAATGGGTGAGCAGTACGACATGATGAAATAAACTCTCAAGGAGTGCAACATACAATAACAGTTATATTCAGTGCAATTTAACTTTAAGCCATTTTGCAATTGTTGATGTTATGAATCCTGCATCTATCATGTATACCGATAAATGACTACAGTTTACTTAACAATTCTTTTTGACTAGGCTAGGAAGCATAAAATTATAAGATATGCCAATAATGAATTTGGAGGGATGTGGAAGAAAGTGGTTGTAGCCGATTAGAAAGTACTATCCTGAAATATGCCTGGAGCTACAAAAGAACCCCCCCCCAAAAAAAAAAACACAACAGGCTGCTCGATGCTGAGATTTACATCCAGGCTCTTGTTAAATACAAAACAGAAGTGCTACTAAACCTTGACATTTGCTGATAAGAGAGAAAATAACAAATCATCTTAATGAACTCAAGAATGGATGGAATAAGAAATTAGAAATCTCTTGGGATGTGACTAGCTGCAACATGGATAAGGACAATTTTTAGAAGAGATCTTCACCCAGAGTTATACTAATTGTATTCAATTTTTTCTTCATAATATATCTATAGATCAATTTCAAAATTTCAACACAAAAAGACTCAAAATTATCACAGAAATTTTCCTATAGATCTTCTGCCTAACAAATGAATCCAATGGCATTTAACGTTTATCATCTGGAAACAGAGGACTGAACTTTTCTGCTATTACAATGTCAGTGGCTGGATATTAACTTGGGGGTAATTATGTTTATAGTGGACAAAGTATAGTGCTAGGCCTATTATACTAGTATTCATGCCATCAGTAGTGTGGCACATGGATGGTAAAGTTAAAGAGCCATTAACCTTGCAAATATCACCGGAATGGCTAGATGTCCTGAAGCTGTTGAAATATGCAAGTGGACTAAACAAACAGGTTCTGATAATATGAACTAGACTGGCTATAAAACTGATTGAGTGCAATAGACCTTCAGTGTCAGCTGTACTGGATCAATGTATTCTAATATGCACTAAGTGAGAATGAAGTTAACAATATTTAATCAGTACTTCCTTTTCTGGATTTCAAAATGGAACTAGAACAGAGTTTCAAATTCAAGTAAACAGAGCACTTACACATAAACATCCCTTAGCATCAGATACATTACCTCAAACACAGATATCATCGGTTTAATCATCTGTATCTTCTTGGCACCAACTTCTGTTTCATTAATATTGTATGTGCTTCCAAGAAGTGTTGGAAGATCGTCCCTAAAATCCTGGATGTGTGTGAGATCATGAGGGCAGTGGAGAGCTCCATCTAGGTTCACTTTGTTCCAGTTCTGGGTACTGACCCTTGTCCACAACTCTTCCTCCAGGAGGGGCTAAACAAACCACACTTGAACTCAGACAATATCAGAACTATGTAGGATTTCAGGTACCCATTGCAGTGGTTATAAAGAGTTATATCTTCTGGGACATGATGCCATATAGTCTATTGAGAGACAACTGACATTTGAGAGGAACATAACACCTCCATCTTCAGGGTCAAAGAATGTGCCAAGCTAGAAACCAATATGAGACGGGCAGCAAACAGTGCTTATGTTATATTCCAGAAGACAGAACTCTTCAGTGTCAAAACTGAGAGTAGTTCATATATTGACCATTAGAAACATGGTCTCACAGGCATGTGATGGTGCAGGTAACTCTAGATAATGAGCTGCAGCATGACTGTATTAAAGTTTTGGGGACTCAGGATCAAATCTAAAGCCACACTGCAGGCACCACTGACAGCCACGTGAGACATTCCCAGTATCACATAAATATTAAGACTATTTACCATAATTACTGTTCAATCACTAATTTTCTCATCTTTGACACATCTACACAATTTAGTCATCAGTGCAGTTACTGAGAGACAGCATAATTAACTCTGTGGAGCAGAATCCCTCTTCAGAAGCTAAAAATTTCCCTTCTAGTCAAGAAATTCACCACCCTTTACAAACAGAAAACCTTAGCATTCTATATTAAAAAGGATGATCACCCACCCTGGGCCAGATATGAAAGTTTGTAATTTAGAGGGCTTTTGTCCACCTCCTTTTTGTACTGCTATGTTTATTAATCAGAAGACATTCACAGCATCATGAGCCACACATGGCCCAAAAACCGATTTGCACTAATCCATCCAGATGTCTGATGTGTTACAAAACCTGTCTACAATTGCATGCTGAGGGCTTCTATATAGGCAGTATGTAATTAAAGGATTATGAATTTAAAGCGTTTCCCTAAAACATCATTCATTTCATTACACGCATTGTTACTTCGACCATGTGTAAGAAATATTTGATAAATGTTTTTCTTTTAATTATTTTTAATTTCCTTTGCATTTGTTGCTGTTGTTGTTCTTCTTGACCAGGAGCATTCTTCCTTCATCTTTAAAATATCTACTACTATTTTCACTGTTAGGATTGTTTTCTNCCAAAAACCGATTTGCACTAATCCATCCAGATGTCTGATGTGTTACAAAACCTGTCTACAATTGTATGCTGAGGGCTTCTATATAGGCAGTATGTAATTAAAGGATTATGAATTTAAAGCGTTTCCCTAAAACATCATTCATTTCATTACACACATTGTTACTTCGACCATGTGTAAGAAATATTTGACAAATGTTTATCTTTTAATTATTTTTAATTCCCTTTGCATTTGTTGCTGCTGTTGTTCTTGTTGACCAGGAGCATTCTTCCTTTATCTTTAAAATATCTACTATTATTTTCACTGTTAGGATTATTTACTTTTCTTTATTTTATGTCTATTTATTTAAGAATATATTTCTTTATTTTATGCCTACTAATTCAAGAATAGATTTCAGTTAACAGGAGACTTCAACTTCTTTCTGATGTTCCAAACACAGAAAATTAGTATTGTGGAATGTAGGCCCGTTGCTATGTGATGACCGCAGAATAAACAACTATGCAGCAGCTGTTGAAAGCTGCTACCAAGCAACAGCAGTGAAGACATGTTTGTGCAACAGTCAACTGTAAAGTGTGGTCACACGCTGTATCAAAGTGTACAACAAATCTGATCATCAATTTAAAACCCACCTACAGTCACTCTATCACGTGACAGTATTATTAATTTATGCATCTGCCAATATCAAGAGTCCATAAGGAATCAGAAATCTTTTATAAATGAGGAGTATAAATAAAGCAAGTACAGTTATTTTACTTTCATTTTCCAAGTCGTGTCTATCTCTTGCAGATATCATTCCAGCAACTGGTAGAATAATATAACAGATGTTGAGGTTCTTTACCTTCACAAGGGGCTGATCTCGAGCTTCCAAAACTATGGTGTGGAGCTTATGCAGGTTCTGTCGTACAATGGGAGGAATGGGGTTGCAGCATGCCAGTATACCTTGCATTTCTCTTGGAAGAGATTCAGCAATCTGAAGCATCATGTGGTTTGGCAGTACATACCTGATGGAGAACATGCAAGCACAGTAAGATCTTATATCCAGAACTTGAAGGTTCTCTGAGAACCAAGGATCATGGGCACTAAACTGAAGAATGTCTCAACTGTTTGATAAATGTGNATTAATTTATGCATCTGCCAATATCAAGAGTCCATAAGGAATCAGAAATCTTTTATAAATGAGGAGTATAAATAAAGCAAGTACATTTTACTTTCATTTTCCAAGTCGTGTCTATCTCTTGCAGATATCATTCCAGCAACTGGTAGAATAATATAACAGATGTTGAGGTTCTTTACCTTCACAAGGGGCTGATCTCGAGCTTCCAAAACTATGGTGTGGAGCTTATGCAGGTTCTGTCGTACAATGGGAGGAATGGGGTTGCAGCATGCCAGTATACCTTGCATTTCTCTTGGAAGAGATTCAGCAATCTGAAGCATCATGTGGTTTGGCAGTACATACCTGATGGAGAACATGCAAGCACAGTAAGATCTTATATCCAGAACTTGAAGGTTCTCTGAGAACCAAGGATCATGGGCACTAAACTGAAGAATGTCTCAACTGTTTGATAAATGTGCAAGTACGTATGTTTATGTACACACGGTAGTTGTCTACCATAGTTCTTAGGTTCATTTGTTATATAGATAGCTTAGATGAGACAGCTGGGACCTATCAGTGGGGGAGGCATTGTATTTTATTAATGAAGAAATTGTTTTCACACCGAGAAGAGGGAGAATTATTTTGTAATATGAAAAGAGATAATATAAGGAAGATGAAAGTATAATTTTGTTTAATTATTACAGAGGAAAGGATTTTTATAAACTGAATTTTTCTATATGTCACTGCAAAGCAGAGACACATTAAGTGTCACTGTCAAAGCTCAAAAGAACTGAAATACATAGTGGCTGCTGATTGTTTTCATTTGTTCTCCCATTATCAATTCAAATGTATATTAGTTAAGTTCAAAATTCAGTTTTCTTGGAGAAACAGCTAGCCCGGCATGGAAAATCATAGTACGGTGGCATGGCAACAGATATGCTGGATTATGATCTATGAACATATACATGTGGTATGTGCATGGTGCACTGATGGGCGGTGTATCAATTTTGATGATGATTAAGTTGAAGAAAGTTAAGAAGAGTATGTTGTTGTGAAAATTTCTATTGACTTACAGTCTGTAGTGAGTACTAGTCTCATTCAGGGAACTTTTAAAATGAGGGCTTCACTGCAAGTGAGGTTCATTACCAAATACATGATCACGAGCTTTATATGCCACTATCAATATATCTAAAAAATAAAATTCTACAAATTCTAAGTTTTCTCAAAGCTGTAACTTAAATGCAAAGAACTTTGTGGTACCAAATGCAAGAAGGCAAATTCAAATGCCACCCACTGTGCCTGATTAAAATAATTAAATTATATAAAAGTAATAAAAATTAAATTTTTAATTAGCATCAATAATTAGGGCAAGTAAATGTTAAAGCAATGAATTATGGACTCACCCTGTACTCTCGTCATCCTCCCTGGAAATTCTGTCACGCCATCGATACAATTCCCGCAGAGCATACAACTGGCGATTGTCAAACAGTCTTTTATTGCGTCGGTACAGGGTCATATGGCTGTCTTCTCGGAAAACTGGCTTCTCATATCTCTGTGAAAACACAAACATAACAAACAGTGCCACAGAACTGTCCCCCGATCAGAGGGGAACACAGAATTTATATTCATACAGGATTTTCTCAGCAAGGTGAAGCTTTCCCTGTAACAGTATGTCAAGACCCATAGGTCTGTGAGAGGTCGAGGCTCTCACATTTTCTAGACATTCGGTTCACAGATGGAGGTGTGGTTGTTAGCCTTATGCGCTGGCCACTCTTTACCCACCCCCCACTGGGAAAATTCCTGGTACTCATTTCTGTTAGAGGCTGAGTCGACTCCAGGGCCATAGTGCAGCTAGAAGGATTAGGTCAAATGAAAAGTCCAGTGTCCTCATTGGGAATCAATCCTGTGACCTTCCAGCTTGTAGCATAGTGCCTCAACCAACTAAGCTACCATGTGCCTCTGACCCTAAACAACAAATTATATTATAGTGTCTACGTAAAAATGTAACTTTCCTGTCATGTGCAATTTGCTGTATACTACTCCAAGCATATAAGGCAGCTGAGGTGGCTACAGCCATCTGGTAGTCTCAGTTTAGGGTTTGCAAATATGGTTGAATCCTGTTCTTATTTTGTTAATTACACAACTAATCATTAATTCCTTCTGATCTTTGTGCTTAAATATTGCAATAAAAACATTTCATTTAACTGCATATGCCTAAACTTTTTCCTGATTTCTGTGCTTAAAAACTATAATGAAAACATTTGCTTGTGAATGAGAATCGATTGTCATTATCTTCTGTGGCAGAGAAAGCACTCCACAGATGCCATTGCTTACATGGAATTCCATCATAGCTTTGTGTTCTGGCCTCTGTACTGGAAGTTCCTGTAACCTGCCTAATACTGTATTGTCAAGTCAGTGTCATGTTGTATAGGATGGACATGCTTTAACATCAGAAAGTAGTATGAACTTTGTGGACCTTGAATCGTTCACTCACAACACAGTGGTTATGACACTTCACAATGACATAAAACTGAATATTATGGACTGCTATAACTGGGTAGTAGTTTATATCAACACAAACAGCACAAGTCACAAGAGACTGAATACACATCCCCTTTTTACCCTTACTGATTACAGATACCACCAACTGCTGTAGCGGTTTCTTTCATTTCCCTCATTTACAACCCATAACGGAAAGTAAGATGGCACTGATGACAATAAATCAGTACTTTTGTTATGTAAGGATCCACAAGTGGCCAGAAAAAAATAATTAGAAAAAATTTACTTATAACACGATACATACCCACCCACGTCTTGGCCACAGAAAATAAATTATCAAATAAATTTTGTAGTTTTCATGTAACAATATATTACAACCAGTTCCTTTGCTTTCACTATCTTCATAAATTATAAAATTTCAGCACAGTTCCCATGTAATTAGTAATGCTATGAACTTTCAGTTCCTGAATATAGAGTTCACAACAAACTTCAATTAACTGACAATTTTCATAACTTCTCACAATTTTTAATTGGGGTTCAAATGAATGGATTAACTAAAAGGTTAAAAAAATTTGAGTGGGAGTGAAATACTCATAAATTAAACTGAAAAAGATACCACAAAGCATAGCAATTGATTAAAATCAAAACATTAATATACAACCCTTGCATTTGCCTGACTTGAAGGAATACATTAAGTACTAACTGTCTTGCATATCTCAGTGCTTTGCTGGAAGACAGACTGTAGGAGGTTCTTTTGTCCATTGGCTGCATCCAACAATGCATTCTGCATCATGTCATAAATGTAGAGCAAGTAGTGGGTGTCCTTACGAGCATACATCACCAACTCATCAGGTAGTGGCCTGCAAACATATATGTGTTTGTTTCTACACTTTTGCTGAGTGGCATACAGATGTGTTGATATGCTAGCAAAGTCCCTTCAGACCATCAGGTGTGTCTACTGATTAAAAATGACCAGTTTCAGGGTCCACCTCTATTGTGAAAGCTTATTTATTTATTTATTTATTATTTATTTTATTAAAGTTCCAAGTGATATCAGACATATTATTTAATACAACCTTTAATTATATTGTAGCATGCAGAGCCACTGCTATGCAACAACTGCAAGATGGGAAAATATGCCAGAGCCATTTCCAAGCGATGGCTTGGTAAACATGTTTCTACAAAACAAACAACTGAACAATGCCCATTGCTAGACAGCAGATTCTTAATAATGAAACAGTTGGACAACAATGGAAGAGCTATGTTTTCTACGTTGTTCGTGCCGAGAGGTTATAACGACAAGGTGAGAGCTTTGTTCAGTTCTGCACAGGAGTCTGTGAAGAGAGGATTTGAGCTGGAGGCAGAGGAATACCCAGTGTTGGAGCCATTACCAGGAAATGTCTAGTAAAGGATCAAGAACACTAAACTGTGTGCTCTTAGTGAATGGTAAAGTGTGGAAATAGCAATAGTGTCATAGTTATTTGTAGTTACAACCTGTAAGCGGCCAATAAATCTATTCACCAATCCAAACCCTATCTATAGTCACAAATATTACATGATGATATAACACATGCGTTTAATTAGAAGGGACTCTTGGTTTGTTCTGGATAACGATGTCAACTTTTAAGTCTGAACCCATCACATGCAATATTTGTTTTTGCTTCTGAAGACAATAAAATAGTCAAATAACCCAGCCCATGTTTTGACAATAATTATATACATACTACATACTCCTTAGCAGAACCAAATCATCTGTTGCTAAACATTGTAACGACAATGCGCCCTCAAAGCTAAGGTGATACAAATACAGCGGGTATTATTTCGATTAAAAAATTAAATACACATGGATTTGAAATGACTGATATCAGGAGAGAAATCCCAACATGGAGTTATTCTGATAAGGTTTCATATACAGAGACTACAGTATTAGTGAGATAGTACAATGATTACCTGATTCTCCAATCTGCAAGCTGATAGTGTTTGTCTGCTACCACATTACAATAATGCTTCATCAGGAAAGCTAATGACAGCTGTGCGAAGTTGAGGAGTTTGGCTCCTTCATGTGTATCAAACATGTTCACCACGTACACGCTCAGGTCTCGCTGTAGCCATTCTACATCATGGATGGCCCCATGAAACACCTACCACAAACATGTTATATTGTTACTATAACTAAACCCACAATATCACAGGTGCATGAAGGACTGCAATGTAACATTCATGTAATTAGAAAAAATGTTTACCACACTGTATAGGCAGCATTTAATGAATAAAGTACATCTAGTATCTCTCTAGACAATAAAATCATTATGGTGCTGTATATGCTTATTCCCCCTCGTTGGTGTCTCCACCTTATCGTGGTGAGGGGGTTTGAGTATGCCAAGGACCCTGAGAGCTATACCAGTGATAGCGTAGCTACTGGCAGGGCCTCCCTTGCTGGACAGGTCAAAGGGTAGGCATCAGACGAAGAGAGACCAAAAACCGGAAGCAGCGTCATCGGTAGCGACTTGAAGCACAGAGCAAATGATGCTCGAGATGGTTCAAGTCCGTATAGCAACAGGCGTGACCAGAGTGGTTTGAACGGCTGTTGTACTGCGATGTGGAAAGCAAATGGAAAAACTACCACATTATCACTTTTCCTGGATAGTCTCTTTCCAAAAACAGAAGATCGCATTAAGTGGAGGAACTGTTTTGGAAGAGACTGTGGACCCGTCGTCTGACAGATTACTGATGAATGAATGAATGAATATGCTTATTAGTAGCTCATATACCATTGTCATGAACTTTTAGATCTTAGAAGTTATGACTGGCCTGTAAGTACAAAACAATGTCCTTAACATAATAATAAAAAAGTAAAGCCATCCCATTAACAATATTCACATGCAATATGAACTTCTGAATTGGGGGCAAAAATAGTGCTACTGACTGTCAGATCCTGAAATGCTGCATGTACTAGATCCTTGCAAAATAAGAACTTGAATCAACACCATATTATATAACATACAATGACATCAAAATAATAAGAAATCTATATAATGAAACCTCTATATTGTGAGAATTTATAATATTCCTACGAACATTTTTTGTATATGTCTGATCTGGTGAGATGGATGAGTTGCAACCCATCTCCTCACCAGATCGGACATATATACATAAACGGAGGTGCCCGTCAAATAGAAATCAAAATTAAATAACGTACAATATAGCAACAGACCTCCAAGCACCATAACAACTGTCTGTGTATACAGCATGTCTCCATAAGCAACAGCATATTGTTACGATTACAACTACCTACTTTGGAATATAATTCATGTATGACTCTTAAGTGTACTTTAATTATGTAACTAGTACATTTTAAGACTTTCATTTTCAATGTAATTTTATATTATTGTATACTATTCGAAAAATCTAATACTACATCATGTAATTAGCATGCAATTCAATAGCTAAAGAAGTTTTTAAGTGTATTTACCTGATGACAGCTTCTTGAAAGCTGAAACATGTAGTAAAAGTACTACTTGATACAACAAATATATATTATCAAATGTTGTGTTGTGATGGCTTTCAATAAAAGAAATATATAATACACAACAGGATGCATTCACTGAAAAAAGGTGGAGACACTATTACCAATATTTGCCTTGAAGGCATGATATGTATGCAAAGGAGTGATATTAAGATGTTTACCTTGATGATGCTTGGTTTGGTGAAGATCTCATTGAGGCAACAGAGTTTGTCCCTGAGTAGCAGTGTGTCAATGATGTAGTCTGTATCTCTTGTTGAGATCTGCATTAGGCATGTAAACCCTTGGAAAGAGCGGTATGAGTGATGCTGAAACAAAACACTTGCCATTAACTAATTACAATGTCAGATCACACACCAAGCATACTCGGATCATGAATGCCATTGTTCAGTACCTCGAGATGTATCATCTTCTTTCTTAAGAAATCTGTTGTTGTGTTTTACTAGGAAACAAAAATTTTCAAAATTATAAGCAGAAAAATAAGCGGAAAATGGGAGCACAATAAAAATCATGCCCAGTTAAATATTACTGTGATGAGGTTCTACTTTATTTGGTGAGGAACTACACTGATGGAGAAGCCAAAGCAAGCAGATTTAAGGTTATGAACCTCACATATGAAGCATGGAACTAACATTAATTTGTATTTGATCAATGAATAAATAGTCACTCAACAAGTAAGGATCTAATTCTGTTCTTCGTAAAGCAACTAAACATAAACTGTTACCGCTGTGAATGTCCTACCTCCAAGTCCACAGCAATTTCTGAATAACTGGAGAGGTCTTGCAGGAGACCAGGTAGCTGGTCTGCTTGTTCCACCATGACCAGTGGTGTTTCTTCAAGCTGCTTATACATACGTGGCTTCACACGCTCCAGCTGTTTGGCAGATGGAGTAAAACGTTCCAACTCAAATTCATAAGGATGACTGAAACTGTAAGGGAGGAAAAATTGAGATGAATAGAATTTTCATGTACTGATTATGCAGTCAAGACATTTTAGCATAAGTCGAAAGGAAATCACTGTTACAAGTTTTATTAAAGCCAGTTACTTTCCAAAAATCTCCTATGCGAAGTCCACATATCTGAAAGAACAATGGCTGTTCTAAGAATGGTACATAATGTTCTGTTGATAAGTGTCTTGGATTGGGAGAAATACCTCAACAAACTAGCAAAAAAATATTACTGACTGTAACCTCATTAGATGGCCGGTCACAGTAGCTGAGCGGTCTAAGGTATGCACTGTCTTCGCTCACTCGGAAGCCGGGATCGTGGGTTCGAATCCCACTCAGGGCATGGCTGTTTGTGTGTGTTTTTCTGTGTATGTCTACAGGTAGAGGCCTTGCGACGAGCTGATCACTCGCCCAAGGAGCCCTACCGAATGTGTAAGATCTAGTAAACCGAAGTGAAACGGAGAGTTTCATGGAAGCAGGCCTAGGCCCAAATTGGGGCTGTAGCATCACAGGAAAAAAAAACCCCTCATTAGCTGACCAAGTCACTGATTCACCCAGAATACTACTACCTTTCCCTGATTATTAACTGAAGTCACATGAGCTTACATCAGCTTTATCAGAATGAGTAAAGAGAAATTTAGCTCATAATAATAATATAAATTTGATAACACTGCTCATGTACATTCATATTTAATAAATTTCTAAATTCCTAATCCAAAGAGTTATCAATTGAGTCAGGAATAACTATAAGAAGCAGTCTTGAGAAGCCACCAGTCAATGAACTTGAGAATTCCTGCAATTTATGGAACCCAAAGAATCAATACTGTATTCATAAAAGCCCAACCACAGCATCAATACACTGTCCCTTATCTAAGCCAGATGAATCCAGCACACGCCCTCCAAACCTACTTTTTAAGATCCAGAATATTATTCATATGTTCACTCTTCATACAGCTATTTTAAAATGACAAACAAAATTACAAATCTAAGAAAAATCGGAGATGTAAGTTGCAAAATTGTGGAATACAGCTATAGGCATTTCATTCACACAATAAATATTAATAAAATGAGGTATGAAAGCGTCTAGAACCTCAAACAGGAACAACATTATCCAAATCTTACACTCTTATATAATTTATACACAGGACTAAAAAAATATACACTCAAAAAAGTGAACTCTGTGGTTTTAGTTCCTAAGTGAACTATGCCGACCGAGCGACTGCCACTTGTCGGCAATGTTACTGCCAACTTTAGCAGATAGAGGGTGTTGCGTGGTGAGCGCAACGAATCCCCATGGCCATTAATTTCGGTTTTCTAGGTTGGAGCCGATATTTCCTTGAAATAGCTCAATTATCCTCATGAGGCTGAGTGGACATGGCTGTTAATTTCGGTTTCCTAGACTGGAGCTGCTACTTTCTCNTTCCTAAGTGAACTATGCCGACCGAGCGACTGCCACTTGTCGGCAAAGTTAATGCCAACTTTAGCAGATAGAGGCTGTTGCATGGTGAGCGCAACAAATCCCCATGGCCGTTAATTTCGGTTTTCTAGGCTGGAGCCGATATTTCCTTGAAATAGCTCAATTATCCTCACGAGGCTGAGTGGACATGGCTGTTAATTTAGGTTTTCTAGACTGGAGCTGCTACTTCCTTGCAATAGCTGAGGCTGAGTGGACCCCATTACTTCTCAGAAAATTTGGAAGCACCGGGAATCAAATCCACACCTCTGCATCTGCAGCAAGGAACTCTGACCACTAGACCACAGAGGCAGTCTAAAAAAATAAATACACTTGCCAAACAAAAATAACAAGGACTAGACGTAGGGTTATTTTTAGCCATAATCTTGCTCTGTGGTTGTAATTAACTCCTCTAATATAAATCTTGGAAACAGACTACCTGCTTAAGGAAAGGTGACTTTGGTTGTACTTCCTGAGTTCTCACATTAACATAACTGAGCCATCATCATAGTTCAATATGAATGTGGTTATTTCAAAGAGTAATTTTAAAATCAGGTTTGATGTATTTCTCCAATTTATATTATGGTTATTTGGTATGAATGTTCGCAACTACTACATGATATGCCAACATGACAATTACCTTTCTTCACCATCTTCTGTCAACTGCAGTGTTATGGCTAGAGGCTTTAAAGAATTTGGTTTTTCTTTAATACGGGGTTCAAATGGTGATGAAGAATTGTCAATTTTATCCTTGAACTCAATCTGAGGACGCCGAATATTCTTTGCAGTAAGCAATCGGACAGGCTGTGGACCAGAACTGCTACTCTGGGATAAATTTTGCTAAACAGAGAAACAGACTGTAAATTCATGATCCTTCACGTCCATCTGTGATGTTTATCTTACACTTTCACATCCATTCAATTTCAGTCTCTTACAGCATTTAAAAATTTCCAGTGACAAACATTTATTAGTTCAGAATTCAGAATTTCTTTCAAATTTCAGCAAATATACGGCATATTGTGATATGTATAAATTTATATTTATTACTGTAGTTCCATCAATTACAGGCTGTAATTCACACACTATGTTAAAGTACAGTCATTTCTTGATATACATGATTTCAGTTGAATATGACAAAATTATACACACTGATTTATTTACATAATCTTAATTGTCACTTTAATGTACTTAAATGATCAATATAACAGGAAACAAGGCAGGAATCTCAATAGGAAGTGGCCTCCGTAGTCTAGAGGTAACATTCCCACATCATGACTTGTAGTACACGGGTTCAAATACCCGGTNGTAAATTCATGATCCTTCAAGTCCATCTGTGATGTTTATCTTACACTTTCACATCCATTCAATTTCAGTCTCCTACAGCATTTAAAAATTTCCAGTGACAAACATTTATTAGTTCAGAATTCAGAATTTCTTTCAAATTTCAGCAAATATACGGCATATTGTGATATGTATAAATTTATATTTATTACTGTAGTTCCATCAATTACAAGCTGTAATTCACACACTATGTTAAAGTACAGTCATTTCTTGATTTACATGATTTCAGTTGAACATGACAAAATTATACACACTTATTTACATAATTTTAATTCTCACTTTAATGTGCTTACATGAAAAAATGCAGGAATCTCAATAGGAGACNGCTGGCTGGGTGGGACTGATGGTAAGCACCAGTACTGGTAGGATATAGAGACTGGTAGAAATCATAGAGGGAAGCACAATGGACCAATACAGGTCTCAGTGCATGGGGAAACCCACCCTCTCTAATAACTAACTAATCTCAATAGGAGATGACAACAAAAGCTGTGTATAATACAGTTGCGCAGAAGAATGGGCAGGGTAACTTGGGTACGAGAGAGGAGCCAGGCATGTTTTGTCTCAGTCCAATTCTAGCTGCCATTTCCCTTGCATTAACTCAGTCTACTCATTAAACTTTATACTTTGTGGTAAGCACATGTCCTCTGTGTGGAAGGAACACAACACAACACAACTACTTGGCCTCTGCCTCACTGGAATGGTCAATGGATAAATTTTCTTTCTTTGGGCCAGTGAGGCATCCCTCGTCTTCAACACAAGAAGACAAAAAACCAGATCACACAGAAGAAATGTTAGTCTGAGTAAAATAAATCTCTAAAGCCTTTTACTGTCTCAGTTTTTAAGTTATACTTAAGAAAACTGTAAGATCTGAAACAGAATAATCCTTAAAATTAAGTAACGAACCAGCTTCTTTATAAAATACATCTTGGGCTGTTACATTTCTTAATACTGAATGAGTACTAAGGTCTATCAAGTGTAAAAAGTTTAATACAAGAATATAAAAGTTATTTTGATTGGACTATCATTTTAGTCTTGATGTATGCTAGTAGAAACCCTCTTATGACTATTCCTGTTCAAACACATACGTAAAGTATTTCTTTATAGTGTTAGCAATGCCTGCTGATGATGGTCATTAGTGGGAAAGACAATCTTTTACATTCTCCTATGCAACCTGTTACATTTGATGGACCTTACTATTCATTCATAAACTACCCAATGTATTTTACACAAATAAATATCTATAACCTTCTGGATTTGCTTGGCCCATGCATGCCAACCTCTCCATTTTCCTTCATTTCTTATGAAAAATTAGTACCTGACTTAAGCAATATTAATTTATGCAACACTGTTCAGGAATGCGCCTACCACGCACATCAAGAAATGACTGTACACATAGCATAAACAAGTTTGCCACCATTAAAAAGACAGGATATATGAAAAAGCATTGTGATCATAAAGTTTATGTTTTCAGCCCCCTTGATTATGAAAAAGTAGTTTTTGGTTCTACTTCCTGGGATCTAAAACCATGTAGTCCAGTGAAAGTCAACTGACAGTTTGAAGAAACATGCTGTTTCTTGTTCAGCTTACTCTTCGACCCTGAAGATGGAGGTGACATGTTCTTCCATAATATCAGTTGACTTTCAATGGTTTCATGGTTTCATACATACCCTAGAAGACAGAGCCCTTCAGAATTATATATTATCAACAAGATAAAATTGTCACTTTCTGGCATAGGTGACAATATTTTATCCGTTTTGGTATAATAGTTCCACTTAAAAAAAATGGTTTCTATGTGATGCCAAGCTGCATAATGTCTCATATTAAACTTGTATCACATTCTCTCCCAAGTGTCCATTTCATCCACTTCAAATATGTATGATAAATAACATGACCTCTGCAAATTTTTACCATGATCACAAAGATGCCTTATGTGATTATTCCAAATAAATGTTCTTCCAAACATTACTATGAAAGACCTTATACAATCAGACAAAAAACTTCAAAGAGAATATGATTATACTCACTGACTGGACTAGGTTCCAACTTCCATTAACAGGTCGAGTACAGGAACTCACAGCTTCCACAAGGATAGGTTCAGGATTCCGACGGATACCTGACACCTCATCCAAGTTGCAGGCCTACAGTAATCAGCATAATGACACAGGTTTATATTGATTAACCATGAAACATATATGGGGTAATTTTAATGAAAAGAACATACCTAGATCACAACACTATAAGGGGAACAAAAATCATTTATTGTTTATATGGTATATTTTAGAGTCCTGAAGGAATTGTTTTGTATGTTGTAATGCTATAAGAATATTACTGATGTGTGTGTTCAGATGACACCACAGGTACAGCACATATTAAATTAAAATGATTCAATGATTCAACTATATTGATCATTACAAGTAAATATTTTATGCTACTGCCATGCTGTTATTTCATGTTCCCCTAAAACTTAGCTCACAAAAGTTCCATACTTTTCAGATATACATATCACCATAATACTCTATAGCTTTTTATATATATTTTCATATTAATTCTTGTCAAACATATTAATTCAGCAAATAACTCACACTTTATTGTGTACAACTGAGTTTTACTGGTCTAAAATACAATGTCACTATATGTTTCAGCTCATAGAGCCATCTTCAGGTGATATAATTAAGAAGTCTTTTGCCACTGAACTATGACTCCTATATGGATCCATATATTACAGTTTATACAGATTATACAGTTGTTTTAAACTATATAATCTGGTGTATAAAGGTGATTACACAAATGACAGAAGTACAGAGTATTTTTCCAATTTTATTTTGAAATGCACCGAGATAAGGGTAATACACTCACTCATGGAGCTGAGCCCTTCTTGAGAACCTGCCAATTGTGCAATTACTAAAGAATTTCCCAGAATTTTATGGAACCCGAAGGTTCATTACCACGTTCATAAGAGCCTTATACGGGTCCCCATCCTGAGCCAGATCAATCCAATCCATACCATCCCATCTCTCTAAGATCGATTTTAATGTTGTCCACCCACCCATGTCTTGATCTTCCCACCAATGTCCTATATGCAATCCTCTTCTCCCCATCCGTGCTACATGCCCTGCCCATCTCACCCTCCTTGACTTGATCATTCTAATTATGCTTGGAGAAGAGTACAAGTTATGCAGCTCCTCATTATGCAGTTTTTTCCAACCTCCTGTCACTTCATCACTCTTTGGTCCAAATGTTCTTCTCAGCACCCTGTTCTCAAACACCCTCAGTCTGTGTTCCTCCCTTAATGTCAGAAATAAAGTTTTACACCCATACATAACCACAGGCAAAATTATAGTTTTGTATATTCTTTTTTTATGTTTTTAGACAGCAGACAAGAAGACAAAGGTTCTGGACTGAATGGTAGCAAGCATTACCTGAGTTAAATCTCTTCCTAATTTCCTTCTGAATGAGGTTTTGATTTGTTATAGTCATTCCCAAATATCTGAATTGTGCCACATTTTCAAAACATCTGTTACCTATCTTTATGTCATGGAAATGAGGGTAAGGGTAATAAATATAAGAATCACGATTCAGCGGTAAGACTTGTTAATTGTATTACCTGAGGATTGCTCTATGAGCCGAAACATGTAGCAACACCACATTCTAGACCAATAAAACCCAGCTGTACACAATAAAGTGTGAGTTATTTGGTGAATTGTGGTGTTAAATAGGAATTAATACGAAAATTTATATTCAGTATAAACACAACAGGATGCATTCCATAACGACTTAGAATTGTATTCCAAAATTTTAAAACACTAAAAGAGAATTGAATGACTTCGCACCCATTATTTTAAAAACTGCTGTATAAATATGTGTATGTAATTGTACTCAATAGTGCCCTTACCACTCGCTCCAAAATAGAATCATTTGCATCCACAATCAAATCAAACTTCTCTTCAAAGTCTCTTCTCAAAATATTTCCTCTGAGACCCTGATGATGAAGTACCAGTGATATTCTAAGAAAAAAATACACAAATTCAACACATGATTTTTATTACTGGGTCCATTTTCAGCAGCTGCTTACAAGAGTAACCAGTTTACAACCACACAATTTTAATATGATGATAATTAAGATCTAATTGTGATGATGATACATTAGTACAAATATTATGTTTTCAGACATTATCCATCATCCTGTCTTTATCTAAAAACATCGTCCTGTTTATTTTTCAAAACACATTTTGGAGGCTGGATTCTGTCTTCATCTTCAGGTAAAACTTTGTCAATTGGGACAAATCGATAGAGCTAGTCCCTATCTCCAGGCACCAAGATGGGATATACAAGTCAAACACAGCATAAACCATCTGTGAGAGCTATGAAAACATTAAATTATTAAAAACTCAACATATCTGAGGCCTTGCATCAGAGAACTATCATCAGAGAAACCATCACTGGAGGAAGCAATACTCCTTATGGTACCAACACAAGAAAAATATATTTTCCCACTAAATCTACACTTGACAGTTATAGTTTCTTGACTTCTGCTGTGAAAATGGGGCTGTAGATGGGAGAGATGTCAAAACAAAGTCGGCTAATCAGATTGTCCTGCAGAGACATGTGGGCTGACTCCTTGTATTTCCTGTATGTGGTGTTGGGCTCAATTTGGAAGGCCTTCACTTCATTCCAACAAAATAAACAGGACAGTGGTTTTAGATAAAAGCAGGACGATGGCTGTCAAAAAATATAATACTTTTATAATTCTTATTTTTAATTATGTTAGGTCACCAATAAGAGATGTATTATCAGAAATCGTTAAATACAATAGTATTACTAATAGGATAAGACAGGTATATTAGAATATTTCGTTGCGCATAGCATCTAAATAGAAATCAAACTCAGTAATAGCAGGTTGGGGGAATAGGTAGGACAGAATATAAAGAGGTCTAGATCCTTAGCCTACTTCTAAAACTGTTTGAGATTCTGCTACAGTGGGTCTACTTTGGAGACCTCATTCTTCAATAGTAGTGCTGAATCTAAAGATTACAAGAGTATCCAATGAAACATATGCAAGTTTCACCTAGTATTTTTTGTAACCTGAATACTTGTGCATCACGGTTTTTACAGCCACAACAAGTACAACACACTCATAATCTTTATGTCTGGCAAATGAACTCACTACAGTTTATATGTCAAGAGCAGAATACAGTACAGTACAGTACAATAAGCAAAATCGTGAACAGGTGAAATATGTAACGTAATTTTCTATTAAATATTTGTTTCTCTGGCATTTTACCACAATATCAATGTAATGTTTCCTGTTAAACTTACAGCTTTAATACACGGGCGCCTTCAGCATCCATGACCTTTTTAAATGATGGAAATGTTGTGTAATAATCCCAATTCTTACCAGTCGGTAAACTATTTGAACTTCTTGTTGCTTCTACAACGGCCTTAAAACTAGCCTGAAAAAGATGTCACATTATTAAACAACTGTTATTTTTAGAAGTAAAATCTTGCATGTGTTATTCATTTACAAAACAATGCAGTTACCAAACCTGATTATACTCAAATTTAACATAAATTATTCAATAAATAAATAAAAATTAGCCCACTTCTCTGAATTCTTCAAATGATCTGTAGCCTGGAAGGATATCTTCATTATTTTTTGACTCCATCTTGTCCGTACACGCTTCTTCCTTGACACATACACTATTATTAACCTCCACTTTGAAAACCCGATTCACCATTCTCTCCAACACCTCTCTTCAGCGTCTACCAATTGATGTAATTGATCTAATTACAGCCGTTGTTTCCATTGCTCCTACTACTCTCGCGTTGGGTCCTGGTCCTGGGCTCCTATTGGCGATATGGCAGAAATGGAAACATGCGCGGTCATCATCTGCGCATACCACAACTGCGCGAAGTGGTCATTGTATCGATCTATATGATCTGTATGGCCTCTGGCGGTAAACTTTTTAAACATGAGCAAATTGAGTAGGCGTAAGGCGTGAAAGGGGTGTAAATGGTTAGTAAATATTAGGTTATCTTTTTATTTATGTTTACATTTTTGTTATGGTCAGGTCTTGTTTTCGGACCTAAGAACTTCAATTAGTAGTCACGGGATAAGTTTTAAAGGGCTCAGGTTTTCGTACCAATATCTGTTTACTTCAAAACTTTGCTTTCGTGTCAAGAACCAATAATTCTGATGCCAAAGTCGTATGCATCAGGACCATCAGGACAGCCTGTTCGTTTGAGAGGAATGATTGATCTGTTTTGAAGAAGACGCCTTTACTAGCTTCTAGATGTTTAATACATCACCGACACAAAGGTATGAATAAGTTTATAATATACCACATAAATGTCACTTGAAATACTGTTTGGTTACATTGTTCTTGATTGGATTGTATTATTTTCATGAATAGAGATGTCGCACCTTCCCAAGCATCTGCGTCTCCTGCCGTTACAATGGAAACTATGGAGACTATTGTTGCTGTGTCAATAGGCATTCTTGCTGCTGTATTTGTTGGAGCCTTGATCATTCTTGTTCTGATCTGCCGTCGACAGAAAGGCAATGAAAGTTTCATGAACAAACAGTGTGGGGAAGTGAGGTAGGTATATTTGATCAGGTTTCAATAAGATGATATTAAATAATCTTTCAAAGACTGATATTAATCCAAGAAGCATTGGACCCTGTTACAGTCCCAACCAGAAGTATAATAGAATTACACTGTTACAGAAGCACAATTGCTGAGCATAACTTTAAATGACAGTCATGGGTGTACCCCCACACTGTCCATCTGCTAGGGTTTGATTGGGTATTATACAGGATTGTATCCAAGTAGCAACGAAAGCATGTCGTTATTGTAGAAACTTTATTAAAGGTAAAGCTGTCCATGTGCTTATTCAGTTAAGCATTATACCATGAAGGCATATGGGGGAGTGGAAGTATAACTCCACCATTCTTGGCCATGGCACTAGATGGAGGAGAGTGGTCAGCTTCACTCTCTGGCTGCTTCACTTCTGGGTAAAGGGCCCCTGGTACCCTACTGGGTAGGAGGCTGGGTGAGCCCCAGAGCCAGTCTGGATGCTGTGGAGTAGAGAAAAGTCTTTCCTTGCCAGGAAATGAATGCTGGCCCTCCAGCCCATAGTCTATTATTATACTGACTCAGCTATCACTTACTTACTTACTCATGGAGCTGAGCCCTTCTTGAGGAGCCGCCAATTCTGCAGCTACTCAAGAATTTCCCAGAATTTTATGGAACCTGAAGGTTCATCACCATGTTCACAAGAGCCTTCCACTGGTGACTCAGCTATCACTGCTTCTCAAATTGTATTAACAGTTAAAAATCTATAATTGATATTTCAACACAATATTGCTCTTTACCACCTACTTCAATTAATTTCTAGAGATTGAACCTCTCCATATGAAATATGTGCATTTTTTACTCACTGCCAGTCTCACCCTAACTTTTGCCACCACCAGATAGTGGTCAGTGTCACAATCTGCTGCCCAGAACTGTCGGTCATCAGTTACACTTGAATACCGTCTCCTCTCTATCAAAATGTGGTCAATTAGATATGGACATGAGATTTGGTATATAGACTGTAAGAAGTATGTATAGGGCAGGTTCTCTCATGACAGTTGCAAAAGAAATATCATAATATAAGCTAGATTTAGTGGGAGTACAGGTCAGATTGGATGTACGTGACACCAAACCAGCAGGCAAATATACATTTTTCTATGAAAAGGGGAATGGGAATCATGAATTAGGCACAGGTTCCTTTTGTACAGAAGAGAATCATATCACAGTTAAGAGGGTAGAGTTTGTTAATCATAGGATATTGTACACAATGCTAAGAGGTTGCTGATGTAATATCATTGTTCTGAATATTCATTCCCCAACAGAGGATAAAACTGATATGAAGGACAGCTTCTGCAAGGAACTAGAATGTGTATTCAATAAATTCCCTAAATACCATATGAAAACTCTGTTAGGAGATTTCAGTGCCAAAGTAGGTACGGAAGACATTTTCAAACCAACATTTGGGAATGAGCTACTCACAGCATCATTAAATAAATCATAAATAAAAATAACGCATTATAATAACATCATTTAAAAATTATGGGTTGAAGCAGGCATTCTTTGTTAAGGGTTTGCAAAAAGGCAAGGTTTGCAAGGGCACCAGCCACTCTTTACCCCCCGGGAAGATTCCTGGTACTCATTTCTGTTACAGGCTGAGTCAACCGCTAGTGTGGCTGGGAGGATTAGGTCAATTGAAAAAAGTCACCTCATTGGGACTCGAAACCACGACCTTCCAGCTTGTAGCATAGTACCTCAACTAACTAACTACACTACCTCGTGCCCCAACATTCTGTATGAACTTACAACTTCAGTTGTGTTTATCTGTACACAGTTTGTTGTTTCATGCTTTCTAATTACTGTTATAATCAGCTAGTATGTGCATAATCACATTCTGTATAAGTGAACACCTTGCATTTCCTTCCACATGAGCAGACCAGACGTGCACTTGATTGAGTCAGACCGTCCAGAATTGGAATTGGGGGAAGTCCGTTTGCATCCAGATATTGAACAGATCCTTGCAGATGAGCAGTGGATTGGTGATGCAACAGGTCTCGTACCACACTGTTTGGCTGTTCTTAAAACTTGCCACACATTGACGGAACGGTTGGCTGCACTGGCGATGGGGCCTCTGAACCATAGTAAGACTGGCCATGAGATTGTTGAGGTAAGAGTAGTTATATGAGTGTTTTGTACAGCTCACTCTGCAGTGGAAGCTGTCCATGCACATTCATACCGGATGTGATGAGAAAACTTTGTTCTCTTTGGTTACTGTGTAGAGGAACAGTTCTGCTGACCTTTATGGAATCTAATTGCCTTCATCTTTTTCTTCTTCTTTTGGTACACTGCAGCCTTAATTCCTTATCACATTTCCAAACCACTGTCATTTTCTTTCATACACTTATGTACCCCAGACATGGCATATTTTTTACTGTAATTTAGATGAACCCTCTTTTAGTAAAAACCAAAAGTTAAATTAACTTATTTCTTCATCTTCTGATTGAGGTCCTCCTGTTTAGGCCATTCTGGGATGTTTAAATAATTAAAATTGAATTACAGTGCACTCCTTGTTATCTGCTGGCATATATGGAGAGTGGGGATGCGCTAGTAACATGAATCTGCTGCCTGCATAAGAGAAACTCAAGAGATACTCAGTTTCCACACTTTTTACCCTTTTCCTATCTTCTGCATATTTCTGTTATATGTTTCAAAGTCAAAACAACACATTTTCAGTTTAGTTCTTGTGTAGGAGTCTCCCTAGGTCATATAGCAGATCTGTTATTGTGTCTATTAAAAGGTTGCACGTCGTATTTCTCCACGTGTGGATGATGTAGTGCGCAGTATGTATCCTCCTCTGGATGCCAGGCTGTTGGAGGCACGCACAGCTGCTCTAGCATTGGCTGTTGCACACCTTGCTCTTGTCACACGTTATGGAAGCAGTATGGGACGATCATCTCGTAGACTGGCATGGATTGACCAGGCACTTGTTGATATGGAGCCACATTTGTTGGTAAGGCATTGCAAATCTGCTTAGCCAAGTTCACATTTGGAAACTACAGTAATAGCAAGAACATTGTAAGACTCTTAGCTCTTGAGTTGAGTAGTTCAAGCTAAAAGCTATGATTCACCACAAAGGTATACACTGATAATATAGTAGTACAGTTGTTCATTTATATGTGTAATTACTATAATAGGCAGGCTACAGTTAGTGAGTGCAGTAGAGTTTAAGTTGTTTTGTGTAAAATTTGTGTGACAAAAAGGAAGAATGGTTTGTTTAAAATCTGCGAAATTATTTACGTATGGTTTATTTGATGACACTGTCAGTGGTTCATGCCGTTCAATGTTGAATAGTAGGGCGATTAGTGAATAACAAATTGTAATTAAGTGAACACCACCACCTTATATTAAAAAAATTATTAGTAAAGCATGTGAAAGAAGGTAGTCATGGTATAATTTCTTACATTATCCCATCAGAAAAGATGAAGAAAACCATGAAAACCTCAGGATGAAGAGTTCTGTCTTGTGGGATATAATGCTGTATAGTCCAGTGAAAGTGAGCCTTGTGTAGTCTGGTGCATTGTAACCTGGAAGATAGTATTCTTCATAGCCACAAATGTGAAAATGTCAAATCTAACTTGTCAGGTAGTTGGTATTGTGGCCAAGATTTGAATTATACATCTGATTACAAGGCAGAAATATTATCACTTGAGCCAAACTGTTGTTTTTTTAAGATGCAGACATTGGTATAGTACTTACCACCTGTTACTAAGGTGTTTGAAGTTGTAGGTTCACCCTTGTAGACATAAATTGATTAACTGGGTCTAAAATTTATACATCAGAATGTTGTTACCAGTTATTTTGATGTGTTGATTTCACTTCGACATACACCAGTTAAATTGCAGTAGTTACCATGAACTAATAATTTTAGGTTTCTGCAATTTCTAATTATTTATTAAGGTACAAAGCTATGTGAAGATGAAGTTGAAACCTCCAGGCTCACTTCAGGTGCACCCTGAGTAGCCTCATGCCACTCATATTTGTGAGGTTGTATTGGCTCGGATGATGTCTGTCTCATCTGCAGTAGTCAAGAGACTGTTCATGTTGGCATCCTTACATGCAATAAATATTCTGCCATTTACATTTAATTCCAATTTCTTATCATCTTAAAAGCAAATACCATATTGCTATATTTCATGAAACACTCAAGCCAGTATAATCAGTTTGGAATAGAGTTTACTTAACCTAATCAGTTATTCATCTGAAATGCAGTCCTGTCATCTAAAAATGTGAATGAGATCACAAAAAAATGTTAAATTTCCAAAAGTGGATCATCACATTAGAATACTTCTCTTTGAATTTGTAATACATCTGTGACTTCCTGATTTTTCATTTTAACAAGTGGTCTCCTGCCTATTGCATCTCCTACCGTAACCTAAACTAACTCTATGTGCAGGTTTTCTTCAGTATACTATGTCATGTGAAAAAAAAAATACTCAGTGCTGTTTCTCTGGTGAGTGATTCATTCTTTCCCACAAGTTACATAAATGATAAATTTTGTTTTCTGGTACAGGTATTGCGTGAGGCAGCACTGGCACAAGAAGCTTCATGCAGAATCCAGAATGTAATTGGTCAAGGATCGTCGAACACACCACTGTAATGTTCATATATTGGAACTGTATTACAAGCTTTTATGTTATTATGTACTTTATTTCTTATGCACAAGCCAGCATTTTGTAGTCTCAAAAGCTGTAAATTCAGTTCACAGAGCCTCTTTGATATCAGAGACTTTGTCTGCGGCTGTGAGCAAAGTTTTTGTCATGAAAAGATTTAAGGTAAATATGTGTTTTCAGTAATGAATCTTCACTTTCACCTTCCTGCCCCATCAAGGCTCCTCATGCAGCATGCAGAGCTTCATTAATTTTGATCCAATTGTTCAAATTTTCTGCAAGGAAGCAAAGTTGTACCTTTGAATGATAAATGCTGCACATCATAATTGTAGTAGATGAGTACACATACTTGAATATATGTGGAAAGTATTTGATAAAAACAGCAAGCCCAAATTTTAATTACATTTCTTATTATATGGTATTTACAGTTGCAGGAATGCATGTATTAGCTTTGCAATATTTATTTGTCTGTTATGTCTTGTCTGTCAGCATGACAACTCTAGAACCACTAAATGGATTTTCATGAATTTTGATACTGTGGAGTTTTACTAAAATTAGTATGTTTCAATATTTGTTAAAATAAGACAACAATAACAAAGACTTAATATGAAGAGAAAATACTTTTCTGTGTGCATCTCACGAATCTCACTAAATATTTATCACAATGAAAAATATTTAGAACAGAGGCTTTATATAAAAATGAAACATTTTATCCCAAATACACATGCGCCTTAAGTCATACAGTAATGACAGATGTAATTAAACAAAATTGACTGTATGTTGTCTACGGGCAATAACTGAATGAAACTATGCTCTGTTGGTTGAAGTGGGTATGTACACAAGAAAGTAATGAAGAATAATTTAACATTCTAAATGTCTTTAGTATTATCTGAACATAGGAGTTAAAGATATTCTCATGTTTACATAACTTCTTGTACTTGCAACCATCAGTCAGTTTTTCAGTAGCAAATTAGTATAGCTGTGCACACCTGCTCTGCATTTCTGCCTCAAGGTCATGGAAATTCACTATTCACACATACAATTCTCAGATACTGAATTTGGACTCCCTCTTCCAAACAAGGGAGAGAGGCTCAGGGTGTGGTTTGACAGTACATTTACACACACAGTTACTGGGGTTTTGGACTTTATCCATTGTCCACAATTTTAGGTAATAAGAGGACACCATGTTTTGGAAACTGGATCTGTTTTCATCTTCAGGTGAGAAATGAAAATGTTTAAGATTAACTCTTTCTAAGGGGCCCAACTGAGTAGGTGTCTTCCTTTCTCACCTGAAGACGGAAACAGATCCAGTGTCCGAAACGTCATGTCCTCTATTACCTAAAATTCCAGGCGATGGAAAAAGTCCAAAACCCCAATAATTCTGTGTGTCATCCACCATCGTCAGAATCCTTTAGAATCTACTAGTACATTTACAGACCACCAAGAAGCTTGAGAAGCAAATCTACAATTAGAGATCTTGCAAGAAGTTGCAGCTTACTAGGAACCACTATTATTATGAAAGTGCCAGAAAATCCTCTTGTTTTATGCAGGATTTTTCCACATGTGTAACATTAAAATACTGATGATGCCATTGTTTTTTCTTGTTATAAGTCAAATGTTATGGCTTCACTGTATTTTTGCTTGTGCCTTTTGTGGAGGGTAAAAATGTGACACTGCATCCACATATTAGAAAGATGCAGAACACTGGGTAATAAAGGCCCAAATAAATATCACAATTTGAACACAAAACCTTGCATTACACATGGATTTACATTGTCATGTCAGAATAAAACTTAAATTATGGCTGGAGGTGATAACAAGCTGATTGGCCATCGTAACATGATAGCGTGTATATCTTGGAAATGTACTAATCTTCAAATGTATACTATAGTAATGTTAAAAGAGAATTCTTGCTACACGTCTTCCATACAAGTGCCTAAGATAATACAGTACATTAATGCATTCCTTGAAATATATATTAATAATATGACTCTCTTAATGAAGTAATAATTAGGTATATACTTATTACATCACATACAAGTGTTATGATTTTTTAAGTATTTTTTAACTGGAGCATTAATGGAACAAGTGATAAAAATAATATCTTCCATGTACAGTGCAATAGAAATTAACACTAGTTGTGTATGGGGTAATGATCTGAGTAAACTAGTTTGTATGACCAATGGCTTTAGTTGTGGCCATTGCTGACTTGCATATTATTATATTGTTTCTTAATTAATCATCTAATGGACCGCCATCCATACTGGTTCTGCGGTCCACCGAGCTTCCTATTCAATGGGTATTTGGGCCTCTTTCCCCCCGGGTAAAGCGGCCGGGGCGTGAAGCTGACCACTCACCGCCAACTAGTGCTGAGGTCAAGAAAACGTGGATCTATACATCCACTCCCCCAAACGCCTTCATGGCATAGTGCTCAATTAATCAGGGAAAGTGAAAAAAGTAAAGAAAGATAAAAGTTAATGATCAAGTGGGAGTTTCATTTAAGGTTTATATTTTAAATGGAAACAAAATTGTACGTAATGAAAGCAAATAAAAGTAATAAATATTGGATTAGTACAAAATATGTGGAAGTTTAATTCATCACACTTCTCTAGTCATAAATGTATTTGGCATTAAAAGAATCACTCTCCCCATGTGCAGTAAGAACACAATGGGCACAGTCACTTGATCATTCTGTATGAATTCTGATATGCTGTTATTAAACCTCCTTATTGAAATTATCTGTCTCGTAATATTTGTATTCATTGACCATTGTTTCAGTGGCGAGAATAAACACTGTAACGGGTAAGCAAAATACAGCTCAAGGGTCAGATGTGTGTCAGATGTAATTTTGAGTGAGAACTCTGAAAAAAATTTCAGATAAGCCACAGATCCCAGTATAAAATATAGAAGGGAAGGATCACATAGGAAGTAAGAGTCCTGTGACATGCACAGGATAGAAGACAATATCCATCATCTTAAGACATTTGCTATGCTTTCTCTGGAATGGAAGGGTGACTGACAGTCTGTAACACAGGATCCTTATTCTTGCTGTGCTCTTGCTTCTCATGATGCTATTACATTTATTCTGTATAATGCAGAACTTGGCCAGGATGAATCTTTACTGAATCCCAGCCACCTTATAGAGCATCCAGCTACACATACAGAAGGAAAAGGATGAAAGGTTTGTGTGTGAATCCAAACTGACACTCTTTTTATGTAATCAAACCTTTTAATATCATTTTTTGATCATCATTTTCCAGCCACATTAGTACTCTTATAAGAGTGTAACATAGGAAGCTAAAATTTTGCTTTGTGAAATGTGTTACAAACATAAGATAAAAAATACTAGATTTTCATTAATATTTTGTGTAGAGATTATTGTAACACAGCTATTAGTGTCGATCTGACTGAAATCAACCAATTCATTTGTAAATATTTCTTCATTTAAAGGGCATGAAAGATAATGATGTACATTTGCAAGTCACGGTGCTTTTCAGAGCACACTTTTCTCTTTCATTTAATATTCATCTGCAAAGAAACAAACTATCAAAAACACATAAAGCATCATTAAGTTAAATATTTTATAATTAAATAAAACTAATGAGACAAGACCACAGTACTAGTCATTTAACAGACAACAGTCACCAGCTGCTGCAACAGTCCCAAAGCTACTTACAAATATCACATTACAGTTTACAATTACAGTGCAGCCCATTTATGACTACACCATAATGCTGCCACACAACGCTACAACTGTGGGGCAGAACACTCGGACACTCACACTGCCAGTTCAAGGACCCACATCCACAAGCATTAGTTTCAACTTCCTCCAGTAGACAACCAAGCCAACTGAAGTCATTCCAGTGTCTATCACATATGACAGCAGGGAGTATGAGCATTCCTGACCTCACACACACAAAATATGGTCAAGTTCTTATCTGAGTTACCTTTATCCACAGTAGCAGTGAACAGGAGATTTAGTGAGTCCCAAAGCTGTTCCATACATAACTGGGAACAGAAATTCTAAAATTTTTGCAGGAAACTGAACCCAAGCTGTCCAGCCTATAACCAGAACTAATGAACTACAAATTGTGGTCTTCTGGGTTGTGGTACCATGTAGTTTTGTAGGTGGATACCAACATATAAGAGCAATATGCTGCCTTCATCTATAGAGTTTAAGCTTGTAGGCTTAGAAACTGATTCAGTTATATATGCAGTCAGCAAAGATGGGTACTGAGACCCAAGGGAGACAGTGGAGCCTGACCCAGGGCACTGGGAACAGGAGGAAAACAGATCTTTTAAGGGAACATGAAATTTTTTTATCACAGGTGGGCAGTGGAATAGTAAGAAGTCAGCTCTTTCAATGGCCAATGTTTCTGAAACTGTTTTGAAGGCAGAAAACTGCAAAGGGAAGATTGTGGTGACTTTTCTTTCAGTGGTTCATCTAAAATGAAAATGATGAAGTATTAATTCATATTTACTCAACTGTAAAGCACATCCTGCTACCAAATCGTATAACGCATTTTTACACTGTTGCGTGCCGCCAGGAATCTGGAATGTATACTTCCATGGAAATGCAATACAACCGGGCCATTTCCTAGGAATACCTTAAGCAACAAACGTGTTTCCCCAGAGATGAAAGGACAACAAAAGGTTCGTTGCATAACAGCGGCCAAGACCAAAGGCTCCTACATGGTGTGCTCTATTCCGTCCGAAAGCAGGTTATATAAAACTCCAGCTTCAACAAGAGACAAGTTCAGTTTGTAGCAGACCTTAGAAGAGTAACCAGTCTTCAGGTAGACCCGAGGGAACAGAAGACTTCACCAAAATTAGCGGTGCAAGAAGTAACTATAATAGTGTTGTAAGAAACATCTGACGACATTATAAGTGTACTTGGAAGTGTCGAGATTGGCCAATAAACATATTCGCTAAATCCAAGACCTGCGTGAATTCATTTGTCATGTTATACAGTCAACTCTCGATTATCCGGGCTAATGGTGGGGATGGAAGTCACGGTTAATCGAAAACCCGGTTAAGCCAAATTTTATTATACGGGCTGGACGACTGTGAAGGGTCGGAGTTCGAGTCCCGGTAGGGTCAAGAATTTTAACTTCTCCAAATCGTCCAGACCGGCTCTGGGGTCCATCCAACCTCCTATCCAATGGGTACCGGGGGCTCTTTCCCCGGGGGTAAAGCGGCCGGGGCGTGAAGCTGACCACTCACCTCCAACTAGTGCCGAGGTCAAGAAAATTTGGATCTATACATCCACTCCCCCACACGCCTTAATGGCGTAGGGCTTAATTCGTTGAGCAGAGGAACAACTTTACCTTTTACCTTTTAATACCTTCATAATACTATAGACCTACCTGTATTTAAATTTATTCATCCTCATTTCTATGTCATCTCATGGCCTATTTAATACTTTCTTTACATTACACTCAGTATGAATTAGTTATTTCAATCACTGTTCAACAAC